TCGTCCGGACCGAGTGTTTGCAAGCACGCTGATCGAGGGTCTTGTACGGTGCGCGGGGCGTTCTCTTTGCATGGTAACGTGGAGTCTGCCTAACTGGATGAACGTAGAGGTCGAGTAGCGGCTTTTTACTGCAATGAAAGGCCATAAAAAGTAGTCGATGTTTTCTGCGTGCCGGGCGACGTTGCGGCTGGGTTAGATGTTTCCGACAGACCAGGCTTCGCTTTGTCAAAGCAACTACACTCGCAAAGTGTAGTGGGGAACAATACAGATTTTTAATTACCGTGTTTTGTATATGAAAACTCCTACTGTGTAAGTGCGGTGGCAGGAGCGATTTGGAGGCGGTCACGGAGGCCGACGAGGAAGGATTAAGCTGGGCGAGGGGAACGTGTCGCGGTTCCTTGCTGTTTATCGCCCCTTCATAGAGACATAGACGTTTGCCGTGGGCCCTTAGCCTCCGAGGGCCCGGCCCACGCTCGCGGCCGAACCGCGCGATCGCGTACAGACCGTACCCGACTCTGCAATCGTGCACATGAGCTGAAACAGCCCTTTGTGCTTCTTTTGCCTACCTGCCAGTTTTCCATACAGCTGTGGTTCCAACTAGATATGAAATGCATTGTTAAGACGCCGTACTTTGAACTATTTGACAAATTGAGAAATTATGGAGCTTGTGGAAACCGCGTACGTAGACTAAGGCCGAATCGAGCGTTTCAGCTCACTTTGCCTGTGGGGTTACTTCAACACATTTGCGATGGCATTTGCGCGCATTCATTCACGAACGTTGCTGGTGATTCGCAACTATGCTTGGCTATTTGTGAGCCAGAGTGAAAATGAGCCCTGCTTGAAATATTTCATTAAACTTTCCTTCTGCTTTTTCCTTTTAGGTATCCTTCCATCGCTTCCCTAAAGATCCCATGGTCTACAAAAAATGGATTGTCGCGATGAGAAGGGATGAAGGCCCCGAGTTTCAAGTAAGCAAGTGGACGAAGCTGTGCTCGAAACACTTTCATGAAAGTGACTACATACCCAGCGTTGTGAGTGGCCGAAAGCTCCTTCGTGATACGGCAGTGCCCATCCGTTTTCTTCTTTTCCAAAAAGAAAATAGTGCGAAAACCTCCAAAAAAGCGTGCACCGCCACAGCTAAAGGCTGATGCACCAGCGCCAAGATCCCAACAAATAGACAACACTATGCAGGATGATCCAGCTGTGTGTTGCACAAATGAAGTGCGGGCTGGAGCTGAAAACCCACTGGAGCCTACTGACCACAGCACATTACCCGCAACAGACAGTGCACGTCTGGCAAGCATCATTGAAGGCTTGAACAAAGAAATTGGAAGGCTTTGAGATGAGTGTGGACTTCTCAGACATCAGTTGGAAATGGCAAGAGAAACAATTCGGGAACTGCAAGCAGAGAAGATCTCTTTTGATTGCCAACTTGCTCAAGAAAAAAAAGACGCTTCTCCATTTACCATCCAACGATTCAAGGACAGTGATGAAGACGTTATGTTCTATACCGGCCTTCCAAGTTACAAACACTTTGTTGAATTGCTTCTTTGCATCAACCCCGGGGATGGTGGCTGCAACGTTTTACGTGCAGAGAGCAGCAGCGGAACAGGATCATTGAAGGGGCGTAAACGAAAGCTGAGCACCGAAAACGAACTATTCTTAGTTCTTGTTCGGCTACGCCTTGGTCTATTCGAGGCAGATTTAGATCATAGATTTTTATCGCACAATCGACAGTCTCAAGAATTTGCAAATCGTTGATGAACTTTCTGTATGCCAAACTAAGCGTGTTGCCTCTGTAGGCACCTAGGGAAACAGATGATGCGACCATGCCACCAGAATTTGCTGAAAAGTATGCGTCGACACGAGTAATTTTGGATGCCACTGAAATTAAGTGTGAGGTGCCGTCTTCTTTGTCTCTCCAGTCATCTACCTATTCGTCATACAAGTCCACAAACACATTCAAGGGCCTTATTGGTGTCTCTCCGAACGGGCTTGTAGCTTTTGTTTCAGATCTTTTTACAGGCTCAAGTTCAGACAGAGAATGTGTAATAAGGAGTGGATTTCTAGACTTAGAGTTTGATGCTGGTGATGCCGTAATGGCGGATAAAGGGTTTCGCATCCACGACCTTTTGGAAAAAAGAGGTGTGAAGCTGAACTAGCCCCCATTTTTGAAGGGCCGCATATTCTCGCCCAGTCAAGTCGAAGAAACCAAAGAGTTTGCCTCACTGCGAATACATGTGGAGCGAAGGATACAAAGGATAAAGGCGTATCACATTTTTGATCGGCCCATACCTCTTACCTTGGCTCCACTGATTAACCAGATTTGGACTGTGGCAGCAATCCTCAGCAATTTTCAGTGCTCGCTTATTCAGCATTTGGGTAGCTTGCCTGAAACGGTGGACTGAGTAGTGACAAGTATGGAGGCCATACATGTATTAACCTGTGGGCTTTCACAAAATAACTTTCTTGTTGTGTGACGTAGTATCACCCCTATCTCTCCCTCGCAGCAAAAATACTTATCCTGGACACCATGCTTGTGCATTTTTTTGGGGGAAAACAGTTGCATTGAATGCGTTTTTGTTTCTAGAACGTGGTCACCCTAGCGGTCGCAGAGTAGTGCGATAGCACGCTGTGCCAAAGTTCGACAAGATATTAAAACTGCATAAATTCTGAAACTTTTGTATTGCCCGTCTTTTTCGTTCCCACCATATACGAAAATTCAGGTCTCCGACGTCGCATCCATTCGGGGACACTGGCCTCGCAAAAGAGCATGCGTATATGCGTAGCTCTTTCGTAAACAGGACTCTGCATGTGCGCGGTGCCCACAGCTGCTGTGAGCTAACGGGTTTATTCACAAACGAGTTGGTGTAGAATCTACAGTAACACTTTATTTTGCGACAGGGTGGTTGAAACTGGCATGACGCAGACATGGTATATTCACACAAGCAGTCACACAAATAATGTTAAAACATTGCAAACCTGTTATTACAAACTAAAATGGAAAGAAATCTGTGCGAATGAACCGGTGTTTAAAGTAGAGATAAATATGGCGCTCCTGATTCTTCTTTATCTGTCGGTTCCATATTGAATGTGAACAAAATAAAATTTAGTACAAAATGTCACTTCCAGTTCAGCAGTAGTGTCTGCTCATTACAGCACTAGCTGCGACTAGTGAATATCACCAACATGCAGATTCAGAAATGTATGTAACTCAACATCTTTAGCACAAACACCTCTCACTAGACAGCTTGGACATGAACGTTGGAAAGCAATAACTACTGCAAACACAGCAATCTGTAAGGTTCCACACACGGCTACACCAGGGCGCCTTTACAGTCCGTAACAATAGTGCTGAAATGTGTGGTGCCGTACAGAGTGCGACGTTGTTAGTGCAAACAAGCCATCACATTTTTTTGTTTTTTTTTAAATCGAAACGATGTAATTAGTTCTTATTTAATGAAAAGGGCTCATTTAGGACTATAATGTAGGCGGTAAAATTTTGCACCCCACTAATACTCGTTCGAAGTAATAAGAAAATGCACTTATGTTGTGTTTGCGCTAACAATGTCACAATGTGAACATAACCCAAGTAGCACACTTGACCGGCACAAGCTTGGGCCAGGTATGGCTCTAGCTTGCGCCGGTCAAGTGGAATGTGAGGAAAGCATTTCCACTCTCCAAGTGGCTTTTACTCATTGCCTTTAGTTTTAGACACTAGCACGTGTCCTGCCTCCTGACAAGATAGGCAAGGTTGTATGCAAAGAAAAAGCTGTCCAGCTTTTTGCGCATTTCGAGCCATTCATTTTGTTTAAATCGAATACGGTTCAGCCGATCCATTTCTCCGAGCAAGCAACGTAGGCGCCCCACAAACAGCCAGTCAGAGCCATCTGCCCCACAACCTGGGCATAGTGATCGTGGTCTCTGTCTAGCTGTGGCTTGTCATTCTTTCCAAAAACTAGAGAAAATTTTTGTTTCTTTGCATAGTCTGGCTCACTGTCTTTGAGACAATGTGGGCACTTGACTTTTAGAATACTGTACGACAGCCAGACTTGTACGTAACGCGTTACAAGTAATTGATTACTTGTAATCAATTACAGTTAAGTGTAATTTTGTAACGCTTCAATTACATTTGTCAAGCTGTAACGCTTGGAGTAATTCAATTACTTTTTTTCTGTAATCAATTACAACATCAATTACACAATTACCAATTACATTTTTCATCCCACAATTTTTTTTCTCACAAAAACCAGCATAGTCACTCAGCCATGGAGCAAAAATGATTGACATTTTTTTAACATCTAAAAAAATAAAACTAGGATTAGTCGGCAAATCCTTTTTTCTTTTACGCCACGCTCTTCTACAAGCGCGCCACCAGCCTTGGCTGGGGAGTTCCGGATCTCGTTGCAGATTGCTGATAAAGTCGACGGGAAGCGGCAACTCGCTATTGACTTTTTAGTGTGCTTTGTTCCTTAGGTCGACGCGTCAGCTACACGACAAGGTCCGGGTTTGAAAACAAAAAAGGGAACAATAACAAACAAAATTGTGTACGCAATATTTTACTGTGTATTTGTGTATTTCTGTCATCGCAATAAAAAGTAACGTGAAAGTAACTTGAAAAGTAATCAATTACTTTGCAGTAATTGTTCAATTACTTCTGGGAGGCAGTAATCAGTAACGGTAATCGGTTACTTTTTTGATTGTAGTAATTGTAATTGTAATCAGTTACTTTTTTTCAGTAACGTGTACAAGTCTGACGACAGCTCGTCTGGGACATAGACTAGTCCGTCGGGCGTTGCACCTAGCCAGCGGCATGATGGATCTACAAATAGGTCGTTGGGCTGAATTGACAAATTGTGTCCATAGTTCTTCATCACAGCAACATACCGATCCTTGGCCATGCTTTCGTTTCTTATCTCGTACTGAACAGCACGAACGCGTGTCAGGTCCTTTGGCTCAATTAGGTTCTTGAGGCCCTTCTCCGTCCACTCTTTGCGTGTGATGACACATCCAAAACGCGATGCAGTTAGTCTGTTCAGCCGTGCTTTTTTCCAGCGTTGACTCTGTCGCTGCCTGCCTGGTATTACGCTCCAGATCTCTCGCCTCCTCTGGTGAAAGCTGGATTTCCTGCGAAAAACAGAATATGCCATGAGAGGACGATACAAGTGTTTAACAGCTCATTCTTTGGTTACAGCATTTTACACTTGCCACACTAGCCGCCTAGGTGGCTCAGATGCAACGTGCTAGCATATGGATCCCCAGTCGGCGGGTTTGAATATTGGCCGAGCTGTCCGCAACTTGACTAAGTCTTAATGCGGAAAGGCACTGTGTAACTCAGATTGGTTTTGGGTTGCTGTCAAAAATTGCCAGGTGGTCTAAATTAACCCTGTCTCCCACTGGGGCGTGCCAGATGCCATTCGCTGGTTCAGCATGTAAACCCGCAAATTTACTCTACCTTACAATCGCTACACTTGTTGCGACTGATAGCTGGAACAACCTTTCACTCTTAAACTGTGAACGCTTTTTACCACCCCCACAAAGTAAGTCAATGTGCATCAAAGTCTTTCCAGGCGTTAAGATGCATTTTAGCTTTGTGTTTTGCAGCTGGTCTCGCTTAGGCATCAAGCGCAAATTTGGCTGCACGTGACCAGGCTAACTTTGGAGCGATCGTACACCGTGCAGTTACAATGTTGCTTGCCGCCCCGCCAAAACAAAGCAGGACAGAATAAAATATGTGGATCCCACATCATGTGGGAATCGGTGTTAAGCGAAGCTTGCTTTGATGTTTACGCTGATAATCCCTACATGGAATCTGATTTTGACCCCAAATTTTAATGTTGTTCAGTGCTTCGTGCATTTTTCGTTTGGCAATGTATTTTAATTACTCTTGGAAAGGATGCAGGACAGTTGGTAGGACGCTAGTATGCGCATTCTTGTCACCGCCCTGCAAAGGGAAGGGAAAGGGGTAAGAAAGAGATAGTATAGTAGAGGATGTGAGAGGTAAAAAATTTTTCGGAAGTGCAATGTCCATACGTAATAAAACAATAGAACCGCCAACACTTCAACGTCAAGCCGCTGGAAAGGTGGTATGATCGTGATTTATCTTCATCCTAGAGGAAGTGGTCAGCTGTGCCGATGCCGTGGCGTGTGCCCTCTAGGTGTCCTGTGGCAACGCAGTTTTCGGGAGGTTCGGAAATCCGGCAGGAGGGTGCGACAATGACTTAGTCGTGTGCTGAGAATCTTGTGTTTATATAATGCTGCGCTTTCGTTTCTGTTCGGCCTTTCGTCTCACTGCGGGAGGTTTAGTAGCACTACAGGAGGTTTAGTAAGCCAGTGACCCCTAAGAAAGTAATGAAGTGCCTCAGAGCCCTCTCCTTGTTTGCTCTGGGTCCTCTTGGCCGTAGCATTTCTTCCTCAGTGTTGCAAGGCAATCCGAGGGCGGTGTACCTTGCACGGAGCTCTGTTCTTTGGTCATCCAGCCTCGTGCAGTGCGCCAGGAGGTGTGCTGCGTCCGCCGGTACACTGCATTCTTCACAGTTGGGGTCGATGTGCCTCCTGAGGCGGTGCAGCCAAACCGGGGTGAATGCGCTTCCCGTCCTGAGACGGTGCAGCACGGCGACCGTCGCCCTGTCTAAGCCACATGGGATCCTGGTTGGGCGTTCCCCCGACGCGATGCCTGGGTCTGGGTGCAAGCTGGTTATCTTCCTCCGTATAAGGAGCTTGGCGTCTGCAAAGCGAGTAACCGCGGATGTCGGGAATGTGAGGTCCTTGTGTGCTTCTGATGAAAGCTGGTCGGCAATTTCGTTTCCAGAGAGGCCGCAGTGACTATAGTCAGATGCAACCTGAGAACAATCTTTTAGCTCCACCCACAAGCGCATTGCGCCCATCTGAAGTGCCTCCGCCGTCGAGAAAGTAGTTTGCTAGCAACGTTGCTTTTTCTCCCTCCAGGAAACGTGTCTTAAACTACTACATTATTTATTTAATTCATTCAGGACATTTAAATAAGTTAGAATACGTTTTTGTCAACGAAATAGCTGTGTAGTAAAAAATGAAAGTCATGTCCAATGTACCGTCTTCCCAATTAATTTTCTGTCCAAGATACTGTCTAACATACCGTCTTCCAGCGCCTTCGATTGAGGGAAAGCCGCTGGGGAAAGCGAAGCACTTATAGTTCCTGCAAATAATAAATATTTGGTGATTTACTTAGTTTTGTGGGCTTTGCGCACGAAATGTGTGCCTTTATTTTGTTGGATGAATAGAAAACAAGAATAATTATACTTCTCGGGTTTCGACAAATCGGCACCCTCCCAAGTCATCGACACCACCACCGCGCCCCGCTCTCCTTGTCTTCCGTCATGGATCCCACTGAGGTGACATCGGAAAGCAATTCCTCTGATTCTTCTTGGACGAAACAGCCTGGTGCAGCCTTACCGGCGACACCAAAGCGGTTCTTCAAGAAGCACAATCCAACGAAGCAGACGACGTCCGGCGTAGCTTCTCACCTCTCAGCAGTGCTAAGCCTCGCGCCCGCTTCGAAATTTTCGTTGGCGATAGCGTCGCTGGATTCTCACGTTGTCGCGCAAAAACTGCTGCAAACGCAAGCCTATACCATTAAGATTTCGTGGCGTAACCTCGGGCACGTGAAACACGGTGCAAAAAAGCAGAATAATTGTCACGAGAAACTAGCGTCGCGTTGCTAAGGCCAGCAGCCATGTTGAGCTTTTTTTTATTCAAAAGGATCGCGATTGGTCCACAAAATCGTGACGTCAAGAAAACGATTGGCTGGCGTTTCTCGGCGTAGGATTACATTTTCCTCTGAGAGGCATTTCCGGTTTTTTCTTAGCTTGCAACCGACCATAGGTAGCCACTGGAATGCCAGTGTGTGTCCTAGTTGTTTGAGTCTTATGGCATTATTCGCCCCGACCAGCGCAAGTGGAGGAGCACGGTGAAGGCTCCCGAGCAGCGCAAGTGCAGCCTGGGAGTCGCTGAGGATGACCCACCTTCTTGTTGCGGTGTTCTTTGCGATAATGCCGCGCACAGCCAGGCCAATCGCGGCTAGCTCAGCGGTCGTCGATGAGGCGTGAAACAAGAGTTTCTCCGTGAGCCAGGTCGCTTCTGTTTGGAAGTACGCGGCCGCGGTGGCCGTCTTGTCGGTAGGGTGTACAGAGCCATCGGTGAAGATGCGCGTCCAGCCGTCGTAATGCCGCTCAAGGTGGTGTTCGGCGAGCTGCCGTGCAGTGGTAGTCGCTGCAGTTTTCTTGCTTCGCAGGTCCTCGATGTGGAGATCGACGAGGAGCGGGTCAGGTTCATCGTGTCCTGTTGGGAGCTTGGGGATGATAGGTGGCTGGCCCGCGATGTCCACAAGTGTGGCTGCTTGTCTGCCAATTTCCGAATCTTCCCGTGCCGCGATTCTTTTCGCCAATGCGGTGGTCGAGAAGCAATTGTTCATTCGTACCAGATGTGTCAAGGCTTGTTGCTGTAGTGCATTGGCGACGGTGTTGATGTTGGCCTCTACTAGTGTACGTTGGGATGACGCGCTACGGGGGACACCCAAGCATACACGGAGTGCCACCCGTTGCACTCTTTCAATGTTTTTCGAGTTGGGTTTGGCGGAGTGTAACAAAGGGCAATGCGTAGAGAGGCCGTGCTAGAATTAATCCTCTATACATCTGGAGCATCATTGCCTGTGACGTGCCCCAGGTGTTGCCTCCTAGTGATCGGAGGATGTTTGTGTGTTTTTTCATTGCTAGGATGACATCTTACACTGCTGGCCCCCAGGTGAGCCTTTGGTCAATTTTCAGCCCGAGATATGTTGCTGTTGTTTCGATATTGATCTGCTTCGTGCCAATGAACAGCTTTGGCCTGAACTTGTTGATTCTTCTTGGGGCATAACAGATAGCGACCGATTTTTCGCCAGATGTGTTAAGCCCAAGTTGTGCAAGTCTGTAGATGGTGTTCGTGATTGCGCGCTGCACTTCTCGCACCATTGTCTGTCTTCGGTGACTTGAGGACGTCGCCCATAGCGCAACGTCATCCGCGTATACCGCCATGTTGATTGGGTAGTTGGGTTTTTCGCCTACTTTGGCTGCTGTGGGTAGGGAGGATATGGCTAGAAAGAAGAGCAAAGGACGTATAACACTGCCCTGTGGGACTCCCTTGACGATCTTTCTTGGTTCGCTGAGGAGGCTCCCGACACGGACACGCATTGTTCTCCCACTCAGGAAGGCACATACATACTGGAATGGCCTTCCTTTTACGCCAAGTGTTCTTAGGGCTGAGATGATAGTTGTGTGCTGAACGGCGTCAAAAGCCTTACTTACGTCAAGGAAGACCATCACCGCGGACCATTTTTGTGCCTTCGTCTGTTCGAGCGCGCTGATCAGGTCCCCGAGGGCGTCAGCGGTACATCGATGGTGTCGGAATCCCGCAAAGCAGTCGGGAAGCGCTCGCGTCGCCTCTAGGTGGTAAACGAGGCGACGCAGGACCATTCTCTCCATCAGCTTGCCAAACCAAGATGTGAGAGAGATGGGCCTGTAGGATGTTATCTCCCTGGCAGGCTTGTTTTGCTTGAGAAGTGGTACTGTGACGGCTTCCTTCCAGGAATCGGGCAGCTGTGCTGTGCGCCAGATAGTGTTGATGTATTCTAGCAGAGCAGGGTGGTACATTTCATCGATGTTTTTCAATGCTTGATTGGTTATGCCATCCAATCCTGGTGACGAACGGTGCCGTGGAGATGAGCGCAGCGCAATTTGCAGCTCATGTAGCTTGAAGTCAGTGTCTGGGATTTGCATGGGAGGTGCTGTAGGCTGGCAGAAACTACTCCAATTTCGCGGAGTGTGGTTTGTTATTGGTGTGGTAGGAGCGGTGATAAAAGCGTCCGCCTATAGCTCTGCGATGTTGAGAGGTGTGAGGTTTCGCGCTAGCCCAATGCTGAGCACTGGTGTTCTTGGAGATGGTCGCCTCGCGAGTGCGTTTGCCATTTTCCAGGCTTTGCTCCCGCCGGCGCTCTTGTGAAGTGAACCGCAGAGGAGCCTCCACTGACGTCGGGCTAGCTTCTTCCCGTGTCTCCTAAACTTTGCGTCTAACCGTCGGTACTTCAAGACGTCCTCGGGGCGACCCGTGCGCCAGGATCTCCTCTGGGCCCTCCTTCTCTGAGCTCTTAGTTCGAGCCACTTGAGGTCCGGGTTAGGTCTCGAGCTGGGCGCTTGTGCAATCTGTGTGGCCGCTTCAAGTGCGTTCGAGATGATGTGCTCAGTGATATCGATCCCTGACATGAATCGCTCATCGAGTAGTGCCCGGTATTTGTCCCAGTGAACAACGTGGCATGTTTTCAGCTTGGACTTCGGAAGTTTTCCTATGATGATTGGAACGTGGTCACTCCCCCAGCTGTCCAGTTCAGGTTTGGTGGGAAGTCGCAAGCTGGGCGATGTCAGGGTGAGGTCCATCACACTCCCGTGTACCCCGGCGCGAATGAATGTCGGTGTTCCGGCCGTCGTGTTTCTGAGTCCCATATTGTCGATGGTCTGTTGCAGGTTTTTCCCTCTCTGATCCGTTTTAGAGTCTCCCCATGTTTCCGAATGCGCATTGAAGTCCCCCGTGAATACGATCGCATGTTTTGTGCGGGCACGTATCGCGACGAGAACAGTAGGATCCCAATGCCCTGAGGGATGTATGTAGCAGCAGACCAAGGTTAACTTGGTTTTGGCAATCTCCATCTCTACTGCTACGAATTCAGAATTATCCGTATTGAAGTCACTGAGATCGAGTTCGATCGGTGCATGCGAAGTATGGACAAACAGGGCCGTTTTTGGTACATCGCTTCCATTTAATGGGGTGCCGTGGTAATAAATGTAATCGGATAATCGGAGAAGATTCGGTTGTATTCTTGGTTCCTGAATAGCGAGCGCGCCGTAGGTGTTATCTTGCAAGTGTTTTCTTAGCTCCGGTAAACGTTGCCGAATTCCATTGCAGTTACACTGAAGGATGGACAGTGGCGTTTGGCGTTGGTTGCTTCTTGTAGTTTTCTTATTGGTGGCTGCCATTGGGTGTGTATGGACGTTGACTGCAAGCTACCGGGTCGGGCATGACTTTTCGGCTGTAACGCGCATGTTGGGGATGTAGAAGCCTGTTGTAGTAGAAGGGGTAACCCACTATGTGTAAGATGTCTGACAATCAGAGTCCCTGCTTAGCCATAGCATTGACTGCCTGAGCCATGATGTCGTCGTAGAACTCTGGAAGTCGTGTGTTCTATCTGTTACAATTGCATTGGAGAGAAAACAGGCATGGAGTTGAAGTCGAACTGTAGTTACTCTATTAGTGTCCCCTATCATGGTTTAGAATACCATAGAGATAAGAGACTCTAATGAAAGGATTGCTCTGATCACCTGATGAAGCGTAGATGATGATGATATTGAAGCCAATATTTTGCGGAGAGTGGTAAACACTAGCGTGATTATCGCTTTAAACGGAAAGGTTGGCTCTATTCCACTGCTTGCTTCGGTTGATACCGACGCACTTGGACCTGGAGGTGTGCGTGAAGTAATGGCTTTGATGTTTTGCTTCTCCCAAAATGAGGATGTTTGGGGACCTTCTTGTGTGACTGTTGCGGCATCATCAAGAGTAGTGGTTGTGTTCCGGTTTTCAAGCGGAGGGAACTCTTCAGCAGTTGCTGGTGGCACAGCCTTGATGCTGGTGTTCTGTTGATGTTTTTCTTTCGGGGACGATTGCTTGCTTGTTTGTTTCCTAGCATGTATCGCCTCTTTTGCCTCGCGAAATGTCGTATTGTGTTCTAGCTTATATCTTGTCACCTCTGTCTCTCTTGCCTTGATCGGACATTCTGCTGTGTTAGAGGCATGGTCTCCTTGGCAGTTCACACAACAGAGTTTGGATTCACACATGCCATTATGGCATTCTCCACGTCGAACGCATACTTGTGATTCTGATGAGCACGCAGCTGCTATGTGGCCGAACTTGTGGCACTTATAGCATTGCAGGGGGCGTGCTCTGTAGGGAATGACCTCGGTTCTTACAAGTCCCACCTTGACGTGCTGAGGTGCCTGTTTTCCTGCAAATGCTACCCGTACGACAGGCGATGTTTTGCCAAGTCGCTTAACTTGTACTATGCCGATAGAAGATTGAAGTTGGGCCTTTACGTCTTGCTCTGTGCAATCTAGATCAATGTCGCGTAGGACTTCAAAACAGTTTGAGCGGTCGTTCGGTATAAAAGCTTTGACGGGCACTGTGCAGAGCTTGTTTAGCTTGGGAAGCTCGGCTTTGAATGCTGGTCGTTTCACATCAACTGCAACAATGTTTCGGGCTTTGTTAATCCGAACAACAGTGACCATGGTTGGTGCAGCGTTGTTCAGGTAGTGTGTGAGCTTTAACTTGCTGAGTGACTCTACTTTGTGATTCTCAGTAGGGGTGAACAGTACTGTGCATCCTACTTGCAGGTTGGCGCCATCCTTGGAAGATGATGCTTCGCTCTTGCTCGTCTTTCGTCGTTTCTTTCCTTGTACGATTTCATATTCGCCGTCCTCAGATTCTATGCCGTCATCATTGTGAATGGACAGAATTGTCAATGAGGAGCTGTTGATTGCTTCAGAGTTGGTTTCCATTAGCGGAATTTCATCATCATCTTTCAGAAACGTGCATGGACTTGCTTGCTCTTTGTCTGGTTCAAGGGCAATCTGTGTCTTCGGTTCCGCGGCGGACATTTCTGCAGATGTTCTCGCCTCCTCGATGGAGGCCCTTGTGCATATGGATCGTATGCTTCACTGGTGGTAGGGGATCGTAGGGGATCGTGATAATCTGATCTGAGGAGCACGATTTACAGGCTATTGAAGCATAATTATGGAAGAACCAAAACGGGGTTACCCTGAACGGTGTCGTCGTCGTCGTCACCTTCCGATCTCTGCTTCGTGAAATACACTAGTGAAATGTTACAACACTTGTGTTTGTTTTTCCACGGCCGGACTGAACTCCTGTGCTTTCATACCACCTTCGGAATTGCAGAAGCATGCATGCCGTTCTGCATGAGGCGCTGCAGCTCTTCTCATCCACTGTTCCACCTGCGCATGCTCACTACAGGTTGTGACCTTGTGTGGTCGCAACCTGGAAGGACAATTCTGGCGCACAGACTAGGTGCGGTGTTTCAGAGAGCAACTGCTATGAGTCGCAGGGGTAGGGATCAGCCACGGCTGCCGTGTTACAGCTAACAGAGGCCGCAATAGTACTAAAGGCCGTAAGAAAGAGTGTGCATTCAGTGCGGCTGTGGTTTATCTTTACGATCTGTGCACTACGTGTAAGACGCATTTACTTGTGCCATTGTTGTTGTGGAACACTGTTCACAGCCAGCAAAATGATTTACCCTATCACCGCCGGAGAGAACAGCATGGGCACTGTGGCAGTACTGCTGATGACACCCTTGATGGCATGTCATCCGCATCAACAACACTTACTTTCAATAGGCTCAATTCTTGAGCGCTCAACCCGCCAGGGAATGTGGGCTGTGAAGCTCTGTTGAAGAGAGACGGTGCTGGAACCAAGCTCATGGTGCCTGCTCCCATGACAATGTTGTCCGACATCCATGTTGTGAAGCCTGCAGGTAGTTGAGCTTGCTGGTAGGACATTGGAGAGCCGGCAGGGGCAGGTCCGAGTTTTGTTTCCACAGACTGCCTTCGTGCTGCTAGGAGAACTGACGCGAAGTCTAAGTTTCCAATGTTCTCGAGGCCCCTTCCTAGTGCATGAAAAGACTGCAGTTGTTGTTCGTCCTCCTGCTTCTCAGCTCGTGCATCGTAGAGCGGCACTGGCATTGCCATCTCCATGCCACCCTCCCGAGAACTCCTCCAGTCTACATCCTAGACGCTCATCGGCTTGATGCCTTGTCGGCGAGGGCGCCCCCATTGCTGGGGAAGTTCTGTGCATGGGAGCTCAGGTGGTGCCTCTTTAAATCCCTCTTTCTTCAACAAAATAAACAGCCGTAGAACAGCAAGTACATGGCTGCACGCACCCCCTGCACCAGCAGGGCACGCGCATTTTGATTATGTAACTTCACCGCTGTCAGCCTTGAACGCCAGGAGGACGTTGTAGGGCAGAACAGCTTTTTCTGGCTCCGGTAGCACACCTCTCGGTCGTAGACGATCCCGACTCCCAAAACTGCAACAATACAAAAAAAAAAAAAAAAAAAAATTACCAAGCTGCACTCAATTCACTTTTTGCTTTTCTACTAATAACAATGATACAATCACGCACGTAGCCAGGGGGGGAACCCATGGGGCCCGGCTCTCCCCCCAAAATCTACCCTTTTGCCGTGGCCTCCTCCACCCCTCATACAGCATTTTGTCATGGGCTGTAACGCTAGAGCAGACAAGCATACGAGACAGCGTCAAGTGTTCGCATGGCTCATAACGGTCTTTATTTGCACAGAGCGATTGTGCGTGTGTGCGAGGGGGGGGGGGGGTGCAGAAAGACTTGTGCCAGTACGTGAAAGCGTCTGCTGGCCGGCCGCCAAAAAAAACAACCAAGAAAGGCGATGAAAACAGCAAATTGCAATGCGATAACTGTCACTAGTGTGTCAGTGCGTCGCAAGAAACACGGGCCCATGCGTCCGATTTCAGGCGTGTGCACACCGGCGATGAAAGCAGTCGCGCGATGCGACTAGATCACATCGCAAAAAAATTAGATAGTCACACTGGCGTGCGCGATGAGCCAGTTCAACGCCTTCGTTTGGCGAGTCGCTTCTCGAAAACTCTTGCTCCGAACAGCCGGTCCGCGACTAGATTGCATCAAAAAAGGCCGGTGGGATTGCGCCTGTAGCGACTGCTCAAATCGTGTCGCTTTCTTTCCCGCAATGGTCGCTTTTGTGATGAAAGTAATCACGCGACTAGATCGCATCGCCGGTGTGAACGCGCCAATACCACGCCCGCGCGCGCTACGAAATGCACGCAGAGCGCTCGTCACACACACGTACGCATACAGCCGCAACTCTTTGATTACAAAGTATTAAGCACCGTACCTATTAAGGATGTTAAACAAAGAGGCCATAGTTCACAGTACCTTGAATCGCAGATGTTCGTCCGCACGGAAGACGGCACTGTGTAGGCTTCCACAGCAAAGACGTAGGACTTGCTTCGCTGCTTTGACGAGGTTGTCACCATCGTGCAAAATCCCCCGAGAGTTTCGTCCGATAGCTGAGGCAAGTTAGTCAGGCTGTTTGGCCACATTCTATGGTCGGAAGGCGGAAAACACCGCGGCCCTGCCATCGCACACTGCCCGTACGGGGTGTTTCCGATGCTTCCAGTGCTTCGGCAGCTTCGGTGTTCTCTGACGACGATTGACAAACTCAATATGGCGACGCTCACAGTGTTGTCAGACCACCAAGCTATTTCGCATGAGGCCCTATTGAAGCTTATATTTTAACACGGAAAAAGCAAGATTCCCGCACTCTAAAAAAAAGCCCGTGCGTCTGCTTTCCCGCACAACACGCGTAAAGCCAATCAATGCAACTTACGGAGGCAGATCAGCGAATGACGATGCCCAAACATATGTTTAGACCAAAAAGCGCAGTCTGAGTGGTGACATTAAGCAATCCAAGCGTGACGTTTTGCATTGCTTAATGTCACAACTCAGACTGCGTTTTTTGGTCTAAACATATGTTTCGGCATCGTCATTCGCTGAGCTGCCTCCGTAGGTTGCGCTGATTGGCTTTCCAAGTGTTGTGCGGAAAAGCAGACGCACGTGCATTTTTTAGAGTGCGCCAATAAATATTTATTACAAAGCGTTATTTTGTTTGGACCCAGGACACCGTCCGCACTGAACTGACCGCGTCACTTCTTTCTGGGAAACGACACCGACCTTATCTTGTGTCTTATTTTTCTTTTTTTTTTATTTGTAGTGAGACGTTTCCCCAGAATTCGGGTCAGACCAACGGTCAGACGCACAATCTCTGGATGCTAAGGAACACTGCCACCACCCTTGTTCTATTCTTTTCATACACTTGTATAAGCCCCATACGCATTTCTTTTTATCCGACACCACCAGAAAAAAGAAAAATACAGAATTTTTTTAGTAAAACATACCCCCCCCCCTTCTCACCCCCCTATTAAAAAAAGAGAAAAAAAAAAGAAAACATCGGAGAAATAAACCAAGAAACACGGAACGTCAATTCCGAGCCAAAACGAAACTAATTGACTAGTAAATTAGACAGGGCTGAGTTTCGTCTGCCAGCGTATGTCGAGTGGACATTGTTACTCACTCTATAGAGGGGGAAGTTATCTTGTGCAGTATGACCGCTAGCCTGGAATCTTTAACGTGCACCACACAGTACTGATGCACTACCGCACTCTGGTACGATGCTCATCCGGATCAAAATGGGCGGGGGCGGAGATTGAACCAAGGGTTCCTGGGTTCTGCAGCGCGAGCTTTCGCTCCATATGCTTTACGTTGCGGTGCGCTAACAATTTCGGCCTCCAATTTCCCCTGTAACAAAAATTTTCTAAGAGAAATAAAAAATCCCCAAAGCCTTGGAGGCAAAAAGGAAAGAACAAAAAATGAAAGCCGCTTACAACTCCCTGTAACGCCGAATTAGAGCGCAGCTCTTGAGGAGGAGGAGGGAAGGGCACTGGGGGGGTGGGTTAAACTAACCAGGGGGGGTCACGTTACCTTGGGGGTCACGTGACCCCCAATGCCGATGATGTCATCACTGACGTCACTGATGACGTCATCAGTGACGATGACGATGCGGGTACCGATGACGTCATTAGTGACGTCACTGATGACTTCACCAGTGATGATGACGATGACGATGCGAATGTCGGTGACGTCACCAGTGACGTCGCTGATGACGTCATCAGTGATGATGACGATGACGATGCGGATGCCGGTGACGACATCAGTGACGTCACTGATGACGTCATCAGTGATGATGACGATGACAATGCGGATGTCGGTGACGTCATCAGTGATGATGACGATGACGATGTGGATGCCGGTGACGTCATCAGTGATGATGACGATGACGATGCGGATGCCGGTGACGTCATCAGTGATGATGACGATGACGATGTGGATGCCGGTGACGTCATCAGTGATGATGACGATGACGATGTGGATGCCGGTGACGTCATCAGTGATGATGACGATGACGATGCGGATGCCGGTGACGTCATCAGTGATGACGATGACGATGTGGATGCCGGTGACGTCATCAGTGATGATGACGATGACGATGTGGATGCCGGTGACGTCATCAGTGATGATGACGATGACGATGTGGATGCCGGTGACGTCATCAGTGACGATGACGTCATCGGGGGGTCACGCGACATCGGCGGGGGTCACGTGACCTCGAGGAGGGGGGCCACGTGACCTCAGGGGAGTCACGTGACTTCGGGGGGTCACGTGACCCCCCACGAGGTCACGTGACCTTGGTGGGGGGCTCGCGCGGTGCATTATGGGACATTTCCCATGATGCACCGCGCGGTTACGCCGACGCCGACGGCGACGGCGACGGCGACGCCGACGGCGACGCCGCTCAAGCCGGAAACGGGCCCCTAAGAGCTGCGCTCTAAAATATTTTAAATTAAGCGGATGCCACTGAAAACGTCATATACGTATCCAGCGTGGAAATATGGCTTGCAAGCTTTTGGTGTGTGTGTGTGTGTGTGTGTGCGTGCGTGCGTGCGTGCGTGCGTGCGTGCGTGCGTGCGTGCGTGCGTGCGTGCGTGCGTGCGTGTGTGTGTGTGTGTGTGTGTGTGTGTGTGTGTGTGTGTGTGTGTGCGTGCGTGCGTGCGTGCGTGCGTGCGTGCGTGTGTGTGTGTGTGTTCCTTCTACTAAAATTTTCCTATTTCTTCCATCACAGTCTCAGGTGTTATATGACATGAGAAGCTTTTGGCGTGTTTGTCTATACCTAAAAAAATCTCGATGGGAAGCACATTTTCACACGCCTTTTGGGAAAGGTTTTTTATTATAGAGATCAGCGACGGAAGAAACAAAAAGAAAAATGCCGGGATAAAGGTTCATTGTCTCCGCCATCTGTCTTGTTTACGTCCGCGCTTTAGCCTCTCACCTACACCCGCTATTCGTATATCTTATCAGGGGCCGTAACCCCTGATAAGATAACCTGGACATTTGGCGACAAAGTCGGACGGGAATTCCGCGGCCGCGATTGGACGGTGGTGCGCTTCACCTTGGCGCTGGCGGGTCACGGAAGTCAATTTCTTAAGTCTTTTTTTTTGCTGTGTGCAGATTAGAGCTCCGGGAAACGGGAGCTGCCAGCGATAAGACTGGCTTGAAACGTTTTGTCTTTGGGGTAGAAACAGGCCAGTGCGTGCGATCTGTCCTTCATGCTACCTGTCGTGATGTGAAGTGCGTGTTCCTTTTTTGGCAAACGCCAGCCATCCGAGTGCTTCTAGCTAACCAAGTGTTATTAAAGCTGGAGCAAGGTTTTGTTCTTGAAGCTTTTAAAGCTCCTTTTCTCTTGCGTTGGTGACGACGCCATGTCCGATTCTCTTTCATCGCAATCGCTCTGGAAGGTAAGTTATTACTTGTTAGTATTTTCCTTTTTACCCTTTGTTAGTCTTTGTTTTCAGTTTCTTTCAAGTGATTGTGATTTCTCAGAGAATGAGAAACTGTAATGAAATGATAGAAAATATCGTTATCTAATACCCTAGTTACACGAGCGCTCTTCACTGACATTAAGCCAACGACAGCTGGCTCAATTGCAGTCGGACACGGCGGCGCCAACTGTCATTGAGCTACTAGCTCAGCTGTGCTGGTCTTCCTCAGTTAACTTTAACTGATGGGAGTTCGCCCCAATAGAGCTAAAGATGGCGGCGTTCCCCGCATCGCTGCCCATGGGCAGCGACAGCGAAGCAATTACTATTGCGGAAGAATGAGGGAGGTGTATCTAGAAAGTATCGTAGAAGCAAATTTATTGTCGGAGGAGGTATGATTCAAGGCTAGAGCTTCCGCTACGACGATCACGGCACGTCGCGAAAGCCAAAGCTCGGCAAGAGCGCCCATTGTGATGTCGGTGCCGATAAGACTTTGGTTATGTCTCTCTTGCTTGAATTCGTGTAAAATGTTCTGAATATCATTTCTTTACCCTAAAAACAACAAAAAAGCTCATTTTACTTTGTTTTAAACGTTTATAATGAATGACAAGTGTGCAAGTACTTCATTTGCATCAGGCACGTAGCCAAGATTTTGATTCGGGAGAGGGGGGGGGGGGGGGGGAGGGCAGGACAAAATGCTATATGAGGTGGAGGGGGGAGAGGAGGCACCAGCAAAATGGAAGAATTCGGCGGGGGGGGGGGGGGGGGGGGGAGCCCGGGCCCTATGCCCCCCCCCCCCCCCTGCCTAGGTAATGTGACATCAGTTTTGGTTTTGTTTCGGATTCAGCTGTGTCCTCGACGCTCAGGTCAACAGGGTCTGTTAGGCCTATGTACCGTGTAACACCGGACAGCTCAGTTGAGCTAAAGGACAGTTGGGATATGCCAGCGATCGTTAGTTTAATGACAGTTAGCAGCACGATTGTAACTAGGGCATTAGTTGAGCTCAGTGACAAATGGTAGATGCAAACGATCGTTGGCTTAATGACAGTTGAGTGCGCTCGTGTATCTAGGCTATTAGTCGTGCGCGTCTGTCTTAAATAACTTGTGGCTGTTAAGGAGCATTACGTTTATTTTCTTGCCTTGGCTACGAGTTCTAAGCGTTAGCGGGTCCTAACTTCTTTTTAAAATCAAGATTTTTTTTTTTTTTTAGTTTTGCGACTTTACTTTTTCGGCGTCTTCACTGCAAAAAAAAAAAAGAAGGTTTAGAAATAAAACACACCACCATAGCTTTGAATATATATCTATGCCCTACCTTTCTAGAAGCGCGCAGCGCCGACCAAAGATACAGGGCCGAGAGTATACCGCGAACAGTTCAAAAGGAGGGAAAGGAGGAACTTTCCTTTTGCTCGGACTTTCGTTTGTGTACCCGCACGGAGCTACCCTATTAAAAATGTATCAAGGAGCCAGGATGTCCCCTGGTGGAACGCACCTTGATGGTCCATTGGATGACGTCCGACGTCTTTACGAATACGGGTTCTGAGTAGAGCGCACATGCACCTGAAGCCTTTTCCAGAGACGCACTCGCAGTCTGAACCTCGTGAGATGCTGTCGAAAACGCGCTGACTCGTTTGTACGCTTGTCCGTGCAAGCTAAGCAGGCCTGCGCCACGCTCATGCCCACATTCCAGTGTTGCAGGCTAAGCAATATTAACAAGATAAGGCACCGTAGTAATGCCAGTAGCCCACGCCAGTGCTGTAGACCTAAACCTCTTGGACAAAGCCCGGGTACTGTAAGTATCCTGGCGCGAGGTTCCGACCGCGAGCAGACCGCTCTCAAAAATGATTCAGCTGCATGTGCACCCGTCTAGTGTAATTCACGTGCAGCTTCCATACAATAATTGTTGTACGATAGTTCTACTTACCTGCCATGTAGAATATTTTGCATCGTAGAAGCCTCCTTTTGTTGGCGTATACCCGGTCAAGTACACTTCGGATAATTTACCGTCCTCAAATCGCCCCTCAAAGTTCCTAACGTAATCCACACTCACGATGAACTGCGTTTCACCGAGGACGAACTTCACTAAAATGGTCATAGCTCCCAGACAGGATCGACAGGATGAGCAGTTACAGCGAAGACGAGTGACGAATCCACCGCAGTCAAAAGCGTTAGCGTCGTCAACGTGGTTTCTGATCAAGGTTGTCAAAAGCCCTACTTGTTTTATCTCTAACACTAGCGGTTTCGCTCATGTCCCGAAACCGTTTGCTCGTGCATACGGAAACTTCTCCCCCCCCCCCCTTCCCCCCTCCCCCTCAAAATAATATGCCTGACGCTTGACGTAATAGTCGTACGCCCGTACCATCACACCTTATATCACCTAACCGTTCGTCTGTCTGCACGTCAAGGGTTCCTGACGAGCGGACACAGATATTCGATGTACAATCATGATTGCCACCAAGGTATCTTGACGGCATTTCGCGGCTCTCCTGAGCCAATAAAGATTATTATATATTATTATTCCGTCTGCTATCAGAAAGCCGATAAGCGCAGTCTGCTGATCTCCACTATAGGGGGTTGGATGGCGCATTGAGCAGACAGGTATGAAGCCACGGAAAGTAAGCGGCTTGTCTCGGAAGTCAGCGCTTGACAAGCTTTTCAACTCTTCGGAGTGCTGAATCGAACTGCTTCAGGGCGCTTGTTTTTTTCTTGTCATCCCAAGAGAGCCTGCTTGTTGCCTGCTTCTCGGGTCCGCATGCTTGCGCATGCGGACCCGAGAAGTCTTCTAGAAAGCCATTCGATGAGACGATTTTGAGATTCTAGTTGATCATGTGTGCGTATGTCCCACGTTCAAATGCCTGATTCTCAGGATTTAGTTCAGAACGGGAGTATTAAAACCCAATCAAAAGACACAAAAAGGCATGGACCTAAATATCGACTGAATGCACTAGGAATCCCAGCACACGCCGGACTTCCGGGACAAGCATCGAACTTCCGGTGGCTTCACTTGCGCCAGGCTCGGAAAGCAGCTATGCGCCATCGAGCCCCCTAGAGTGGAGATTTTTGCCACTAAATAAGCTATGCTTCAGAGTAACGGCTATCACTCATATTGTGGCTTAAAATCATGGTTGTCAGTTATCTGAAGGCTTATCTGAAATCACAGAAAACGCCTTTCCGTCCTCCACAAATGTTTAAATAGTTCGCGACAGATAAAAGCAATATTACATGAGCTTCCTAACACAGAATCTAATGGTGAGGAAGTCGCAGTTTTGAATCATGACGATCGGCAGTCGCGTCTGCTCTATACAAGCACCAAAATGGCGGCGCCCACAACAATGTTGGGGAATGGAGTGCCGATATTCAAAGTGCAGCTCATTAATTGGCTCTAGCGGAGACCAGTGGCGCTGCCAGTGAGACTACGCTACGTTAAGCATCTCTGATGCCCGCATCTCTGATGCAGCATCTATGATGTTGATGATCAGCCGATCAGAGATGCTTAACGTACAGCCAGGTTTCGGAAACGTCTTGTAAAAAAATGGTCGCGTTATAAAACAAATCGAGTATACTGCAGCCAATAGCTTCACATAATGTTCAATGGTCAAGGAACCTTCCAGTTCGTTTGATCTTAGTGTAGAAGGTAGAGTTCACGCACGCAAAGTGAGAAACATGCTTTCCCTGAAACACGGCGCTTGCAAGGTCCCTCTCCCGCATGAAGGGTGGATCCATCTCCGCGCACATGACCGCTTCTGCACCAATGCGGAGTTTGCGGCGAAAGGAAATGGAACGCCTTACTCTGGCTCTGCCAGCAAAGCATATACAGTTACACTAGCTTCACAGAGCTTGCGCTGCCACTAATCTGCGAGCGGAAGATGACCAACTTGAGCATGATCTACCAGCTGACGATGCGCGCGCAGAAAAGGGGCGATTTTGGACCGATCCAAATTTGCGCGCGAAATTTATCATAAGATGTGAACGCCAGATTTTCATTTTTGAAAGATTCTTCAAATTGCATAGGTTACTTGTAAATTCAGAGGCGAAAAGACGGTTCACCCGCAGTCTTCGCTGCGACCCCAGCTTAAACCCCTAAGAAAAGTTACGCTCCAAAGTAACGATACCTCAGCCAATTTGGTGCCTTATATCATTGTTGCCAGTCATCTGAAGCTTTACCTGATGTCGCACGAAACGGTTACACGTCATGCAGAAACGTTAAAGCAGTTAGCGACAGAGCAAAATGTTGTCGCCTTAGTTTCCTGACACTGTATCTCAAACTCCGAAAGTTGCTTTTTAGTATTGCAACGATCGATCGCCAATAGTCCCTTTTCAAACGAGCGCGCCATCTAGTAGCTGGTTCACCAATTTCCCGACTCCGCCATTGTTTCTACGCGCACTCAGAGTATCTGTTGGAAACGAGGTCTGCGTCAGCGTTCGGCAAGGACTCGGATCCAATCACATGCTGCGTGCCCAAAAATGGCGACCACCTATGTTGCCTGATGGCGTTTTAAAATGTTACTTTGGCGCCCGCACTTCACTAGCAACGAAATGGCGATGCGTTCAAGGAAAAATGTGAATCGAGTGCTGATACTTTGAGCGTGCATTATCTAGTAACTCTAGATACCACACGATACAGCTTTTTTAACGCTGTCGTTTAATTCGAGGTTCTCCGAGACGGTTACGCCGTTTCAACGATGGACATCATCCTTGTTCTGGTGGCAACACTGATACTCTCAGTCCTGCTGTTCAAGATTAAGTCTAAGGCTACTGACAAGAAGAGAACATTAGCCCCTGGACCAACGGGCCTTCCGATCCTCGGATACATGCCATTTCTCGGACCCAGACCCCATGTTAAATACAAAAAGCTTTCCGAAGTCTACGGGCCCATTGTAAGGTAAGCGCACTCCTACATGTTTGCAGCATCTGCTTCGCTTGCTCTTTGCAGTACCGTTTGTTCAGGAAGGCTGTTGTATACGGGAGCTTGCAGACCTGGGTCCGTTGGCCCAAAGCGCTAACCGCGGCTAAAGTTAGCCGCAGTACCTAGGAGAGGGATTTTGAAATCACGTGACTGGCTCGGATAGGGATGCGGAGTAACATGGCGGTGCCCCGGCGAGTGAGCGCCGCTCGCTTTGGAACTAATATGCCGTTGTAGCTGCAATATCGGGCGCGTTAGTCAGCAACGAATGTTGCAGGAGGCTTTCGCTTTGCCTTACCTCACTTAAATCGCAAAGCATGAACAAGGATCTTGCCGCATTTTTTAAATAGTATTTCGATTCTGGCAATCCCTAGGCCTAAATGAACGCGATAATTGTCGGCAGGGCAACGTCTTTGGAAAGCGGATTGCCTTGGCTCAATTTAGCGCTAACCGCGGCTAAAGTTAGCCGCGGTTAGCGCTTCGAGCAAACGGGCCCAGATTGATCTCAGTAGAAGCTCCTAAGCAAATTCGGTACTTGCGCAGCTTAGGTGACCTAACGATATGCTTTAAAGCGTCCTAGAACAATAAAAATTCCGACTCATGTGCGTTTTTGCTAATCTTTATGAGCACTGCGTCGACAAACGATAACCTAGTTCAACAAACCCGTGTCGTTGTCGTTGTCTATATGACTGGCGCAAGGCCAATTCATGCTTCGTGTCAAAGGCCCCGTGTCAGTAAAGATAATGTCTTGCCCTACCGTTGCAGGGTCAAGATGGGGTCTGTAGACGTGCTGGTGCTGCATACCGTCCAATCAATAAAGGAAGGTCTGAACAAGGACGAGGTGCTGGCTCGTCCGCCGTATTTTCGTCTAAGAAGCTTAGGAATGGACGGTGAGTAAAGTGAAAGCCGCGACCACAGTTCTAATACAACGTACAAAAGGACGCAGAGTTTCTCCGCGGACATGATTATAGAATAATCTGCGGATACGCCCCAAGCATGTTCTCTTGATATATTTGTATGTTTACAAGATGTCTGCAGAGAGTTTTTGTACGAAACAATATGGCAGGACCTCCGTACAAGGAAGAAACGTGCATGAGACAGTAGGGAGTTTAAGGGAACCCTTTTTGCACATCCGATGAGGTACGATGGGCCCTCCCGTACGAACTGCGCATATGGGAGTCATCTGTGCAAGCGCATGCGCAGTTCGTGGCGGAGGGCCCACCGTGCCGTATCGGATGTGCAAAAACGGTTCCCAAAACTCTCTAGTGTCTGCAAACCGCCTTTTGTGTGATGCATTAGCAAAGTGACAATTGCTTTAAAGACCGGCTACCAGTTCGCGCTTTCTTCTTTTCCGTCCCTTCTTCCTCTCCCTCCTCTATCCTGTCCGCCGTTGCCTGTTTCCCCCTCTTCCATGATGAGGAGGATCTTCTGCCTTGCAGAATCTCGAGTCTGGTCGTCGGCCTTTAAGGACCGTCCACAAAGAATTACGGTTCGCTTTTGCGTGTGTCGTGTGCGAGTTTTGGCCCGACGAAGTGCGGGGTTTTCTTCCGCTTCTTTTCCGCCTGACAACGAATCTTCTTGGAGGGTAAAGTGGGTGTCCGCTTGCGTCCTTGAAATGTGTTCTGGACATGACTGACACCTTCTGCCAATAAAACCAAACCCCCCCGCTGCTGTTGTCCCTTTCGAACCATCCGGAAACAGGATATCGGAGGAGGCGATGGTGAAGACGAGGAGAAAAGTCGGGCTGTTTCGCGCCCGGCAGCGAGGTTCATATGTAACTGCGGAAATCGTAGGCGCGTACTAAATGGAATACGTTGCTTTAAAATTGGACACGATTGTTTTTCGTTGAGTGCGGCAGAAACCGTGTTCTCTGTGGGGAGTGCCCTCTAAACAGATGTGCCTGCTGAGTTTCATTTCGATCAGTTAGTATGAACTTAATGGGTTAATATTGAACAGCGAATGTCGCGTGCTCTTTCTTTTTCTTCCATCTGGAGCAATGTTTCTATAGTGCATAGAATTTAGAGGAGGGGTCCGCAACGTTTTGTGAGAAAAGCTTTTTAATAACATAATTGCTATCAAGTGAATGAACAGCGGTTAACTTACATACTTACACGTACTAACTGAGAGGTAAGTAAGTAGCGGTAAGTACTAACTGAGTTATATTCTATTTATCTTATCTACCTGACCTATTGTCTCTTAGGAGCAACATATGGTCCGATTAACTGTCTTGTATGACAACAACCCGGACTTTCTTTTAGTTTTATTTATTTGAATCTAGCTTGTTATTGCGAACTTGAAGCATGGTGTTATTTTTCATCTAAAAAGTGTGAAGAACAAATCATAACCTCTAACCAAAATAACAAAAATGCATGCCCGAGGACACGTTTTCTTTTATGAAATTTCAACCGTTACGCTCAGGTCCAGAGTCCAGGGTAGACTGTGGCTTGTTATTTACTTTCATTTCAATACTGTGGACTGTACATGCCCAGGTAGGATGGAAATAAATGTTGCACATGACATTGCAAAACACGAGCCATTTATTTTTATGGTCAATACGTATAAAAACAAATTTATTATTTCTGAATTGTATATTCCAGTCGTTACATCGATACGGGACAGTACCTAGGCTTGAACTAAGGAAATGTCTGTCTGGGGTAAAGATGTTCTAAATAAATCACAATCATCCACTTCCTTGGCTATTCAGGCAGCGATTCCTGGCACATGGCTACGTGGCCATGGAGTTGTAATAATTGACTTCATAATGCTTTAATTGAACAGTAATATTTCCACCGTCACGTGTCATGCACCGAACATCGCGAAACCGAAATTTTAATTCAGCATATAAACTTGCGTTCCAGGAATCGTTACCATGAACGGGCAACCGTGGCTGGATAACCGTAGGTTCTGTCTGCACGTGCTCAGGGATCTTGGATTCGGGAGAAAGTCCATGGAAGAACACATCAAAGTAAGTCATTGTACTCAATCTTGCCCGGAGGACACTAAGTGAGGTATCCACTGGTACTGGTTGTCTACTCGCCTTGTCGGAAAAGGCTCGAAAGCCGCAATGGCACTAAGCAGACATCATAAAAAATACAGTTTGCTGGCACTGTCTGGGGCAAATTTCTTCTATGTACGATGGTCCCGTCACGTTATTCACGCAAAAACTATCCGCAGATAAGCCTCTCATGTCTGCAGCAAACGCAGTGTCCTTAGTATGATGCACGAGGTGTATGACTGTGGCTTAAAGACGCCTGTCTTTGGCCGCCGACAGGAGGAGATTTTGCAGCTCTGCGATGTCCTGCGGTCATGGGACGGCAAGCCGAAAGCGGTTACGGACGTGCTCACGTCAAGCGTCTCGAACAACATCACGGCGCTCTTGTTTGGAGAGCGCTTTCACTACGATGACCCCAGGCGCCATTTTCTGGACACGAAGGCAGTCAAGTTTGCCCTCAACGCAAGCTTTGTGTCGGCCTTGGACTTTCTTCCCTCTGTGCGGAACCTCGTCTCGTACATTCCATCGTCAAAATTTGGAATCTCTAAGGACGTACTAAAGAGTGTGCACGATTTCATCAGGCAAGTATGGTATTCGGCAGTCGACGTGACAAGAGAAAATGATCTCTTGACAATCTAAGTCAGACTTTGTACTCTCAACAATTGTATAACGTGTTCCCTGACCACTAAGATTTAGATTATTGTTATTCGGTTACGTCATGAACACATGATAGCTACAGGAGAGCGGTGATGCTGTCATACTGTCGGAAGAGCTACGTCCCAACAGTACTACTGTAGCCGACCAAAAAGCAGGCGGTCAGTGTCGACTGCAAGAGGCTTCTTTGCTGCGAGTTTACTCTTTACTTTCGTAAGATACTCAGTTTAAAAATTATGTGTTATGGCCTTAATTTCAAAAAATGGAACCTTTGTTTGAACTAAAACGTCTGACCTACTTTGTATTTGTTAATGGCGTGTCGGCTACTGGTACGCACACGACAATATTGTAGATACATGTAGTATTTTGTTTCATAAAATGAAAGTAAAAACTATGAGGCACATCTACATACCTCAGTAACCCTTCAACCCCATGTGACGATCGGGCATTGTCCTCTTTAATTTGCAGTGAGCAGGTGAGAGAGCACTCTAAAACCCTGGAGGCAGTTGTTAACACGGACTTCATTGGTGCTTACTTGAAAAAAATCAACGAGAATAACGGAGGAAATGCAAGCTTCAATCGTGAGTCTTGTTTTAGTTTGGCCTTACTTCTGCCAGTTGTTTGTGCCTATTATGGGACCCTTGACTTGTGCCCATTACTTATTTCGTGAAACTTCTCTTGGCGTTACGTGTGTCTATCCTTTAAACTTTGAGTCTTGTCTTAAGGCTTATCACTTGGGCCGGGAGTCTTTTGTTACTTGGACGTTAGTTGTGCCTATTACTTGTTAAATGAGCCTCATCTTTGTCATTACTTGGGCATTGAGTCTTGTCTTTCTTAGGCTTATTAGTTGGGCCGGGAGTCTTTTGCTACTCAACCATAATTGTGCCTATTACTTGTGGCATGAACCTTGTTTTCCACGTTACTTGTGCGCATTACTTGAGACAGGAACCTTGTTTTCCACGTTACTTCTGCCTATTACTTAGGCCTTGGGCCTATTACTTATTCCGTGAACCTTGTCTTGACGTTACTTGTGCATATTATTTAAGCTTTGATCCTTGCCTATCTTGGGCTTATTACCTGAGCCGGGAGTCTTACCTTACTTGGATCTTACTTGTGCCTATTAATTAGGCCTTGAACCTAGATTTACTTCAACCGTGAGACTTACTTGAGCCTAACTTGGGTCATGTGCCTCGTCATAATTGGGAATTTTCATTAGGCCGCGTGCCATGACTTGCTTGGGCCTTACTCGCGCATTACTTAGGCGATGAATTGAGTTTTACTTGGGCCTTGCTTGGATGGTTAGCTTATTTTATTACTTTGACCTTAAACCTTGTCTTACTCAAACCTTACTTGGGTGGTGACTCTGGTCTTAGACGGGCTTTTTACTTGGGCCGTGAGCCTTGTTTTACTTAGGCGTTACTTGAACCTTTTACATGGGCCGTACTTCGACCTAGTCATTGTGTTGCGAGTCCTTATTTACTATGGGCCTATTATTTGGGCCCAGGGTGTTTGTTACTGGGGCCTCATTAGACATATTGGTCAATAGGGCTTCGCATTTGTATTCTCGTACCGAGAAATCAATAATTTGTATTGTGTTTATTTGTTATATCTAAGATTCCGTGTTTTCGGAGTTTATTTTTTTACTAAATTCAGAGGGTGTTTTTTTTGTTAGTTTATTAGTTGCCGAAAATTCTAAGTTTATCGAAGTTTATTTTTCTTCGATTCCCCATTCTCTGAAATTCGGAAATTAAATTTGCAGTACTTTTTTTATTAAAAATAATAATATCTGAGTGTAGACGTAGCTAGATTCAAAAAAACAAACTTGTATCAATTTATATTTCTTCGGCTGGATTTGGTGTTGGTGCCATTGCCATTGGCATTACTAATTTTTTCTAAATTTTCCCACAACAAAAGTTGCAAACAAGTGTGGCTTTGAAAAACGTCGAAGCCTGAAAATAAATAAACTGCTGGAGGTAGTCGCTGGGAAGCTAGTATTCATCCCATCCTATCAATCAACCTACCCTGTGGCTACGCTGGATGGAATGATAAAGGGTAAAACTTAAAAGCTTCAAGTTCCCGCGCCCTTGCTTTCCCCTTCTATGAAATCTATATGGTTCACGGCTTTCACTGTTTGAAAGCAAAATTGGTATAGATTGAACTAGAAACCATAACTGTGGCTTTTGTCATTACCCGAAAGACCCGTTTTCCTGATGAACCCTGACGAGGTAAGAGTTAAGATCCCTTATGTGAATGGCCCGAAATTTGAAAGAAAACTGTGGTGACATTTTCTCAGGAGCATTGACCCCGCGGTCTGCTCAAACTTAATTGTAAACTACCGCCATTTTTTTTTATGGGGGTGGGGGGGGGGGGGGGGGGGGGGCATTGGTACATCGAAATTTGGAGTCTATCAGAGAGATCCGCGTTGACGAAAATTTCACCGTGGGTGTTTTTTCGTAGTTCTTCGAATTAATCCGAAAACACGGAACCCTAGTTATATCCTGAGCACGGCAGCCTATGCTTAGCCTGCCGGGCTTCTCCGCTGTGGTAAACTACTTTACTCCTTTTTTTTCGCATTCGTTTTTTTTTCTTGCATGGAGTGATAGAGCACCCTCTAGGTAAAGATTCCGTAGCGGTAAATGATCTCACTTTTCTACCCAAAGCCGGACTCAAATTGAACACGAGTACTTCGTCAGCGTTCGGCTGTGACACGTGTTCAATCAGTAAGAACATGAATGGAGCCGGATTATCGTTGACTAAGCACCGGATTCGCGCCGTACTCAAGTCTTGCTCTTAGAAGCATGCTCCAGCGGAGGCTAGAAGACGCGTTCTTACCTTGGGAAGCTGCTTCTGCTGTGCTACAGTTCGTGCAGTTGAGGTCTGTCAATGAGCAAGGATCTCACTCTCTTGCAACTTTCTCATCTCGCAGCGCAGACATTGACTGGTAACGCCTTGAACTTTTTCGGAGCCGGCACAAACACTGTGAGGGCGAGCATGTTGTGGCACCTGCTTAACTGCGCCCGAGACCCCGAGGGTGTCCAGAGGAAGCTTCAGCAAGAAGTGGACAAGGTCGTGGGCCGGGTCAGGGCTCCCGAATGGGAGGACAGGCACAAGATGCCCTACACCATGGCTGCCGTCTGGGAGATGCTGCGCTGGAGGACAGTAGCGCCGTTGGGTGTCATCAGAGTGTGAGTGAATTGTTCCTTAGGGAAGGGAAATTTGCTATGATTACCATAAGTCAATGAATGAATGAATCAATCAATCAATCAATCAATCAATACGTTTTTTTTACTCATACAGAAGTTGCAGCAAGTGTAGCTTGAGGTGGCTCCAACCAACGCCTCCTGTATACTCATTCCTGTCGAACAAAGGAAAATACAACGAGGGCCGCCGCCATTGCTTAGGGTGGGGCAGTTTGGCCATTCGTTGTGAAGTATTGGAGGCAAATGAGGAGACGCCATTGGTCGAAAGTGGGGTGGGCGTGTTCCAGGGCGTCTTCACAAATTCGAATGTGGCCAACCAGAAGCCGAAAATATTGCCCTGGCGGTGGTCGCGAAAAACAAACTTAATAAGTGCATCGGAGTAACTCTCGGTTACTGAAAATATGGTGCACGTGATTTTTCAATTATGGTTATCCAAAACCATGGTGGACTAGGGCGACTAAAGGAACGACCGAAATAATCGGCACGCCGGCACCGAACGCAAGGAATCTGCCGTCACACTCCGCCCGAGCAAAACAGAGTTTAAGTGGCAAATTCGTTTCTTACATCTTTTTGAATGATCATAATCGAAACATCACCTGTACCATATCTTCAGCCGTGAACAGTTACTACTTTGAACTCTTGCGTGCTTTATAAAAGTTTTTTGCTACCACCGCTACGGAATTATTTTCGGCTTCTGGTCGGCCAAGAGAGCACGTCCAGCCCTCTGTCTGCGGCTGTTGCACGGTCTGGCTCTGCCCGCTCCTCTCATTGATCAAACTTCCTCTATAGACGTTTTCGGTTTCCCGTCGCTTTTAGTCACCTGAGTTCCGTATCTGCTATGGGGTGCGAAAAAACAATAAAGCATTTCAACCTGGAATATGCGAGAACATATAGGTGAGGCCAACAAGAATGTGTGACAATCGCGCATTTTTCGTAAACATCTTCCAGCGGCGTGGAGAGATCAGAACAATGTTTTACCACATACCAGAAGTGACAACATTCAATATGGCTGCGCCCTCATAAAAAAGGTGTATATATACGGCTCTGGGGTAGGGTAGACAGCCTTGATTGAAGATAGGGTCCATCTCAATACAAAGGGAGCGCTTGCAATTTAATGGCGGCCACCTCCTGCGGCGATTGGTCGCAAATGCGGATGTCCTGCGTTTTCGCGTGGTGAGAAGGAAAGCAGAAGGAAAAGCAAATACGTTTCAAGACGTTCAGCGCTTTCGTCTCCTCCTTGCAGCTCGTGTGGCAAACGCGGCCCATAAACCACGTGACTCCAATCGAAGAGTTGGAAACTCTCTGTAATCGAGGCTTTCAGGAGGCTAACGCCGGGACTTTGCGCGCGACGCGTGGTCTGCTCCTGTCCCAAAAAGCCCGTATTACAGAGTTTCCAACTGCCCGGTCTGGGACACGTGGTTTAAGGGCGGCATTGGCAATGCGAGCTATGAGAAGGTGACGAAAGCGTTACCGTCTGCAAACGCCTCCGCCTTTCCTCCTGCTTTCCTCCTCGCCACGCGAAAATGCAGCGCAAGTGCACTTGCGACTAATCTTCGCATTAGGTGTCAGCCATTAAATTGCAAGCGGTCCCCATGGTCTGAGATGGAGCCGCTCTTCAATCGGCTTTTGACACACCTACTCATGTTTAGAAAAAAATAAAACGGAGCGCCCCTAGAGGACGCCACCGGCTCCGCGCATGCGCGATGGAGGTATGGGCGAGAAAGAAGCGCACTGTCATGCATCAACAAACCATTAGAATGCGATGTTGTCGCCCTCGGCGTGAGTCCCCGTACTCTTTTTCGCGTTGGAATTGTTGATTCTGCGTCTCCGACTCTTTTAGTGGCCTCAGCGAAATTGACGAGGCTAGTTATACCCCAAACCTTGGCGTGAATAATGTGACACGATGCAATTCATTCCGCGTGGACGCCGCACAATGGATGCTAAAGCCTGATACATATGATGAGATTCTGCTCGCTATTTTTGTCGCGACGTCGATCGGGTTGCAAAAAAAAAAAAAAAAAGCGTAGACGGTAGCAGCGATGCTCGACTATCGGTACTAGAAATCACTAGGAGAATCGGACCATGTGAATTAATCATAGCAAGTCGGTGATCTTCACCGGTAACAAGGATCAACATCTATTTGTATCTCTTGTTTGCACCGAACCTACTTACCCTAAACCAGGGTTGGGCACTATCGCGATACAAATGTATCGCGATAGTATTTCAGAAATACATTTCGTATCTGTATTTTTGTATCGCGATACATTTTTTACCATTATCTGTATTCCTTTATCGAAATACATTTGGAATGTTTCTTTGTATCGCGATACAATCAGGATGAAATGTATTTCCTTACATTTCTTGAGAAATACAATAAAGTTTATTCTCTCTTCTCTCCCCCCCAAAAAAATACAAGTCCGAACGCACTTTTTTTTTTTTACTTCTGAGGGCACCAGGGTCAAGGAGATGCTGGGGCATTGTTACTATGCTGACCAAGGTTCCTTCCGATTCTCCACACCATTTTTCTATGTGTCCTCTTCTCTCTTCTGAAAAGTGTGGCGTAGTCGGGGACTCGAACCACGTGGCGTGCCAGGAGTGGAATCAGAGCATCTTCTGCCGCAGGTCCTTAGGTGGGGATTTCTTGAGTCATTGTTTGCCCGTTGCTAACCGTCTTTCTTGCCTTAACGTACACAGTACACCCAGCCGGCAAAGCTGAGTCACGGTCCGTCGCAGCACGAGCCTGCTGGTGGTTGACTTGAAATAGTAAGACGACTCACGCAGTAAAGTTCAACACATATGCGAATGCGTCTGCGGTTGCGCCCGCAATATTGCACGGCCCAAGGGTACGTCATCAGCCGACGTGAACGTGACCCGCTGCTCTGATGATCCGACACCCAGGAAGGAGGCCAGTCGTGGCCTCGCTGTGCCGACCCAAACTTCGTACATCTGCGACTCGTCTCGAGAGTGCTGTTTTTCGGAGAGCTCGCACCCTGCCGGCTATAGCAGCTCGCAATCCACGAGGTCTCGGTTTGGATCAGGCTAGGCGAAACTTGTGGACTGCAATCCTTGCGTTGGTGGTGGAGGGTCGGCAGGAAAGACCTCCAGAACAGGGATGCCACCGTGTATTTTTTTAACCGTAACCGATGATAAGACATATGGTTCAGGATGCTTCAAGTGGTCCACTATTCTCGAAAATTCCAAATGACATGCCTGCACGATCTTCAACTAGGTAACCTGCAACGAAAGTACGTATTGTCCTTTCATAAAGCAGCGTGGTAAAGTTTCATGTTCAAGGCCACACCTACGGATAAAGAATACAAATCCATTCCACCGTGACGTCATGTGATGAATGTTGACAGGGGTGTCCTTATTGGACAGGGCCGTGGTGACGTTTTGATGGGATTTAGGGTGACTATTTATTTAGAGATCGAGGTCTTTTCGCATCCCTCGTCAGACAGACCGGATGTCAGGGAAGGAACCGCGGTCAGTCCTTGATGGAACGATTTTGTTCAGCCCATTGAAGACTCCTTGTCGTCCGAAACAACTACCTTCAAGGCAAACTGCCAAGCCTACTGGAAAGTAATTTCGGGATCAAATACTTCCACTTCAAACTTCAAGCTTCATCTCAGTTGGCGTCTCAAACAAGTTTGAAACATATATTGCAGTATCAGTATTTCTGTATTTGTATTTCTGCCCTCCCTAAAACGTATTCCTGTATTTGTATTTACGAAGACTTTTTGCCTCATTTAAAATGTATTTCCGGTACATATCGCGATACATTTTTACAGATATATTTTAGTATCAATATTTAGCTGCTCATGTAATGTAACCCGGTATTTGTATTTCTGCCCAACCCTGCCCCAAACAACCTTCAAATTTGTAACCTTCTGAAACCCGTCATTACTTATCACAATTACCGCGTCAACATCCGGTGTACAAACTGTTGTCGATTGAACGGCCTGACGACAGTTTGAACAAGCAGACAAGTTTGAACGAGCAGACAACAGTTTGAACGACCAGGCGGTTGTACACACGTGGTCTGGCCAACTTGACGGTTTTGTCGCATTCTTGTTGGAACAAAATAAATCTACCTGACGATCACAAATCTCCGTGAAGTCAACCCAAAGTAGTAGTAGTAGTGCTTTATGAAGGAAAGGCAGAGATTTTAACTTGAACGTCAGTTCTAACTAGTTTGCTACTCTGCACCGGGGATAGTGAGAGGGGGAAGGAAAGACATAGCGCTTCTCAGAAAAGCGAGTGTGGTCCAACGAAGTCTGGTTTTGCCTTTTCATGGCGCCTATCTTCGTTCTCGGACAAATCGGGCAGGCAGAAAACACGGGAAAACTATTATGACACCTTTCCCGGATATTTTGGCGCAGTTCTATCCCGGTGTTTCGACAATGAAAGTAGTCTTTAGTCTGGTTTCTTCCAAAACAACAGAGCAATGCCCGGCCCGCATGACGACTTCCGCCCACACGCCCAGACCGGAAATGCGCCCGATGCGCAAACACCGCGGCGTGACGTGACAGAGTTGAGTTGGTGTTCGTCCCTATGTAGGCAGCGCCGTCTCGCGGCGCACACGGGCGTTAGAAGAGAAGGATAACTTAGTAAACGGGCGGTCTCGGGGTGCGCTTCCGACAGGCATAAAGTATACAGGAGGCGTTGCCCCAGCTCATTACAAAATCCGCGAATAAGACAATTAAATTTGCGTTTTGAACAGTTAAGTATAGACAACGTAAATAACATGCGAATATAGTACATGTTTATAATTATTGCCAGCAGTTTGCAATATATTTTGTTGTGCGTATGATCACGCAGTACTTCGAATCATCGAAATTGTGAAGATATAAAAAAAAGTACAGGATGGGAAGAATTATGTTTTCTTTCGTAAAAGATACCGACCAGCCCAAAATGACGTAAAAAAACAAAAAAAAAAATCAATCAATTATTTTGGACAAATACATGGTTTGCACTGATTATGGTGCCTTAATGTGCACTTTGCTTATAGTATTGCCATTCTTGTAGTACGCGATGCCGACAGCACGCGCTGTCGAGAAAAGTGCGAAGAAATAGCCGGTAACAAAATGCGGCCGTAGTACTTTCAATGCCAAAGAGCTCGCGCCGGCAGACGCGCTTGCTTGTGCTCAGGAACAATACGGAAACAAAAGCGTCGGAATGAAATGGCCAGATGTCATCACCCTAAGCAAAGCGCCCATGAAGGCGCTCTATCACTGATGTCGCATGAACGGTCATTGTGGTGGCCTTGCTGCTGAGCTCGTACATTGTGCAGGAAACATTTCCCACCACCGAATTTATTTTTCTAGTTCGAATGACCACGATGCATTTTGCGGTCACGTGAAGTGCTAGCGAAAAAAAAAAAAAAGTAAAAAACATTTAACGACAGGCGAAGAGATTAGGGAGTTTAGTAGATCGTTTTCAAAGGCCCGCTACCGCCACGAGCGCGCGCTTCAGAACATGCATCGAAGTGACATCGCTAGCCCCAGCTACGATTAGCGTGGCCTGAAAACACGATCTACTAGAACTCTCTATTGTTTGAAAGTTTTCACCAAGCTGAATTCACGCTGCCTCCGTCCCTTGAAGACCTAGGCGCAGTGTTGTTGTGATTGCATGTATGGAAGTAAACAGAAGTCTCATTTTCTTGCTACTTTTTTATACTGAAATGTTTGTAGAATACCCTTTCTGGAGTTCCTGCAAAGGCTCCCTACGGGAGCCAGAGTTGCGCGTTCAGCCATCTTGAAATCCGAAGTTATGCGGGAAAGTCACTCCTCTCTCGTGTAGGAGCCGTGCTCCCTCGATTGCGGCCGGTCACGTGATTGAATTCGGCGAATAGCTGCGCAGCGCACGCCGCCATCACGGAAAGCGGGAAAGTTTTCCGTGCGCGTGCCGCTCCCCGTCTTTGTGTCTCAATTGATCAATCTCGGCGAACAGATAGCGGCGCAGCGGCACGTGGAAAACAGACGCGCAACTCTGGCTCCCGTATGGAGCCTATAGACCTTTCCAATGTTTAAAATTGGGTTGTGTGTATGTTTATACAGCCTAGAACTTGGTCTGCCTCACAGGGGCGACGAGTCTCCCAGCTGTAGATGAGAAATTTAGCCAGTGCGGTACAGCCGCTAGCCTGGGGTCTTTAACGTGCATCACGCAGTAGTGACACACGACCGCACGCCGGTACGATGCTCATCCAGATCGAAACGGGCAGGGGTGGGGCTCGAACCCAGGATCCCTGGGTTCTGCAGCGCGAGCTTTCGCTCCACGTGCTCCGAGCTGGTGTGTTTCCAATGTTTACAAATCCACAGCTCAGCGTGTGATCTCCACAGCTCAGCACGCGCGTGTGCGTCGCTTCGGAAAGCGAGCAAATCACGCGCGATACGCACGAACACTGAAAATGAAGCCGGCCAGCAGCCCTTTTCTGGAAAGGTCTATAGACCATCGCAAGCAAGGCCACTAGCCGCCGCCATGTTTTTGTTCGCGCGGAGAAGCCCGTGCAATTTGAAGCTTGCCACGGCTATGTTCAAGCGCAAGCTGCACGTGCTTGCCCTCACGGGGCAACGGTCGGGCGCCATGCTTGCAATTGTCTATACAGGATCTGTAACCCTTTCCAAAAGCTTTTGACATCGAGTAGCATTCTGCCGTGCCATTGAACCGAGTCTGCCATTAATTGTGCTCGTACTCTCGTGTACCGGACACGAGTGCCAAGTGAAAGTTCGGAGAGGACTCAGATCCAATCACACGCTTCGTGACTAAGAGATGGTGACCGCCAGTGCTGCTCCATGGCCAAGGTGTTTATTGAGTTTACGTTGACGCTCTTGAACAATATTGTGAATAAAGAATCAGTGTTTTTCTTCTTTTTTTATTGACAGAGCCGAACGCGACACCACTATAGGTGGTTTCCACGTTCCCGCTGGCACCGTAGTACTGCCGAATATCTGGGCGGTCCATAACGATCCAGACGTTTGGGAACGCCCCATGGACTTTGATCCGACCAGATTCCTAAACGCGGATCAGACCGAACTACTGCCCAAGCCAGCCGCCATGCTTTCTTTCACTACAGGTAAGATATTGAGTCGATGCCACAGGCGAACGCAGTGCTGACGGAGGTACAGCGGCCTAAGCGTATTTCAGTAGAATGTGTTTTGTTTGTACAAGAACTCGCACATGAAAGACACTTTCCGCAGCCCTCACCCTCGCAACCCTGCCTTTGTCGGCGCCGCAGATCTTTTTTTTATTATTATTTAAACGACAATATCTCCGTTGACGAAAGCATCGGGGAAGGTAATCACTCATTGTAGAAAATTATAGAAAACAAATGCAGCCTAACTGAAATTTTACACGAAAGAGATAATTGTAAATAAAAAAAACAAAACAAAACAAAAAAAACAAGTAAAATGCGGCACAATAAATGTGTATGAGGCAGCTCGGAAAATGGCTTCGCTTAACTGCTGTTTTGCAAGAATTTGCGAATTTGCAAGCATTTCTTGCATGAATTCGCAAAAAGAATTGCGTTTAGGGAAATGTCATTCGAGGATTTGGCGTCTCGGAAAAAAAAAAAGGAAATAAATGAGGTCACTGTTTTAGTTTTGATGCGCGTCACGTTTATATGTATGGCCTGTATGATGTAAGTAACCTAGAAATGATATGGGTAAAATTGAATGGAAACCATAATAAAATTTATAGGAAATTGAAAGCGTGATAGAAGTTCCAATGCATAAATAGTTCGCCTAAATACGCATGCCCTTCTAAGCCGGTGGCACTTGTTTTATACAAATACCTTGATTATATATTCCCGACCGAGAGATTTTGAACTGATACTCTAAGTGATTATTAAGGTAACTTCGTCAATGCTTGTGAGTGTTAATGATTTTAGCGAGATGCAGTAAAGGATCGGCTAAGCCATGGCCACGATATCTAAGGACAATAATTGTTGAAGCCAAGGCTTCATTCGAGTTAGAACCAGGCATCTATTCGCGCGTTGAAACCTCTTGGAGACGTAATCAAAGATTCCATATCCGCGAAGGTACGCCTTTTTCATGCTATTTTTCATCCTGACGTATTTTATGTTCCTTTTTCCCCAGTCACTCTTATAATCTTTTTTTTTTTTTTGTAAAATTTTGCACACGAGATTTACACTAACTTTTCCTTGCTTCCCGCTATCTTCATTTTCGGAAAGCTCCTGCCTCACGGCGAACAGATTCAGCACCCATCTTGGCGGGTATTTTTTTCTTATTTTACGCTTTCTTGTATTCATATTAGTAGTATATGGCACAAAATAAATGAAACTCAATGCAACAACACAGCTGAAATGTCTTCTGACGGCCACAGAGGAATGTAGTGGTGCCCTCCACTTTTAGCTCACAAACAACTCTCTCCCCCCTCCCTCGACCACCAGACGGTGGCTACACGGAAAAAGCCTAGTGTTAAGAAAACTTGTTGTTTTCTTATTTGACTCTACCTTTCCCAACAGGACGGCGCATGTGTCCCGGAGAAACACTGGCCACGATGGAGTTGTTTATGTACCTGGCTACTCTGATGCAAAGGTTCAGGGTGCTGCCCAAGGAGGGAGACACCGTCTCCATGGATATTTTCGACGGTTTCATCACGCTTCCCCTGCACTCCCAAGAGATCCGATTTATACCGAGATGAGCGAAGCGATGACAGTTGAATTTGGAGATTGTCAGGTGTAACTGACGTACATATTTCTAAAATAATAAAAAAAAAATGTTAATCTGGATGCCCGATAGTACTATTTCTGCCGGCTTAAGGTCCGTTCACACATGCAGCGGAGCGCTACAAGCATAGCGCTAACCTCGCGCTAAGCGCGTGCTGACGGCAGCGTTCACCAGCTTTGTATCGCACCGACAAAACTGTTGCTCATGGCATACGATAAGTAGCTGATGGCACGTGAGGAGCGCTACATCAGCGCTTCGCTGCATGTGAGAACCGGCCTTTACAGTACTCTTAGCACCGCCTACATAATATAGGGGGCGCCTTAGCGTGTGGCTTCTCGTACAGACTTACGTGAAGAGACAGATGTCTTATCAGTAAGTCTATACCTTTTTTCAGAGAGAAAAAGAAAAAACAAGTTTTGCGCGCTGTTTATACGCGGCGCGAAGTAGTTCTTACGAGATTCGGTTGTTGGAGGAAAAAGCAATGCTTTTGGCGTTTGGATCACGTACGTCTTGATAAGGTAACATATACCTTATCTAAAATTCACCTATATATATCTTAAGTGCCCACATAAAGGGTGTAGAGGTGGTCGCTTTTCTTTATTATGTTTTTTTTGACCGCCAGTACGGCATCACTTGCTCTGTTTTCTTTATACGCCTGTGGGCGCTTCGGTCGGGATTGGGGAGGCGCTTTGGGAGACGAGTGTCGCGTTTCAGGGGATCCCGTGCCGTTACGAATCGGAATTCTGTTTGTTTATGAGCTTTTCCCGGTATCGGAGAAATGGCCGCGGGCATGTCACCCTCTCCGTTGCATTTCAGGTGGAACCCCGGTTTTCAAGCCCACGTGAAAGCACTTAACTTTCCCACGAGAGGCTGCTATCTCAGTGCCGCGTACTTCTACCCCTTTGACCCTGAAGCGCGGGGCCAGACGTAAAGGTTTGCTGGGGAACCCACGGCCGAGACATTAACACGTCACCGGTCGCCAGGTCGTTTGCTGGGAGACAAAGTGTTTCAGAGCTCTCTGAGTCGTGTCTCGGAACTCTTCCGTGACGCCCGGGGACCATGTGCTCCCCATATATTCTGTACATGCTTGGCGTGCCTTTCTTTTTACTTTGTTTCAGCGGCATTTCGTGGTGGCATAGACGCGCTCCTGCCGACGTTTCTTGGTGGTTCTCGCCGTTTGCGGATGTGTAACTTCCGAGCATATAGAAAAGCCATAAGTCGTATTTTATCCTCGGGATCTGAGAATCAAGGCTTGGGTTATGGTTCACTCTCGGAGCAATGACCTCTCACCCGATTGGTCGAAAGTGCGTTGTGTGTAGGCGTTGTAGTTTGGTTCTTCTAGCCAATGGGACCAGGGTGTCGATCCTTGATTGGCTTGGACGGGTTCGAGCACGCTGACTGTTTTAGACCCTGGCCGGACAGGGAAATTTTTGAGTTTTGGAATGGGCTCGTGGGCGACCCTACTTACGTTCAGCTCCCGCGGTTCGCCGCGTTACCTGTCGTACGCGAAAGGGTCTTTGTCTTCGCGTTTACAAGGTAGTCGCCGTCCTTACCGTGCGCGGTAGGACCATCTGACTCCAAGGCGTCCCCTGCAGTCTGTAAGCCGTGCCCGGCAGTTTATTACAGCGCGAGATCTGTTTGCCTTTGTCTTTTATGTAACTGATTTTTTTTTTTATCAAAGTAAAGATTTGTTGTTCTCGTTAACCCAAGGAGTTGTCGATCGCCTCTGCACCACCACCGACGTATCCAGCCCTCCAGCAACTAGCTTCATCCACGATCCTTCGGTCCTCGACGGCAACTTCAAGGTGGTCCACCATCGAGGTCGGGGAAAACAACCTGCCTAACATCTACTACGGGGAATATTAGTAATGCGCATCGAAAAGCCGGACTTTTTTTTTTTCCAACATTTCTTAATTTGAGAACGGGTATGGTCACCCATCTTTTCACTTTTCCATTTACCCTCCCCCCCCCCCCCCCCCCCCCCCCCTTTACCGTCCTCCGGCTCGGATGACTCTAGTCAAGAGAACCGGGGTGTATAAATTTTTATGTAAATCAACAACGTTTCCACCACCATCAACATTATCATCATCAGAGCATTTAAGAGCATCTATCGAGGACCTAAGGTCCCGCGACCTTATTTATAAGTAAGATACAACGTTTTCAGAGCGTTAATTATCTTCAATTTCCGGAAGGTTTTTTAGAGGTTAATTTCTTCTGCACATTCGGTATTTCGTCGTGCCCATTTTCGGCGTCACACGAAAATTCGGTGTTTATCGGGGCACATGTTGACGAAAACATGTCATGGGCACGGGATATTTTAGGGGCATTTGAGCGTAGCTCAAATAGTTTGAAAACGTCCCGGTACCTATAAGAGAGGAAACAAAAATAAGGGGCGTGTTCCCTCTGCGCCCCCCCCCCCCCCAACCCACCCTCCCAAATAAAAAAAAAATGAAAATAAGCAGTCTCATGGACAGGCCAGTGTGGGTTGTGTCTGGATTGGCACATGAAGCTGTAGATGACGATTCTTTCCAGTAAGGCTTGGATTCTTCTCGTTCAATGACGGCTCTAGTTCGGTGTTTATCGGTTTTCCCCCAAGTGGGCTCGAAGCGGCTCCGGTGTAGTTAAAGTGTTTGAGGACATCGTTCGGATATCTCCGATAACGATACCCGATAACAATACGTTGCACGCCGAGAGGCGTCGGCGGACTGTCCGATATCGTTATCGGAGTCGGCGGAACGATCTACTAATGCCCTAGTTACACTAGCGTTCTTAACTGTCATTAAGCCAAGGAGAGTTGACTCAATCGCGATCGGTCGGAGTTACACGGCGGCACCAACTGTAATTGACTTGCTAACAACGATCATTGAGTTCAGCTGGGCTGGTCTACCTCAATTCCCTGGGTTCAGCCAGACTTGAGACCAGCTGAAAGAAAACTGTCCCAGCGAGCAGCTCACTAAAAAAACGCTGGGCCCATATCAGCCGTAACATCATCCCGCCACCCTCGCCCACAAGCTCCATTTCGACATCGTCAGCACCTCTCATTCATCTGTACACAATCTCATCACATCGTCATTAGATGCGGTGCAGTAGGACTCCATGGTATGGGCCACTTGCCTTTCTGCGGCGGCGCGGTTCTCCTGATCCAAAATAAATATTATTATTATTATTAATAATAAAAATTAACTGAGTAGGGTTCGCCCTGATGGAGCTAAAGATGGCGGAGTCCGCCGCATCGCCGCCCATGGCCAGCGCCAGCGAAACACTTACTATCGCGGAAGATTGGGGGATGTATCTAGAAAGTATCGTGCCACAAATATTGTCGGAAGAGGTATGATACAAGGCTAGAGCTTCCGCTACAACGATCACGGCACTTCGCGGAATCCAAATCTCGGCGAAATTTGATTTGATTTGTATTGGATTATATTGGCTCTTCCCTTTATATGGGTTGAGCTAACGTTGGGTGACCACTGTCCAGCGCCAGCGTTTCTTGACACAGCCTTTTTTGATACTGGGCCACCCCCTAACGACTGACAGTATCCTTTCCTTTGGAGCGACGTTCTTTGGATCCACAAGCAACGCCCTTTGCTCCCTCATACATGAATATATTACGAAAAAAAACAAACCCGGTTAACTTGCTAGAGCCTTCCAGTCTTGAACAAAATAGTCTTTCTAAATTAACAACTATATACGTCCCCTACTTTTCATGGACTCGTCGATCCTTGGCCAATCCCCTTCTTGGGAATGCGCCAACGCGTTCATAGCCCAATAACAAAAGCAACAACAAAAACAATGTCCGAGCTCCGTTCTAGCCAGAATTCATTCCTTAGACTTCTCTATTTTTCTGCCACCAGCCCTCGAGTCGTCGTTTTGTGCCCTCGAGGACCTCAGCCCCTTTTGCCGATAAGACTTTCAATCTGTCTCTGTTGCTTGTAATCCTGTGAAACGTACTGATTATCGTTTATTTAATCTAAATTGAAAGAAGGAAATTTTATTTTGTTTTAAACGTTTATAATTAATGAAAAGTGTTCATATAATTAATTCGCATCACTTTTTTGAAAAAAAGGTGATGTGACACTAGTTTTTATTTCGTTTTGGTTTCAACTGTGTCCCTTGACGCGCCTCTTAACTGGGGTTGTTAGACCTATGCACAATGTAACACCGGACTACATAGCTGAGCTGAATGAGATTTGGAAGTTGTTTACGATCTTTGGCTTAATCACAGTTGAGAGCGCTAGTGTTGCTAGGGTATAAAACTCCCTATTTCTCGGACTCAACCGAAAAATACCCAGAACACGGAACCCTATTCATAACTAGCATTTCGTGTTTTCGGGGAATTCCGGTAAACCCTGAAAAGTAACCACCGAATATGTTTTATCTAATTCGGGGAACAGCGTAGAACCCAGAATTGGAGCCTGGGATAAGAAAATCGCAAGCTTCGTTGAAATGAATCTTTGTCTGTGGCTTTATTCTGTGTTCATCTGGAACGCTGCCCCATGGAACTGTCCGCAAGGCTGTTTCCTTCTTCGAAAAACATGTCCACTGTACCGTTTTATTTGCTCACGAGTGCCTGGACGATTTCCCAACATTGGAGTCACGCGTGTGCTGCCTGGAGCGTGGGGAATCCCATGTCCGTGTACTGTTTTCTTCAACACAAGCACCACTGAAGGCCGATTGTTTGTCCCAGATCTCAAATTGACACCACAAACACCGATCTTCGAGGGGAGTGGAGGGAGGGAAGGGGGGGGGGGGAGGGGGGTGGGAGGGTGGAGGGGGAATAAAGTGATAAAAGACATCCCAAAATTCGAGAAAAAAAAGAGAAAACGTATTATTATTTATAGACATTTTTAAGGGCGAACTAGAACTACCCCGAAAACTTGGAAAAAAAAAGGCGTCAAAAACGGCCGGAGGCAGCTGAAAGGCCAGATGAGTTGGTTTTGTACGTTGAAGTCGCGCTTATACTGCTTATGCATCATACAAGAGACAGTCTGCGGCCATTGCTCTGAGGGGTGCTTTTTATATGAAGGTTTCGTGTCACTGGTTATACAAAGTCTGACTGCAGATGTTTTCGAAGCATGCATACCTACGAAGGAAACATCCTTACAACACGAGTGACACGTGTTCGCCGATAATTATGTCTCCATGCCTAGTGTACTCTATGGAATGCGTACGTTTTCAAGCACGGCCTGTAGATGGCGTTTCAGCTCTGCTCTATGGAACGCACAGTTATAAAACAAACGTCTAGATGGCGCTTTGAACGACGGAAGGCGAACTGAAGTGGGTGACGGGGGGGGGGGGGGGGGGGGTAGGTACCCCTCTCCGCGGGAGTTCCACAACTGAGGTAATCTAGTAACTTTTGGGCCGTGTTTTTTAGAGCGCAGCTCTTAGGGGCCCGTTTCCAGCCTGAGCGGCGTCGGCGTCGCCGTTGGCGTCGGCGTAACCGGGGGGGGGGTCACGTGACTCCCGAGGTCACGTGACCCCCTCGAGGTCACGTGACCCCTCCCAGGTCACGTGACCCCCCCTTCCCCCCCCGAGGTCACGTGACCCCCTCCCCCGAGATCACGTGACTCCTCCGGGGTCACGTGACTACCCGCAGGTGACGTGACCCCCCTCAGTACCCTTCCCTACTCCTCCTCAAGAGCTGCGCTCCAATTCGGCGTTACAGGGATTTGTACACGGCTTTCATTTTTTCCCCTAGTCTCAGCTGAGACGCTGTTTCTAGCAAGTCCGCCCTGGTTTGGAGCGCCCATTCGTTTGTTCTGCCGTTGAATATAGACGTGACGAAAACCTGACATGCGCCAGTTTTTCAGTCACCAAGGGTTATACCTTTTTACTCGAGCGATGCTAAAGGCCCGTTTACACACTTGCAACCGAGTACGACTGAGAGAGACGAGACCTGTTGAAACATCTTAAAATTTCTTAGGACAAAATAACACACTGGCACGCTGGCGCCATCTATGCTGTGACCTTGTAACTGCATTTCGGAAGATCAAAGGCTTTGCGGGATTTCCGCGATCAAATGTGCGGAATACTTATAAGAAAGGCTCGTGTGCAACGTTGATAAATGCTTTCCGAGCCAAGACAGAAAGGATAACGCGCAAGAGAAATAGAAAATATGCCCTACCACCAAGTTTACACTGCTACCCAATAGATGGCGCCAGTATGTCCTCTCGTCGTAAGGGATATTAAGAGGTTCCAAGGTACTCGGTTCTAAGAGGTCGCAAGTGTGTGAACTGGCTCTAAGACGGCTAAAGTTAGTCGATTCACATTTTTAGAGATCGTGACCTTTGCTAGGGTCTGTTTCGCGGCGCGTGGTTGGCCCTGAGATGCTCGCCTATTCAAACCCATGAATTGCCGAACTCTCCCAATATGCGGCTCCGCCACAATAGCTGCTGATGTGACATCAGCTCAAGCCATGTATCGAATGTGGTGCTCGGAGACATTCGGCGACTCTGGGTGCTACGTACTCTACACTGGAGCCACTGTATAAACCACGCTTCAAAGTGATGCCACTTCAGCCACCTTTTGGTGGTTTAAATTATTGTTGCCAGTTATGTCTCAAGATTTATCTGGATCGCAAGAATTTCTATTCTGTCCTCCAGAATTGTTAAAACGGTCTTCGATAGATGTACAAAAAATATATATATATAAACTGATCCTCTTAACGCCGTCTTTATAAGCGCAGGACTTCGCATTTTTGAATCTTAACGATGGCCAATTGTTCCGGCTTTGCACGAAGCATTAAAATGGCGGCATCCTCGGACATTTCGGGGAACGAAGTGCCAATACTCTAAGCGCGACCTATTTAGTGGCTCTACTCCACATAAGAGAACATCTTTCATATCATGCAGCCTCGGAAGGAGTTTTATCAGGCAGCCACAAAAATTTTATGTCTTTTCTTCCCCGCAAGATACGACGAAAGCGGCCCGTGCAAAACAATTGTTTTGACACATTGATTCGAGTGATAAAGTGTATATCTTATCCAGAAGAGTGAAGACACGGCTCTACAGGGGCAAATGGAAGTCCCTTTAATGTCAACGACTGGTTTGGTGATATCGTCAAAGCGCTGAGGACACTCGGAAGGAAGGAAGGACATTAACAGGACGTCGCAGCAAAGGGACTCGTTCGTGGTTTCAACAAAGCGGTTCTTCGATCCAACCAACCGCCGCCACAGACCGCCAAGGAGCTGTGTGATCCTATCCTTTTCTTTTATGGACGACGAGATGTACGAGTCCTATTCACCATCTTTTGTTTGGAAGGTGAGTATTCGTCTTTTATTCGTTCCTGTCTTGTCATTGCTGTGTTTATCGCTCTCAGACGTCTGTTTTCTCGAGAAATGCAGTTTTTAAAGCGACAGCTTTACGGGCGACACTTCGCAGAGATTTTTAACTTCGTCTCGAATCTTCGCCGGTACGGAAAGACCCTTCTGTAAGCTCTTGGCGCGAGGCCAGAGAAGTCGGGCTTTCCCGTTGGCCACGCCGGCATCTTACCAGTAGCGACGCGACGAAAAGAGACTCTTCCGTGGCGTCTGCTTGAAAAACTTGTTTTCAAACATTACTCGCGTTATGCGAGATCCCACTTTGGCAGCGTCCGGTTTCTACGCGTAATATTGGATGGTTTTAGAAACATTCACCGCGCTTACCCACCTACTTTACGGATCACCGAGCACTTGTGACGGCCGTCAGAGGCATCCACGACGCCAAGCACGATGACTATGAGCATTAACCACGTCGGCACCTCCGCCCTCCGGTACGTGACGACACCATTCCACCCGCATTGCGCGTCCGTGCTTCAGCTTTCTCTTTCGTTTCTTCGCACATTGTGGGCGAAAAAAACGACTCTTCTAGATTTAGGGTAGTTTGCTGTCTCACATCTACATCGTGTAAATGTAAGAGTAGACACTTAGTCTACATTGTCGAGAGAAGGGCAGGACATAAACTACTTTTAGCTAATGAATATTGAAAAAAAAAAGTGAAAGCCGTTTACAACTCCCTGTAACGCTGAATTAGAGCGCAGCTCTTGAGGAGGAGGAGGGACGGGTACAGAGGGGGGGAGGAGGGGTCAGGTGACCCTGGGGGTGTCATGTGACCTCGGGGGGGGGGGGGGGGGTCACGTGACCTCGCGGTTACGCGGACGCCGCTCAAGCTGGAAACGGGCCCCTAAGAGCTGCGCTCTAAAAAACACACACGCGCAAAGAGTTGATTGTTACTACGTCAAAATACCACACGCTCAGAAAAAAAACTAAATACTGTGTATACTAAACGAAAAGCAGTACAATTTTTTTTTTAAGTTTTACCGCAGCCAACGCTGTATTCCGATGATGTCAATTCTAACACTGCCAAAAATGCATCGCCATGGCGCTAGCCGGCCTTGTTTGAAACTCTTGATGGAAAAATTAGGCCCGTTTCCGGTAGCCGGCGTCATTCACCTCTATGTATTCGTGGAGGTCGTCGGCCATCCTTTTTCCCATTTAAAAGATTCGAAAATCAATTTTAAAGCTTGAATAAGAAAATGGCAAACTCTGAAACTTTGCATCTTGACTGGGCCGCTAGCTTTACATTTTGACGTATAGACGGACTGTTCGGGGATTCGCTCTTTATTTTTGCAACAAAAACAAACTCTTTTTTTTTTATTTCGGGTGCACCCTGTTCCGCGTTTTTCCGAATGCGTCGCATATTCGCAAAAATTCGCTCGAAATTGAAAAAAAAAAAAAAATGTTTGCTCGGTTTTAAGGTAGCGACAATCAAGTTATTCTTTTTCTTTTTAATATCCAGCTTGTTTAAAGCAGTTTGTGTGCTATATATACTCCGTTCAAAATAGTTTGTCTGCGCAGTAAAAACATTTGGTTCGTTTCCCAAGCTGAGTGTTGGCTGCGCATAACGTAATGATAGCAAGTAGAATTGCTTCTTCCGAAAAGACGAGCCAAGTCAATTGAGACGTATGTGTTTGTCCCTTGCCTCCTTTGTCGTCCGTTCGCCTCCGCTTAGAATCATGTCAGGTCCTTGAGCAAATCTACTTCGCCGCTAGTATTATCAGCTGTCATGTTTACGTGCTTTGGAAAGAAACCTTCGTTTGACAAGATAAACTCCAATCACGCGAAAGGAGTATCGTTCGGCGCCACAAATGACGAACTTGTGTATCCGCAATAAAACATAATTTATCGAATCATGTTTGCAAAAAGGCGGTTTAACCGTAGCAATCAGCCTTTCGCTGCCAGACAGTATTCACAAAATTTCTTCAAATATTCTTAACGTGTCTGGGATTATTGAAAGCAAACACATTCGGCAAAAATCTGTCTGGTTGGGTGAGAATTAAAGACAAAAACACATATGACTCCAACTAAATCTTGAAAGGAAACCCGACGTTTCGAAGTCAGCTAGGTTTCTCTTTCAGGGGTGATTGAAAGCATGAGGAGCAGCAACAGCTCCGAACCTCGTCATCTTCGACATTAAAAATAAATAAATAAGACATATAAATACTTTTTCTTTATGGAGAGTGTCATCTCTTCAGCTTTTTGTCAGGTCATACAGGCCATGTGCGTACTACACGGAGGGCAACTTCCCCGGGGACATGTTTATGTTACCTGGCGTGTGTTGCATTTGCCATGCATACAAGAAAAGCCTTCTTCGGACATTTGGCTCTGCGTCAATCTCGTGCGGGTTGGCGAAGTCGATGCGACCTTCTAGGGGTATCGCACTGTTCGCCGATGGCTGTGCGTGCACGTTCCAACTTCTGCAGGTCGTTCTTCTGTTGGCGGATTCGCTCGGGCAAGTTCTTCCACTCGCCGATGTAGTTTACGACTCTGCGCAATAAATCGTGCGACCCACGCCTTGTGCTTTTTATTTTGGCAGACGACCTTTGGGTCTTGACATGATTGTTTTCAGTGTAGAGACGGCGCTTGTGGGCCACCGGAATTCCTTCTTTCCCCAGTACTTATCCTAACGCTCTCCTGGTTCCCTTTGTGTAAAGGACACTAATGCGCTCGACTCGATGGGGCCGCCTTTCTTCTAGTGACTTTTAGTTTAGCCTGCCGAGAACTTGGCGTCGGACGATGTGTCGGGCGATGCCGTTGGATTCAAAATCGAGGTAAGGTCCCGCTTGTGCAAACTTTGGAAGTAATCTGTTACAAGTAACGGATTACTTGTAATCTATTACCTTTAAGTGATTTTGTAATTGCCGCGTTACTTTTTGTGACAATAATTTGCGATGTCATTTCGGTACAAAATATTGGTAACGGATTACTTTAATCACGCGTTACATTAAAAACAAATATGAGCATAATGCAGAAGCTGGAGCACTCCGAGTGTGCGAACACCCGCTGCACCAAAGCTTAGAAACGAGCGCTAGCGCCCAGGCATTTTTCAGTACTGCATGCAACTATACTTCGTTCATGCATAAGCTGTGCTTGCGTTCGAAAGGTCAATTTCAAAAGGGAACTTTCATAGATGGGTTCCTTGCCTGTGAATATCCTAGCGGAGGTAGACACTGTTACTGAGCATGCGCACAGCCAGCTCTGTCGACAGAACTCCAAGGATGATTTCCGGTTGCCGCAAGGTACTGGCATGACGGAAGAGATTGCTGCTTTCCCCGCATTTTCACCTTGCAGGTGAACTGAATGCACGGACGTTCTTTCTCTTACATTAAATATTTTATTTTTTATTAGGACTACCATATAACGCTTGCGTATGAAAAATAGAAAGCAATGTTGCGGCACATTTTTGAAAACTTCAATATTGTGTATTTCTTTCTTGAAAAATGTTCGAGAAAAGTAACACGAAAGTAATTTGTAACGTAACGAGTAAGTAATCCGTATCCGTTACTTTCCAGCGGAAGTAATTTTTATCGGCACTCCATTACATTTGATGCTGTCTAATTTGTAATTGTAATCCATTGCATTTTTTTTTAAGAAACAGGCACAACTTTGGGTATGTTTTGGTTTTCTGTTCACCGTAAACTTCAGATCGTCCCATCATCGCCTTTTCACCAGCACATCGAGGAACAGCAAGGTGCCGTCCGTCTCGCATTCCAGGGTTAACTGAAACGCCGGCTCGATGGAGTTGATGCGTGCTAGAAAATTATTAACGTCTGATTTCTTGGAAACGTACCAACAATCATCCACATAGCGCATGATAAATTGGGGCTGTTGGGGAAAGACTTTAGCACTCTCTGTTTCATTGTTTCCATAGTGAGGTTCGCCATCGCGACCGAGATAGATGCGCACAATAGAGTGCCACTGACATGCCTGAAAAAGCTCAGACTTTAAAGTGAAGTATGTGCACGGGATGGAGACAGAGTCATAACTTTGAGAAGGCCTGTCTTGGAGTCATGGCAAATCCGGAACACGCCAGGAAAAACAAACGGGTCCCTCGGCGCCCTGCCCGCTTTGTACGTGGATGACGTCCTTGACCTGACGAGAAAGCTGAAAAGATGCCTGTCTCCATAGAAACGAAATTAATTTTTATAAATGTTTTTTGTATTTTACTTTTTGAAGGTAACGACGTTAGGAGCTGCTGCTGCTCCTCATGCTCTCAGTCAACCTGGAAAAAACAAAAAAACAGCTTGTTTTGAAACCTATGTTTTCCTTTCGAGATATGGTTGGAGCAACATTTTTTGCTTTAATACCAAATTTTATATTGGAATATTCATATACTTTCTGTTGAAAAGAAAAATATACGCCAATTCAGGGGTATTCGATGAGACCCTGGAAATTTCGGAGAGCAGGTTAATTAAAGAGTAGAATGCATTTTAAACGAACTCCCAAATCCCAGAAATTGAATCGTCCGTCCGTCTGTCCGTTCGTTCGTCCGTGCAATTCCCCGCTAAATTTAGCGGGGAGACTGGTGCCACGTGAAGTCAAGTCACCTTACACCAACTTTTAAGATAGTGATTTTGTGTCACGTGACAACGGCTGCCTCGTATCAAATCTCGTGGCACCCCGACTTGACGCCGTGGTGTAAACTTGCCCGCAAACATCAGTGGGGAAATTGAAGTACCGGAACCTGCCATCACGTGATATGAAATCACGTGACGCCGAGCGTCACGTCACGTGACAACGTCGCCTAATCTCAGGTCTCGTGACTTCAATTTTCCAGCTGAATTTTGTGAGAAATAGGGGCAAGGTAGCGTCATAGTGTCGCGAGATACCATAAGACACCAGTTAAGACTGTGACGTCAATTTCTCGGGTAAATTTTGCGGCGAAGTTGACGCCAGGTATCTTGACGTCATGTGACGTCAGATCACGTCACACGGTGACGTTACGCCATGTGACCTCAAATCAAGTGACGTAGGTTTCGTGAAAACATGACACCTAGGCATCCAGTCCTTGTCTCGCGTGAGGCCACGTCACGGAACGTTATGTACCGCGCTAAATGTAGCATAGATATTTATAAACAACATGTGCTTCAGAGAAAATATCGTAAGGGTGCAGGCGAGCTCGTGAATGTTAACCTTGCTTGGTAAGCTCAAACTGCGATAGAGAAGAAACATGAAAACGCAGAAGAAAGAGAAAATAGACAGGACGGCGTCCCCTGTATAAATTTTCTGCCTATTCTACGTTTCGATGTTTCTTTTCTACTCCAGTTTTAGGTTAATCCAACATTTTTAACATGTGCTTCACTCCCAAACAAGTTCGTCACGATCGCGTCTTGAATACTTCTTTTTATGCAGTGCAGAAATTCAAAGGCATAGGTTGGGGGTAATTTCTTTTTTCATCTGTGTATCCGGCATCCTAATACTTAGCGCTTTCGTGGTTCTTCTTTTTTTATTGAAGGTCTTTCGCGAAGATTATTTCTATGTGGCAAAAGACATCGTTCTTGGCCTGGTGATAACGCTGGTCATCGGAGCGCTGTGCCTCAAAAAGGGGAAGGCGAGGATTCAGGACAGGCCGCTACCTCCGAGGCCGACTGGTGTCCCTGTCCTAGGTTACCTGCCATTTCTCGGATCCAGTCCCCAGGTTACCTACAAGAAACTCGCGGCAAAATACGGACCCATCATCAGGTCAGACTCACTCCCGTGTTCGCAAACGTGCTTTCTCTTTGTAGAGTCTGCGCTGTCGCAGGATTCACTGCTATTTATTTGCGTGCGGCACGCTTGAAGTGGCCTACACGAACGTACAGCCAGAAATTGGTCTGCAATGCCGCTGCCACACTTCCGATACGTCATGCAAAAGACGGTCTGCCAACTCCATCTGAGGTCACATGACGTGACGTCACCTGTTTCTTCCTTGTACGAAGGTCTTGCCACATTGGTTGGTCGTACAAGGTTTGTCTGCAGACTTGTTTGAAGCACATAAATGTATGAAGCAAATATGCTTTGACCACGCTCACGGCGCATCTGCAGAGAATCGACCGTTTTTAAAACTCCATCAACGAACCTTGACGGTCGTCATTTGTGTGTGTGCAAGGAACAACCTCAAGAAACCACAAGCAGGGAACCAAAAACCAGTCATATCACAATAGATTATTCTCAAAAGTGAGCGCCATTTTAAAAGTCGCTACATGGAAAATGGTGGTTCATATTCGATGTATTGTAAAGATTGAGTCGCATACTGACTCCGGTAGATAACACTATTCACGCGTTCTAGTGATATGAAGTGAATGAAACAATGAAATAAAATCTTGCTCCAGATATGAAAATAACCTCCATCTATGTTGTTACAGAGTCAAACTAGGATCGGAAGATGTCGTTGTGCTAAATGACCTGGACTCGATCAAAGAAGGATTGAACAAAGACGAGTTCTTGGCACGTCCTACAAATTTTCTGTTGAAACGCGTCGGAATTGATGGTGAGTTCGTTGGACGTAATCGAAGTGTTCATGACGTGTTGCCATTCTTGTTTCGTCTTGAATATGTTAACCTTTGCTCAAAGGCGTTATTGGTTTTGTTCAAGTCGTAAGCTGTGTCGAAGGCGATACCGGGAAGAAAAGAAAGAAATACGATACTTGTCACTTGCAAATAAAAGTAACGGACATCCGACCAACGTTACATAAAAAAATAAAAGGAACGCGTTACAGTTACTGTTACCGTTAAGAAGTAACGCACGTTAATTTGCGAGATATTTTAATCATGAATTAACACATTTTCCTCTCTGATGTTAGAGGTATGCATAAGCGTCACATTTCAAGAAACATTATGTCCATTCAGAAATTGAACATACCTACCTTATCTTTTTATGCTTCCACCTTAATACTCACGAGCAAAAACGCAAAAAATATGAAAGACGTTTACAAGTCTCTGTAGTGCGAAATTACAGCGCAGTTCTTGAGGTGGAGGAGGGGAGGGTGGGGAGAGGAGGGTCCGTACCGTCCCCTCCTCCTCTCCTCCTCCTTTCCTCCTTCCCTCCTTCTTCTCCTCCTCTTCTCTTCTCTCCTCCTCCTTCTCCTCCTTTCCTCCTCCTCCTCCGTACCCTCCCCTCCGCCTCCTGCATACCCTCCCCTCCTCCCACAGTTTTCCCGCTAAATTTAGCTGAAAAATTGACGCCACGTGTCCTCAGAACCAATTCAGTTTCCCCGCTAGGGAATAGAGCGATCTCACCAACCAGTTTGACTACGCCGCCACTGCCGCAATGCATTGAGTGTGTAGAGTGCGCGTGTAGAGCACGAGATGGCGCGAGCCCTCGCATGCACTGCCGTCTCCCTCCTGCGAACTAAAGTTATGGCGGCGACACGCGTGCGCCGAGCACCTAATGAGATCGGTCTATTGAAAATATGTTGAGGACATGGGACGTCAACGTACCCCCTTAAATTTAGAAGGAAAATTGTGATCACGCTCCTGCACATCACGAAATTCCCCGCTAATTTTAGCAGGCAATTGAATCGGCGTTGAGGTCACGTGACGTCAAATTTCCCCGCTAAATATAGCGCGGTGACGCCGGCACCGACGGCGACGTCGATGTCGCGAAACACGGAAACGGGCACCTAAGAGGTGCGCTCTAAAATGCAAGAGACGCGAAATTTGTGTGATTTGGCGCCTGAAAACACGAAAAAAATTGAAGTGTAATCTAACTCTTGAGAAGAATGTGTAACAAGTAACGCAACTACGTGACACTTACTCGAAATAAGTAAGGTAAGTACGTTGCCCATTACTATTCTGAAAATGTAACCAGTACATTACTACGTTACCGGAAAAAGTAACGCGCTTCCGGTAACGCCGTTACTTGTAACGCGTTGCCGCCGACACTGGCCATAAGACAATAAGACCCATTGAATGCCCGCGGCAGCTCGTTCAAAACGCATGATTCTCTGATCAACACGTAGTGAGACAGCAAACAGCCAGACATTCCGTAGATCTCTCTTAGTTTCTTGCTAATTGTTTGAGCCCATTTATCGAGAGAAGTTAATGTAAAGTTCATGTTAGGTCGTCTTAATGAAACTATGAGCGGGGCTTGAGTACGGGAATATCAGAGGCACCTTAATTTCGGCCTTGAAGTGCATTTCTTGTCTATGCGCCGAGTTTAGTAGTGTAGTCAATGAAGGTGATGAAAATCACACATTGATAAATGTGGTGTGCTTTTTCCAAGGCTTAAGAGAGTTTGCTGACAATAATAATGCGAGGGAACGACTTGTTACGCTCCACCATTCGGCTGAGTTAACCTTGAAAGTGCGAGATTAAGCTGAACTTCTTTTGAGTGCAGCGAGCCTTGAAAACATTTGCCCTGAGAACTCTACAAGTCTGAAAATAAATATAAAACAACTTACAGGAATTGCAACAATGAATGGACAAGCATGGGTTGACAACCGCAAGTTCTGCATTACCGTGTTAAAAGAACTTGGATACGGAAAGAAGAGCATGGAAGAACATATAAAGGTGCAGTATCTTTTGATATATGAAATAAAACAAAATTTAATCAACACCATTTTTAATACACTTTTATTCTGAGGGACCGTGTTGCCGAGTTTTCTTATTTTGCACTTTGAAGCTAACTATCGCTCTGGATTGCCTTTCCTGTGCTATGATGCGGTACTCTAAAATAAGTTTGAAGGGTCAAGGTCTCTTTTGGAAAACAGTTGGATTCTCCCACACGCTTCGCAAAAAACAATGACGTACTTCTCAATTCTCTTAGAAAATATTGAGGAGGACACCACTATCTCAGAAAATCCTGGTGTGTCTAGGAAAGCTTTTTGGTAGCGTGATATTGTCACGAATGACAATTGATGAGGCGACAAAAAGTGACACAAACTAAACGTTTATTTGGGCGAACTTGTGCCCAAAACAAGAATAGAGAAAGATTAGCGTCGCAGGAGTCGATAAGCGTGACAGCAGAATCGAGTGCTGGGGCGAGACTGACTTTGCCTCGCCACGAGAAACCCCTTATGTTCACGCGTGAGCTTCTGGAAGAATCGGCGTAGAATTTTCGACGCGTAGAATATTCGGACCCAGAATAAACGACAATGTCCTCGAATTCACCAGAACGCGACATTTACCGAAATAACAAGACGCGTCCGATCCCAGGCGTCAAACATCGAGCCCTTTGCGTAGGAGCCAAGGACAATAACCATTCGGCCATGGCTCAGCTTGTTTGCAGAGGCGTGTGGCAATATAGCTTTGTAGATTTGGCAAGCACTTTGCATTACTATGTAGCCTCCAAATCACTTCTTTGAGTCTGTTTTTACCCCGCGATGGCAAAGTGCATTGGCTAGAGCACTCTGGCTTAAAGCAGGAGCTTCGCAGCTCTCAGAGACCACAGCAAATATTCTCTTTGACAAGAGGGTGCGAAAAAATGACACGGTGTCAGTAGGAGCTTAGCTTTGCTAAAAATCAATTTTCCCTGAGTCTACTATCTGGTTTGAATTAAATTCGAACAGTGGCCGAACTGGCAGCACAACACCGGCGCAGAGTGGAAGCTTGGGTTGGGATGGGCGAGGTTCAAACACATCGGAGTACAACGCACACCCTTGCTGCGCCTTATTCTCAATCTCACAGTTTTGTCAGTTTCTAGTGGCTTCCAAGAGCCGCAGCAATGGTAGACGGCCGCGGGCTCCAGTGTTCAAATTTCATTCCAAAACGATAGTACACGTCGTATCACTCTAAATGTAAAATTGCTTTTAAAACAATTGCATTGTTCAATCTTAAACAAACATTTTGCGTAACTTGTTGCGACTTGAGATGTTTCAAGCTTTGAAGTACCTGCATAAACAGAAAGCTGCTTACGAACTGTTTATGAGTATAATGGCTGATGAAGCGCAATAACACAGAATTAACAAAATACGAGCTGACATGACACAAAACGTTGTTACTCCACCGCAGGTCACTTCTGCTCAACAATACAGCCAATCACGGTGACTAAAATTGCAATGTTGAATCGCGTTTTTTTTTTGCGCTTCCTTTTATCGGTTGGAGCAGGCGATGACGCACGTTCAGCACGCAGCGAAACGTCTGTCGTTTCTCCCGCAGAAAACAGGAGAGGAGGAGGGAGTAGGGGGTAGGAGGGCTTAAGACAAAAGCCAACCAATCTGAGTGACACGTTTCTAGGGAAGATAAAGTACGCTGCCGTGGAGAGGATGATGTTGAAGCACAACTAGGCAGAAGGCGAAGTACGGCCACCTCAAACGGTGGGGCTGTTTTGTCTTCAAATTTAGCTCTAAGAACAACAAACGAAGCAGCTTTTTTTTTTTCACAGCGTTTGACTGACACTTTTGTTAAGTCATTGAAACACTCGAAAGTTGACCTAACACTCACTGTAAATCTTCTCCCGGTGCTCCACTGAGAAAGGTGACATAAAACTCAAGTTCTCGGGTGTTGAATTGTTTAAATACCGAACTGTGTGGACAACACGCAACAAGCACCAGTATTCACCGAAGTTTCCAAAAGAGAGAGAAAAAAAAACGTGTTGACCAAATAGGGCGTAATTTGTAATTATATCGCGTGGTACTTTTATCTTTACGGTTGGGTTGGCTAAATACGTTATGTGTTTTAAAACTCAGTTACATTGACCGGTCTTTTGCTTTTTGGCGACAACAGGAGGAGATTTCCCAATTCTGCAATGTCCTGAAATCGTGGAATGGCACACCGGGAAAAATGGAAACTTTGATTGCGTCGAGTGTCTCCAACAACATTGCTGCACTTATATTTGGAGAACGTTTCAGCTACGATGATCCGAGGCGCAAGTTCCTCGACAAAGGAGCAAGTACAGTTTCGCGGAATGCTAGCTTGACATCAACCTTGGAATTCTTGCCCGCCTTGCGCAAGCTTCTCTCCTACCTTCCATCGTCCAAATCCAGTATCGTCCGTGCGCAGGCGGACGGTATGCTTGAGTTTATCAGGCGAGTATATATCTGTCACACGCTCGTAGCCCAGGAAAGAAATGACGAGTGAATAGCCTGTGAACGCGTGCGTGGCCTCCGATACTTCTAAGAGGAGGGCTTGTGCGCATGCACACAACGTGCTCCACAGCTTCGGGGACAAAGGTGACAGCGCCCAGAGGGCGGGTTTGGGACGGTCCCCAGGTAGCACTCTTTTTCTGCCCAGGCTTGGGCCAGATTGGCATGAGCTAGAGCCAACTTGGCTCAAGCTTGTCCTAAGCTTGCGCCACACTGGCCCAAGTATGAGCAGGAGAAGTGTGCAGCTAGGGTCTATAAGATCCTCGGACAAAACGAAACCACAGAGTTTATTTCATGTACACTGCTTATTCTAACAAATTCAGGCCGAGACAGTATGAGAACATCCTCGTCGTTTCTGCATTTACTTTTACATTTCTAAATTTTGTCCAGATTAGTATCACCGTGAATTATCAAGTAAAATAAGGCACCCTAACTCTTGCTTACAGAAAAGAGGCCGACCAACGTTCGAAGACGCTAAATCCAGGCGTGAATAGGGACTTCATCGATGCTTACCTCAAGAAGATAAACGAGTGTAACGGAGACAACTCAAGCTTCAATTGTGAGTGCAGTCTTACTTGTCTTATTGTCACGGACAGCTTAAAGGGCCACCAAAACGAAAAAAAAAGTTTTTTTTTAAAGCAATTTTGTTGGGACAGGCGTCAAAAAATATATTTTACGCGAAAAAAATATTTAGAGCAATATTGACGTCGCGGAATTTTCGTGGCTAGTCACCTCCTTTCCTCTTGTTTTCTGTGTCGGCATTTCGGGCCCGTGGAGGGGAGATGGATCGGCTTGGCCATCACGTTGAGGTGGAGTGAGTATATGACCTACTCGTTGAGGTGGAAGGAGTGTGTGACCATTTCGTGACGTCATGGACTTTTTGCGAAGAATTTTTTTATAAATCTCGCGCCGTCAGTATTGCTCTAAATTGTCTTTGCGTAAAATTTATTTCTCGACAAGAAAGACTGCTTAAAAAAGGTTTTTTTTCTTTTTTTGTGGCCTTTTAAAAAACGCTGGACGTTGCGAATCCTAGAGATCTTATTGTCGCTGCCCAGCCGATAAAGTTGAGGCTCGGTCAATAGAAACGCCGAAAAACGAATCGCGAATCAAAAAAATTAAAGGAGGACGCTTCAGCTCCGCCTTTAAGATTCGAACGCTAGCAGCTAAATATAAACCCCAGTTCATTCCCAACCCGTGAAAGCGTGTCTGCGTGGGCTGGAGACACCGAGAAAATTGGAGGTTCGAAAAGTTCTGATCTCCCAAGGAACGTTTTTAACGGCCTCCCATGGACGCGGATCATCGTCTTTTCCCTCAAACTGTGAAAACAAAGTTATTCTGCCACCGCTGATCACACAAAACGCTGCGCTAAAATCATTGTTTTTACCCTCTGACATCCGAGGACGACCCTCCCGGATCGAGCACTTCAGAAAGGAACTCGGAAGGTGCGATGTCTTGAAGGAAATCGCAGCCTTTGGGTCCTACCGGATGAGCCACGTATGGATGCTGACCCTTCCATTTGCAGCGACAAAACAGCGGGTGATGGGGAGCCAAGCAACTCAAGCTAAAGAGCCTGAAGTGTTTGGTGCTCGACCCTAACCGTACTGAAGTGCGCCTCAGACTTCACCCCGTGCCCTTCCATGTACCCAACGAGGTCGTACGTAAGGTCTTTGAGCCCTACGGAAACGTGTCTGAACTTGCAAGGAAAACATGCATGCATGCTGAAGATTTCGAAGGTTTGAGGTCGACAACCAGTTTAACCCGAATGGAACTGAAGACAGGGGTAAATATCAAAAAAGTACAGTCTCCGGCAATATGAAAGACCCACTGGGAGCGCGTGGCCGAGGCGGTGGCTGGCGGGGGCGCTGCGAGCGCTCCGGGCAATTCCATTCTGCTTCGAGGGGAGGACGCTCACTCGGGGCTCAGCACAAACTGATAAGCGCGTTGCGTTTTAGCCGAGCCTCGAGCGAGCGTCCTCCCCTCGAAGCACAATGGAACTGCCCGGAGCGCTCGCAGCGCCCCCGCCAGCCACCGCATCGGCCACGCGCTCCCAGTGGGTCTTTCATATTGCCGGAGACTGTACTTCACCAGGTGAAGATATTTGTCGAAACAACGCTGATCATCATCACAGGTCGTGCACCGCTCTGTTTACGCAGTAAACACACAGGACACATAAGACGGGAGTGTTGATTTCTGAAATGTCCGAAGTGTTTCAGATTCGTACATAGTGGTAACGTATGTGTTAGAACGTACGCCAGAGTCTCAGAGGCAATCATTGCAGACGAAGATCCAAATGAACATATTATGGACGCCACTGAGGCAGAAGATGCGTTGCATGTTACACTTACCACGGAAACCGAGGCGGCGGAAGTATCAACAGCGGAGTAAACCGTCCGAGGCTCCCAAAATAATGAGAGTCGGCTGGAGGTGAACAGAAACACTTTTTGTGAGAAAGACCATCAGGAAGCAGCACAGAAGATTGCAGTCGGAATTGAAGGGAAAATGAACATTGACCGTCAAGACATTCAGTGTACTCTTGAGCAAGCATCACCAGGTACAGAAGAAGAAGATGACGATTCGTATCCTTGGATGCAAGTCATAAAGCGAGGGCTATAGCGCTCCTTATGTTGCACTTTTTAAACAGAGCGACGTTGTGGGGACCTGAAGTAAAACGGCTTTTGCTTGGTGTGAGGTTGATACGATGAATATCAGAAATATTATATCCAAATATATAAAAATATTTAGAAAGAAATCTGAAGATTCTTCGCTGAATATCAACCAGACTTCGAATGGCCGAGCCTGCTAAAGACCTTTTTCTAAAAAAAGAGAGTTTTCGAATGAAGTACGTGAAATATTTCAACTGGCCGGATTTTCAAAATGCGACTCTAGTAAAAAATCTTATATGTGTGGGAAGTCCAATAGGCACCTGTGATTGGATGAGTTCATGTGGGAGCATGCAACCTTATATTGTCCCTGCATACCTTATAGGGGCCCTTAGGGGCATATAGTATTATAACGGTAGTTATAAGAAACGAATAAGAAGTTTCTTATATCTTCTTATGTTATATTGTAGTGTTCTTGTGGGTTTTTATAGGGTTTTTGCGAGCTCTTGTGTGATCTTGTTTAGTCATATGCCTTTGTTGGACCGGGACGTTTCTTGTGTATACAGGATTTTTATTAAGGGACAGCGATTAGAAAATCAGCTTAGAATTCCCAATTAGACTCAACATTAAAGTGTTGTAAGTAGAATTAATAGTCAAGGGAAATTGTAAATAGAACCATTGGCTGTGCTGAAATGTCTTCACCATGCAATACCGAAAACGAAAAAGTCTCTGCGTAGCCTGGTGGGTAGGGCGGATTCTGCATCTGGCGTTCGGACCGCTCGGACGCAGAATGGCTGGCTCCCACGGAGCAGTGATAACGGCCAACTCGGGCCGCGGTTTATCTGTTATTTCTTTGACGGACGATAATCGTGTTGTTCTCCCACCCCTGCCAGCAGAAATGTTTGCTGTGAACACCGTCTTTCTTCATTGCGACGTGACCGGTCGCCCTTACCGGGTAGACCACTTCAGGGCCGAACTGGAACGCCTTCGCGTGATGAAGGAGATAGCGGCGATTGGCGCCTACCAAATGAACCACCTGTGGATGCTGACAATTCACACCGCAAGAGCCAAACAGAGGTTAGTGGAAGCACGAGAACTCTCTGTGAAAGAGAAGAAGTGCTTAGTGCTTGACCCGGACAACTCCGAAGTACGGTTAAAAGTGCACTGGGTGCCATTCCACGTTCCGGACGAGGCTCTCTTCTGAGCTTTTGGGCGGTACGGGAAGGTTCAGGAGGTCACTCGCGAAACCTGGAGGACGGAAGGCTTTCAGAGCATACAGTCGTCCACGAGGACGATGCGCCTTAGCCTGAAGCAGGGCGTCAGTATTGATAGCCTGCCTCACCAGCTCAAAGTCTGCGGCAGAGGTGTCCTGGTCGTGGTTCCCGGACGCGCACCGCTGTGTTTGCGGTGCAAATCGAGAGGACACATCCGGAAGCATTGCAGGGCACCCTGGTGTCAGCAGTGCCGCAGGGTTAGGCATGCACTTGAAGACTGCGTGCGTACGTACGCCACCGTCAACGGGGATCATTCAACGGATGATGTGCAAGACCTCGAGATGGACGGGGAGGAAGCAGAGGATACGACACAGAGCGAATCTCAGCGACCACCGCCCGCTCCGCCAACGAACAAACAGGAGAATTCCGGAACGTCAAGTTCTGCTACCGGTCCCCCCGAGTCCAACGCTGAGCCAGAACCCAAAGCTCAAGGGGCAGGTATCCTCAGTGAACCAGTTGGAACACCTGTCAAATTGACTGAACAAGCCGCAAAGACCTCCGACACACCGCTGAGCAAGGAGCGTCAAGAAGAAACTGAGATCGACACCGACGACGCACCTCTGACTGACGACTTCTTAGCCTTGCAACCCCTCGACCCGTTCTCTCTCAGCCCCTCTCCGGACACGCCACACAAGGTAGAACAAAAGTCGAAGGGTGGTTTGACCAATAAAGGACACTTCAACCCAATGCCTCGTATCCCACCTGAAGACCGCCGGCGACAAGACCCAGCGTAGTCAGTGACGCCGCCAAGAATTCGAGACGCCAAGAGGCATATACAAAGCGGTGATCTTTTTTTATTTATTTTTTCGCAGTTTATCTCCTCACATTACGCCCCTCAAAATGAATCAACTTAAGATCGCCACGTTTAACTCGGTCAGTTTAATTTCTAGAGTAAGAAAACAGTGGCTTCTAATTTTGCTTTTGAAAGGAAACGTCGATATAATTTGTCTTCAGGAAACCAAACCTTCTTCCGAGACCCATGTGAATGACTTGAATCTTTTTTTTTTTCGAAAGATATTATCATTCTTTTCTCCCGAGGGCGGTGGGGCACAGTGGCGGCAGCGAAATTTTGATAAGAAAAGACTGAGGATTTGTGATCTACCCTGGATGGAAAACAGATAGGAACGGCCGGGTTTGCTTGGTGGAAGTGATTAGGTATCAGGAGTCGGTTAAAATAATATCAGTACACGACCCTTGCGACGCGGCCGACCGCAAGGCTTTCTTTACCAATCTCCGGAAGTATCTTGACAGTCCTGTAAAGACGATTATCGCAGGAGATTTTAACTGTGTTTTAAACACGCAGGATTGCTCACGCAACTTGCAATCAGACTCCAGCCGGTCAGAACTTGATAAACCACTGCGAGACTTTGACCTCGTGGATGCGATCGAAGCGTCTCAGGGATCACGTCCTAGCTACACTCATTGGCAAGGCTGCTGCCACGCCCGGCTAGATCGTGTTTATATGTCGAGCGAACTCATCAGGGCAGTCACCGCGTACCAGGTGTCTCCGGTAGCCTTCTCTGACCACGCAATGGTTGCGCTGCGGGTAGGAAAGGTGAACAAAACCACAAGAAAACCATTCTGCTGGAGCTCTTGGAAGCTTAATGAGAGTCTCCTCGACGACGAGGCCCTCTGTTCTCAGATAGAAAACACGTCGGAAGCAGCACAGAAGGGGCATGTTGATGCTGTGGCATGGGAAGAAATTAAAGAAAAGATTCAGCTACTCTGTTATGACCACAGCAAAGCAAAGGCCAGAAAGGCGCGGGAAACAAAGAATGCATTACTACAATCCTTGCAAACTTTAATCGCCGAAGAAAACAAAACCCCGGGCGTTTTCACCGATGATATTCGTGCCTGCAAGGCGCAATTGCTTTGTCTTATGGAGAATGAATACAGCGGAGCAATGGTTCGCAGCAGGCTCAGAGCGTTAGAAAAAGAAGAAAACCCCTGTAAAATTTTTAAAACAAAGGAAAGAATGCGAGCTCAGCACAACAGAATAGACTCCCTTCAGGCCGGTGACCAAGTTTTAACAGAACAGAAAAATATCGAAGAGGAACTCGTGAGAGAGTTCCGAGAACTATTCACCGGCAAAGACGAAGGGATCAACGGGGCGCTAGATGGATGGGTAACTGCGCTCCCCGAAATTCCTATAAGTATTCAAAAACGCATGAACAAAACAATCACTAAATCTGAGATTGATAAAGCAATAAAAGAACTACCACCACGGAAATCCTCTGGAGTAGATGGTTTAGGATCAGCGTTCTATAAAAAGTTCGCCGACGTTCTTGTTCCCGTATTATGTTACATCTTTGCTGACATTCTCCGGAGGGACCTACTACCACCCTCTATGCGACAGGCACTCACCGTGCTAATTCCAAGAAAGGAAAAAGAAGCACGGGCTTTAGCGTTTTAACATCAGATAGGTTAAGGCCTATCAGCCTTCTAACGACGTATTATAAGCTGCTGGCCAGGATACTGTTAAAACGATTGGAGATGGGCCTTAAGTTCGTAGTGGGCGACCATCAGACCTACGGGTTCAAGGGGAGATCTATTACCTCTAACATTCACACGCTCCGGATTCTTTCCGAAACAGCTGAAGCAACCGGACTCTCCGCATCAGTGCTGCAGATTGACCTCAGTAAAGCTTTCGACCGGGTATCGCGTGCCTTTCTATTCAATCTGCTGGAAGCGTGTGGCGTTGGCAAAAGAATCGCGAAATACATTAAACTATGTTACAAAGATATATCGACACGATTATTGGTTAATGGGAGCGTAACAGAAAAAAATCTCAGTTCAGGGCTCGGTCAGGCAAGGCTGCCCCCTCTCGCCTATAATGTTCTCGTTATATTAGGAGCCTGTCTGTAGAGGAATTATAAGCGACACCAGGATTCAGGGCGTCCCCCTTGCCAGGAAGGCCACAAAGATACTAGCATACGCCGATGATGTCACTGTTGTTGCCGCCACCGGATTAGAAATTGTGCTTGCGGTGCAGCACTTTGCTGATTTCTGCGAAGTATCCGGTGCCCAAATGAACCACGCTAAGTCTACAGGCGCATGGCTTGGGTACTGGGACGTGAAACCACAGCGCTTTATTAATATTGATTGGAGCTCTACTCTTACGAATTATCTTGGTGTCAGCTTTGACCCCTATTCGCTTATTAGTGGTAAAGGGGGCATTCACCTCGACAGTTTGAGGGCAAAAGTGCAAGACTGGCGCGGTCGGAACCTTTCCATTCTAAATCGTGCCTTCGTATGCAACTCAGTATTTTTCTTCACTGTATGGTATGCAGCTCAACTTGTGCCATGTCACGCAAGCGAAATCCATAAAATGCACCGCTTTTGCGCAACCTTCATTTGGAATTCCAGCTTTGCGCGGATGAGGCGCACTAACATTTTTGTTAACCAAGCCAAAGGAGGGTTTGGTGTTGCAAACCTAGAAATTAAACTCAGAGGTTTTTATTTTTCCGCGGCCAGAGGAACTCTGTTATTGTGCAGTCATTTGTTAAACTTGGCGGCCGGGTGTTATCACCATGGCTTGTTGTAACCCAGGAAGGAGCTACATCAGCGGCTGTACTGAGGTTTTCTAAAAAAATCGCTGCTTCCATCAAATTTTTAGAAGCACGCTTTTCTCGGCAGTACCTTAGCAAGGTGAAGAGAAAAACCCTGTATTGGGGTATAGTCGACACGGTCTTTCCCTCGCCGCTCTATCGCTCCTTTCTTGGAACTTATGTAGAATCCAAGGTTTTCAAGCGCCTCCGTAACTACCCCGTTCGCAAAGCCACAATCGAATTCTTTATTTCTTTTCACACCGAAGTGCTGCCAGTGAAGACGTGGCAGGAAAAGAAAGGTTTCTTTGTTTCGTGGAATTTGAACTGTGTGCTATGTCGCACGCCGGAAACTCTGCAGCATGTTTTTTTTTTTTGCCCGAACACAGAGTTATTCTGGGCGGAACCTCGCTGTAGATTACAGGTTGAATTGTACATGAATTGGCGCAGCGCGAAGCTCCTTGAGTTTGGCACAGGCCCTGACAGCAAATGTTTGGAGGTATTGGCACTGCTTGGACTGCACGCAATATGGAAGTCCCGCACAGATCACCTCCTGGTTCTCGAAGAAAGAAAACCAGCATGGCGTCACTTTGAAGAAGGCTCCACGATTGCGAGTAGCCTCATTGCTGAGGTGGGAAACCCCGAAATGGCTGGCTGGGCTGAATTGGAAGCGCGCTTTAAAATGCCGAAAACGCCTCGAAATCGGAGGAGATAAGTGCGGAACTTCGAAGCCACTGTATGAATGTGACTGGGTACACGAACCAGTGTTGTTTAAATGGCCACATCGTGCGCTGTCTTTGCCCGAGTGTATTTTAACCATGTAAATAACACTTGTTTTACATAAATAATAAAAAAAGCTAAGTCGGTAAAAAAAAAAAAAAAGCGTGGTGGGTAGGGCGTCTGGCTTCCAACCTAGAGGTCTTTGGATCGAATCCCTCTTCCGCCTAAGATTCATTGATTTTTTCTTGAAGGCAAATGAATTACTTTATGAAGTGAAATCATGTGAGACTTGCGGCGACCTTTAATTCGTAATACGTAAATTCGCGCATGAGGTTATGTGGCTGTGACGTCATGATCCTATCGACCAATCGGGATTTTCCCATTCGCCACCGACGCCGACGCCGGGTTTTCTGTGACACAAGCTTCTTAAGGCTCTAGCGTTGAAACTTACTCGTAATAGGCCGCCCCCCGTATTTTCTAGGATGTGGGGGACTATTATAGTAAGCAGTGAGAGAGTGCAGGCGAGCTGGTAATCAATCGACATCTTGTAAACCCTGAGATGGGGAACGATAAAAAAACGTTTTTTTATCGTTCCCCATCTCAGGGTTTACAAGATGACTATTATAGATTTGCCTGCTCTAATTAGAAGGAGGAATAATGGTTTCTTGTCGGTTACTTTCAAACTTCTCGCAGTACGGATTTTGATGGGCAATGCCCAGAATCTGTTCGGAGCCGGCACAAACACAGTCAGGGCCAGCATAGAGTGGAATTTGCTCAGCTGCGCTCGTGACCCCGAAGGTGTTCAGAGGAAGCTTCAGCAAGAGGTTGACAACATCGTAGGCCGGCAACGAGCTCCCGAATGGGAGGACAGACACAGGATGCCCTACACCATGGCTTTCATCTGGGAGGTGCTTCGTTGGAGGACACCGACTCCGCTGGGACCCATAAGGATGTAAGTATAGGTTATGAAACAAAACAAAACAACAAAGAAATTAAAATATACGAGCAGGTTGTGGATCTTATATTGGAGAGGGTCGATAAACGTGGGAAGAGCCGCTTTATGTTCTGCAGCATGTTCGATTTCATTGGTAGGTGGATATGTTATCTCAGTTTCGGCAACCGCTCACGTGTGATACATAAAGTTGCCATGAAATTAAATTTTGGTTGTTATAGATGAATATAGATTCGATTTTTAATAATCGCATTATGTTTAGTGGGCCCCCCAAGAAAAGGTAGAAAGTCAAAAGTCTGCTTTTCGGTACGAACATTTGAACAGATAGCGGACTGTTTCGCTCCTTCTTTTCTTCGAAAGCTTTGCGCCTTATCGCTGTGATACATCCGCGGTACCCAAAGCACGCCAGCCGGCTTCAGCTCACGCGGTGGACACGAGCACTGAGCCAGTATACTATCTCACTATAAGCCCGTTCACCCCTAAGCTGACAGTGCGGTGGGAACTACGCGTCTGCCGAGCCAATCAGAAGCCTCCCTTTTGTCAGCTGACCCCATTATTTGCGAGCCAGTCGGACCATGTGGCGAAAGATAGAAGTGGCAGACCCAACGAGCACGTAGCATCTACAGCACTGTTAGCTTAGGAATGAACGAAGGATAGCTACATATACTTAAAAGAATAAGCTATCCATTACGGAGACGAAAACAGGACTTCTTTGACCTTGAAAGATTCTGGTTTCCTACCCCGTCCTGGATGTGTTTTTTTTTTTTTCAAGTATTCGTATCTATTCATCAACATGGCCGTTTTTAATTAGGAGGATAGTTGCTCGCCGTACGGCGGCGGACACGGGCGGTGGAGGAAGGAAAGCAACTTTAGTACGAATTTTGAGCGACGGACTCATCTCAGGGGTAGAATGGCGGCGTGCGGTACATGAAGGTCCGAGCAAGAGAGCCATTCTTTCTTACTGTCCTTTTGAACTGCTAGCTGTACATTCTCGCCTCTTTACCTTTGGTGACGCTGTGCGATTTGTGAGTTGATGAAGAGAAAAGCTAATAACGAAGAAGTTGAAAACTAATTTCATGGCACCTTTAAAATATAAAGGTACACTTTTGTTTTACTATGCCGATGAGAAATATTAGTTCTCACTCATAAGCTATAATTAGGGAGTGCACTTTCCGGTGTTTATTTGTGAGAAAAATCGGCGGATGTTTTTCGGTGTTTATTTATTTTAAAAACTCCGGTGTATTTCGATGGAACGTCTCACGACGAGGCTAAAAACGGTGATTATCGGTGAAAAAAAAAAGCGGTTGATCACAGACAGAGAGTTCCAATTTTATTCACATAGTTCATACACTTCTTCTCTAGGAAGCAACTATTTCTCACACTTGGTTATTATAGTAGATGCAAGCATACTTTCATGCTTGCATCTACACGCAAGGAACGTGCTGCCGTCATGGCAGCACGTTCCTTGTGGTTTGCAACCCGCAATTATGAAAACGCACGCTCCCGTACGACACGGACGTTGGCAGTGTCTTCCAGGAACCACAGCAACCTCTGAATACATGGCTTGCACCAACATCACTTGGCCAGACACAATGAGGAAAAGGCACGAGAGAGCCTACCCTCCACTAGTGTTAATTTTTCCACAAAAGGGGGCCATGGGAGACACAATAGGGGAAAGGCATATGAGAGCTTAGCTTCCACTGCGTTCACTATACTCCGTTTCAAACATAGCGTGCAACGTAGTCAAAGCTAGCGCGCCGGTTTGCACAGCCGACCGCGACTACGTTCGCTCCACAAAATAGTGCGGGCCCCTGAAAAAAAAAAAAAAAAAAGTCGAAAAGTGCACATCTTTGTAGCTAGTAACTAATAGTGGCGTTATGATTTCGAGGGAACACCGATTCTTTTTCAATAAAAAGGAAAAGATAACGTAAACTACTCCAAATTATTTTCCGTTTTCGTTCGTGCGGCACTCGCACTCGCTTCGGGTTTTCGGGTTGTGCGGCTGCCCCTGCCTCGCCGGTTTCGTGAAGATGGCGTCTTACGCGGGAAGCTTTCTTTTCCTGCTCGGATATTTTCGAAGATTCGTTGTGTGAAGATATCGCAAAAGTGCAAGCAGGTGATCGCCAACGTGTACGCGAGTTCAAGAACGTGTTTCCCGGAGACGTCGGTCCGTGAGGTTCTGGAGACGGTCAGTAACGACACCGGAGTGTCTGGCAAGGTGGCGTCCCCGAAGCGAAGACCTCGCAACGTGAAAGTTCCGAGCACGCGGACAGTATTGTGAACTGCCACCTGTTGTTTCTGGTGTTGAAATCGGCCTTATGGCTTCAAAGTGAAACAAGCGTCAAGAAGGAACTGTGTCGGTGATGAATCGTGCCTACGGCTCCGTCTGCTTGCGGGACCTTACAGCAGGCGGTGCCCGTGATTGCATTCCGAAGCGTCTGGGTTCTTCTGCCTGCGGGACCGTAACCATGGTCGGCTCCGTCTGCCTGAGGCACCTTAACCTTGGTCGGCTAAGTAAACGACGCACATGCCCGTGTCTGTATTCCGAGGCCCCTGCTTTCCTCGAAAAGGAAACAACACTCGATCCTGATCTCGAGTGCCGTGTGTTGTGTACGCGTCTATTGTGAATCACTCCCGGTTCACGGGGGCGCCGGCACCAGAGCACCGAGATACTGCCGTCTGGATGACTTCTTCCATACACCGGCGAGTATTCTGACTCTGGAGGAAACTTCCATGAAGTCACATCACGTGAGGGAATGCCAAGCCGTCTGAACGATGGCAGTGCGGTCCCCTAATCACAATATTCGTTATATAAAGGACCGTCCACCACACTCTCAAGGTACTCTCTGATTTTCACGCTACCATGTAAATAAACGGCTTTAAATAGAGACGCCCTGGATCTCGACCGTTCTTCCGTTTTGACGAGGCCGGCGCAAGTTCGAGCGGAACACCAGCCCCTAGTCTACCTTCTTATAAATAAAATCAACAAGAAAAGAGGAATTGAAATATGCACTTCCGCAATACGCACAATCTTGCACAAAAAATCGGTCGCGAAAAAAAAAAACAAAAAAAAAAAACAAAAAAAACTTTGCGCCCTAAGTGGATTCGAACCACCGCCACCGAGATGTCGGAATCGCAAGAGCAGCGCCTTGTACCGCTCGTCCACGAAATCTCGCGGAGTAACACAATTTTGTGTGTTTTTTCATGCGCACTACTTCAGTAGCTTTCCCAGCGTTGCACGCGATGTTTGAAACGGAGTATAGACGCTTTTGACCCCCAGAAAGGAGGGCGGACTGACGCCGCCTGCAAGCCATGTATAAACACTGGAAGAATGCAGGATCCACGAGATAACACGTTTGACGAACCTCTACGGGGAAAGGGTTTCGCTAGGTCGGAAACTAGCAACGACCGGTGTTTTTCGGTTTTAACCAGGGCGAAAATATCCAACCACCGGTGTTTTTTGGTTTTAACCGATTTTATATTTTCGTCACCGACGGATGTTTATCGGTGTTTTTCGGTTAAAACCGGAGAATGCACACCCTAGCTATAATACACGCGATAGTTGTTTTTTCTCCACCATGTGGAAGTCGCAGAAAAAATTCGAGAAAACGAACCAACGTTCATTCACCCCGTAAACTCGCAACCAGAATAAGTGGGCACGTAACCTGGAGCATATTTCATGCTGATCACGGTTATCAGCACCACGCGCTTGTGTTAGCAGTGCACATGACACGCACTGTGTCCCACATATTGTTATGGTTCATCCATTTCCGTCGTCGCAGCGATTGGGCAGGAGCCACTATCCGAAGGCGTGTCATAATAACAGAAACGAGCCCAAATCGAATGCTCACGCAGTGCTCGTTTCCACTGAATACGACGAATTTAAACGGACCTTGAACTGGTATTAGGTAGGAATGTTTCTCACTTTACACAAGTTTACTTGCACTAGTGTAACTCAAGTATCCTCGCACGGAATGCCACCGTCCAAGAAGCTTTCTCATCGCCGCGTAATCTCAGGGACAAAAGCAAATGTTTTATATCAGTCTTTTCTTCTAAAGACCTAATGACGTCGTTGCGGCGATCGCATTGTTGACGTTGTCGACAACGCGATACCCGGGATATCATTATCAAGGTTTGCGATTCCCGCTGAGGTGAAAGATAAATGTGGATCAGACAGAGGACGCGAGCACTACGTGAAGATTTGATTTCGGCTAGTGACAATCAGTCCCTCCACGCGTCTTCGGGTAATGCCTCGTGCCCAATCGCTGTGACAACGGAAATAGAGAGTATTCACTGGACGCCATATTTGTGGTTGATGTTTAGAGCGCATGCCCAGAACGAGCTCACATCAATAGGCTGCTAAGACCGACATTCTCGATGGCACGGAATGAATGTTGCAAAAGAACTGTGGAAGCTCGCCGTCAGCACGCGCTCAGCATTCGCGCACACAGCTATGGCCGTCAGTGAATACTTCCTATACACCTTTGCAAGCGGGATCCCGGCTTAACCTCGAACCGCGCGTCAAGTTGGGGCGGACCTACTCTCCAGCCAGGACGTTCGCTGGTTGTCGTACAATGTTGCCAAGCGTCTTTCGCCGAAGCGTACACCACTGAGCGCAGAAAGAAATTTTAGAAAATAATTATAAAACGTACACGTGTCGTCTTCGACAGTGAAATAGCAAGGACAATTAAATAAAATGCCTAAACAGGTAACAAATCGAAAATTTTCAAAAAGATCTAAAGTCTCAAGGCGCTCTCTTCAGAATGCGCCAAAAGTCGCATGGCCTTTGCATCAACGATGGCTGCGCTCGCGGCAGCTCTGGCTTCCACAACATGCAGGAACACAGGCTGCGATCGTTATAAAGTCAGCTCCAACCCTGAAAGATGCCCCGTCCTACAATATGTGACGCTACGGTTCTGTGTGGATACCTCGTCCTGCGTTCCGAGACAGTAAGTGTGCCGCTAACGTAAGCCATCGGCGATGCAGCAAACGGCACCATCTTGTCATCGCGCACCCCACTGACGTGCCCCTGGCGCACCCCAGCATGGCGGAAACGGTACGGGGCGCCAGCATCGCTCAAAATGGCAGCGCACAGGAGCCTTTCTTGCAAACGTGTATAGCACAACCTTAAAAATGTGTGGAACTCTGCGCGTGCCTTGTGGTTTGCCAACCCCGGCTCGTGGCTATGATAAACATTGGCGCAAATGCTGGGCTCCTGACCACGTGGCCGCTTGTTCTGTCTTGCCCCGTGTTGAGGGAGTCAACGGCGTATTTCTCGCATTTTTCTGCGACTGCCATTGCCTGGAGAAAAAAAAAGAAAAGAAATAACGCGTTTTTTGTAGATTATGAATGTCAAGAAATACGTTTACGCGGCATTCACTGAAAGGACATACAATGTTGAATCGCCCTTTCAAATATTGTAACCTTTGGTATCGGAAAGATTGATGGGGAACTCCTGGGGATCGCATTGTTAACAACACCAACATTGCAATCGCCACGCCACAGCTTCGTCATCAAGTTTTGCTGAAAAGAGACTCACACAAAACGTTCACTTTTATGCTTGAAATTACGAGGCGACCAAGTAGATTCTTTGTCAGTGGTGACGCTTGGAAGTCTATTTTACGTCTTTACAGGGCCACTAAAATTGTGTAAAGTGAGAAACATTCCAACCCAATATCCTTCATGGACATTTTAACACTTAAGCACACTGTACGTTATCGCAATGCGGGATTCTGAATGGTTTGGAGAATAGTGCCAGTCAAGTTCCCCGATTGGCTGATATCCGTCATGCTCGGGAAGAAACCCAAAGTTTAACGGAAATGAGCTTGAAGCTCCTGGAACATAGAGGGGCTCAAGTTTTTAGTGGTGAGCTATCGCACCAAATTCGACGCAATTTTAGTAATCGAGGATTCGATAAAAATGACCGAATTAATTTAAGGGCCTGGTTTCTATAGTAATTCGGCTTTATGCAGGGCGCGCTGTTGCTCAAAAAACAGTGTATAGATGCCAAATATGAAAGCAAAGAAACACTGATCACAAACAAAAACACCGCTTATACATCCTACAATAGACACACTCCACTGGCAAAATTGTTCATCTACAGTGTAAACCAGTGTCGCCTCTACCTGACAGACCAACCTTACTCTGTATAAACCACTAAAACGTCCAATTTGACTTTGATTTTTGACACGGTGTTTACTGCGGAGATGGTGACATAATTACCTGGGGACACGTGTCAAGTTTGATCGAAGCATGTTTTCTTTCTACATATGTATGCTGCGTGAATGCCTGCAGACGTTTTTTGCATGAATAATACAGAGTTTTATGGAACGGTATTTGCACATCCGATACGGTACGTTAGGTGCTCCGGTACGAACTGCGCATGCGCTAACTAAAAAAAACGGACAGGCAAAAACGGTTCCTTAAAACTGACTAATCTGACAAGACCGTTCATAGGAGGAAGAAACACGTCCTAGACAGTGTCTGGAGACTTGCAGATATGTGGACCAGTTAGTACTGGGTATTTGCCTTTACATATACATCTCTTGTATGATGCATTTATATTTTTATGTTTCGTTCCCTGAAAGCTCGAAGGCATTACAAAAGGGGAGACCGGGGGAAAAATAGACAATAACACAACTAAAATTAGAAGTTAGGAACAATCAACGGGGATATTAAAATTATTATTGTTATTGTTATTATTTTTCTTGGCACTCGTGAAGAGCTCAGAATCTGTTAAGGTGCTAATGCGGTGCGCGAGTTTGTCTGCTTCGTTTGCAGGGGTTGAGGTGACGTCAGAACGCAGAGTTCTGATTGGCTCTGATTGAAGTATAGTGGGTAGACACGAAGGCAAGCTGCCTTGAGGTCTACCTACTATCCTTCAATCAGAGCCAATCTGAACTCGGTGTTCTGACGTCACCACAACCCCCTTGCAAAAAAAGCAGACAAACTGACGCTCCACAATGCGTTTCAGTTTCTTATGGGTTTCATTAAAAAGATGGTAAGCATTTTCTTTTTTCTCTTCACAGGGTTGATCGCGATACCACTATAGGTGGTTTCCACGTTCCCGCCGAGACTGTGGTTCTTTCTAATTTCTGGGCAGTCCACCACGATCCTAAGGTGTGGGAACATCCTTTCGATTTCGACCCTACTCGATTTTTGAATGCGGATCACACTGTACTACTGCCGAAGCCAGCGGCTCTCATGCCTTTCAGTACAGGTATGTCAGTACTAATTCTTAGCCTTGAGCATATGAACAAAAGAAAGAAAATATTTCACAAACATTAGAACACTTTTAACTGAGAATGTTGTAAGTAAATACGTATATTGTGTGTGTATGTACATGGCAGAATATGTATGAATATAACGAATATATTAAAGCAATAAATATATGCATAAAACGAAGTTATACGGATAGAGCGAAGGTAAGTATGTAGCGAAGCAAATATGAACTACTCTTACAATTCTGGTAACGCCTTGTGGATATTTATAAAGAAAAACTATTGATTTCCTAAATATCTTTAATAAAACCTCTATTTATTTTAGATAGCCTCTGTTGTGGATAAACGTGTTTTATTAATATTTGTTTTACTCTTGTAGTAAGGAACATGCGAAGTTTACAAACCAGCAGAGTAATACCAACAACAGTAATAAACTTGCGTGTTTTTCTCATACACATTCAAGTTGAACCAATAATCTAGTAAAAACTAATAATAATAATGCGGCGCGGGTACTTGACTGCCCAGTATATTATTGACTCTGTATTAGTTTTTTTTTGTTTTTTATTTAAAATAAATAATGGGAATGTTTTTACAATTCAACCAGAAGAGGGTTATATCAAGTTTCTAGCAGAAAATATGAACGGTAAACATACGACAACCGACTAACTTTGACACCGTACGCAAGTGTTTAATAAAGCTTTGGTTTGGGCTGGTTGGTTTTTCATTATGCTTGTACTTCGCCGCTGAGGTTTAAAGACGTGAGGGAAGAAGGGAATTTTACCTTACGAACTTGCCCACACTAAGCTAGTTAAGAGAAGTGTCGCCTCATGGTGCTTATCGCAGGCCATGAGAAAATCATGTTCCCCCAGGGTGAATGGCGACCTGAGACGGCAGACTGAACGTCTAGAACAAAGGTCTCAAACTCATTTGAGTATAGGGACTGCATAGCTTACGCCGAAAGGTCGAGGGTTAACATGAGAGAATTCAAAAGATCTTAAACTGAAGAGACCTCGAGCTCTATGCATTTTGTAAATACAGTTTTGCCAGTGACATTTTTGGATTTTATTAGTTTATATGACTATTTGGGCCCCTGCTTGATGTATAGTAACAAGAATTAAAATGACACCGCCCAGGCCAACGTGCTGGTATTTTTAATTAAACAAGAGAGATAAGAACATTGTCGCTCTCGTTGCTCAATTCACTCAGAACTTAATCGAGCTCAGCATGTCCCTAAAAAAACAATCAGTTAATTTTAGAGTTTCTGCTTTCATGGCAATATTTATTACAACGGTCTAAACAAATACCTGTCCTTTAACGTTTTCTTTTTTTTTTTTTAAGGCGGGAATTTTGAGTGTGTAGCTTTAGCTTTGGAAATTGATCCAGGTGATTGAGAGTTCGCGCAGCCGAGATGCATCCTTCAACGCACAGTTTGCACTTGCAGCCTAGGGGTAAAATTATTGTGCAGTACAAAAACGTCGGGAAGGAAAAACTAAATCGAAACAAAGAGCGAATGAACAGAGATAAGTATAAACAGTGTGAATACGTTGAAAGAGCAGCGCTAATTTTCAAGAAAAAATAAATCGACGAGATGAGATCTCATGCCATTTCTTGCGCTTGATACATGGGAAGTGGGACACGTAGCAGGTCGCCTGCGGGCCGCGTCCCAGCGAGTCGCGGACCGAATGCGGACCGCGGGCCGCGTGTTTGAGACCCCTGGTCTAGAACAAGTGGCCTCCAAAAACACTTCTGGTGACGGTAGCCAAAGAATCTCTAAACGAACTGAAAGGCAGCGGCAAAACCTAAGATAGGCTGGTGGTGAAGAAAAGTGTGGTAGTTCTACCCTAAATCCACAACATCTCTTACAAGCTAAAAAATTGAAGTATTATTCGCCACTTTTAAGTTTAAAGGTTTATGTTACATGGTCAATAAATCGGGAGATCACACGGGGGGAGTCAAGTGAGGTGTCAAGTACGACACCGGTGCCAGTTTGCAGAGTGCTTTAAGGGTGTGGTGTACAACGTACCTTTATTGCGCGTAAATTATTATAGAGGGCAAACGGGCAGTTGTTTAAATGAGAGGCCACGCGAGCACGAATGCGCGTGTGAACAGTTGCAAGCCGCAGGAAATTTCGCAGCACATTGTACTAAATGCCCCTGTGATGCGTTATTTGGAGCAACGTCAATCAGAAAGATCGAGTGAAAGGACGAAGCGAGAGATTATGGAGGCTCTTTTGATGACGCGAGGGAAGCGCGGAACGTGCGTCAATGAACCGTCGGGTTCTCTTAACAAGAAAGAAAGAGACTCCCTAAAAAAGATTTCGCATCATGATGGGCAGCGGGCACGTGCATTGGCCGCCGCAGCTAATATCTTATCTAGAGACGTGTTTACACTTGCATGACTGTGTTAGATCTGATTATGTCTGTCGATCTCTCTTTTATCTTTTCAATGTGTTTTTTTCTTTCAAGCATGCTTGTTTGGAAAGAAAAATAAACCAGGGGCCCTAAACTCGTCAAACACAAAGTTGGGGCCGAAGTTGATGGAGCGAACCGATTGGACAATCACGACGATGACTTGGCACTTTTGTCGCCAATGTCCAATCGGCGTGCTCCGCGAACTTTTGGCTCCAACTTTGTGTTTGACGAGTTTAGAGCCCCAGTTGTTAGTTGCGCCTTTCGTGAGTGACTGCCGTCCTTCTTTGTCGAAGTTTGTAAACCTTAACAACGCAGAGCAAAATTAAGCAAGTGTTTAACCGCTGCACACGAGAGGCACGTTGGTGTTCCTCGTGCGTTTTTATTCGGGACAAATATCATCGTTTAGGGTACACGTGTGCAGATAGAACACTGACAATTTCCAGGCAGACGGATGTGCCCCGCTGAAACGCTCGCCGTCATGGAGATCTTCATGTACGTGACGACCCTGATGCAAAAGTTCACGGTGCTGCCCAAGGAAGGGGAGACAATTTCGATGGACATTCACCAAGGATTAATCAACAGTCCCCTTCACAGCCAAGAGCTCCGATTTCTGGCGAGATGAGGGACACCTTTGCGATGTTGTTCGACGGTCGTTTGCAAACTTTTTTTTTTTGGGGGGGGGGGGGGGGGGGGGGGGGGGGGGGGGGGGATTCTAGGACAAGCTATTGCAGCGATCGATTCAATGTTTACTCATGCAATGAACGAGTAAATATTGTTGCGTGCTCTAATTTTTTTATTCAATATTAAAGCCAAGTGGGTGATAAGTCTACACCGCGTACTCAGTATTATATTTATTCATTCGGCAAAAACGCAACTTAGATATAAAAAAAAAACTTTGATACAAAAATTTGAGAAAAGCTCTTGTAGACATCTCTATTTTGACACTGAGCACATGGTGTAAAATTATTACTCTCTTAACGAGAAAAACGACAGGTACATAATATTATTTACTCGTTAATCACCTAATTAATTATTTAACCTACGAAATAGTTTGCCCTAGAACTCCGTAAAAACAGGGAGCACGTTAACTAAGTTACCTTTGAGTATGAATCTTCAAAGGTCCCATTGGTCAATAAAAAAAAAGTCTTCTACCAATTCAACATGGTTGCCGCCGAAGCGGAGCCTTAATTGCGTTTTGTACGACAGGCTCCCATACTCGCGGAGACCTTTCTGTGGCAGTTCAGTCAAATCTAACTGCACACACGCGCTAGTGCATCATGAGCGCCCATCAAATCTCTACACGTGCACTCCTCACTTCTGAAAACGAGTGGGCAAGGGCTAACGCGCGCTTTCCTTCTTGCTGGGTTGAGGAAAGCGGAAGAAAGGCACGGATGGCGGTTATGAAGCTGTACTTCATCAACACGGTCACTTTTGCACGTCAGTGACAGGTGCAAATGATCAGTTTCCGCCCCAACCCAGTGCGGCTGCACAATCTGTTACACTCTAGGAGACGCTTAGGAATTCAACATGCCACTACCCACCAAAAGAACTGTATATAACTAATTTTATAGCCGATTGTATGTTTTATTTTACTGATACCAGTTCAATATTCAGTTGGATTTTGTCCTTGACTTGTAAACTAAATTTCGTAACAAGCATTTTTAAGAAGACTAGTAAAATCGTTGGGGAAAATGGCAACAGCAACGTACTTTATTAGACATGTGAAAACTACAAAATGAAGCATCGCCAACAAGTTGCCCTCATTATGCCTGCAAGCAAAAGGTATGTCAGAAATAAATAGATTTTTTCGTTCTTGCACACTTATGTAGGACACAAGTGTAAGGAAGTGCCCCAGCTGAAGGAAAGTTTTAGATTTCTTGTTTGAAGAAACCTTCAATTGGACTCCTTACACTGAGAAAATGAGAATTTGTATATCCAGAGCAATGGGGTCATTAAATTGTCTCGGGAAATACTTAGCATATTGGTGAAAGTTGCAGCTATACTGTGCACTTATTTTTTAATGACTGTAATATTGTGTAATGTTATGGGGTCCAAGTACAAAAACACATATCAGCAAATTACTTCTACTGCGAAAAAAAAGTCGTTCGATTTATTGGAAACCTTCAGAAATATGATCACTCAGTGCGACTTTTTCGGGAGTATAAAATATTGACTGTAGAGTAAATTATGACCCTAAAAATATCAATCATTATTTTTTTACTAAGATAAGAAAGAATCAATCAGTTTTTTTAACACGCATCCAAAACCCCCAGAAAACCAGCCTACGATGTAGTCATTACGTAAAAAGCAAAGTTTGTGGAAATTATGGCTTCCAGCAACTTACGTATCTCGTTCCAGACGCATTGAATACGCACCCTACTATATCTTAAATAGTGCAAAACAACGGTTCCCTTCGGTCATTGAAAGATAACCTTGAAACATACATTTTAAGTCTCTTATGATCTGGAGTTATCGTAAGCCCACTGGTAATATAATTCATTTCAGTAATTGTTTTGTTTTCTGCTGAGTGCTGTAAAAAAAAAAAAAAGAAGACTAGGGGCTGGGGTTTCACCAGAACACAAGCTTGTATTTTTTAATCCCAGCCCCCCTCCCCCCCCCCCCCCCCCCCCAGACTTCTCTTTCGTCTGAAATAAAGACTACATACATACAAGTGTTCTCGAAACAGAAATGGATACTTCTCCATCAACGTGCAAGTAAGTTCACTCCTGTTGTTTGTGTTATGAGTAGTGCCAAACTTAATAAATTGAACTGCACGCTGCGAGATGCCGTATCGTAGGTCTAAACTATGACGCAACGATATTACTCAAACCTTTACAACAAATCTGTATTCTGCAACAGTTCGCACGACCGAGCATGCGGTACTCGCGTTCATCCGAAACAAAAAATGATACCATTAAACGGTTGCCGGCTCTTGTTAAAGCAGAGAAGTAAGTCAAAATAAAATGAAATCCCGATCGGGTTGGCGAGCACAAAGATGGTAGCAGCCCGAGAGCACCCTCATTGCATGAATGACCATGACGAAAGCAATTTGCAGTGAACGTGGAATGAGACGAAGTGTTACATTAATACCTTTTGTTTTGGTACCTTTCGAGCCACCAACGCCTTTTCGCTCAAGGACTTTAAGGGTCGACTGAAGGATGAGACATATAAGGCTTCCGCCTTAATAACACACACCATTTACCATTCCAGAGGACCAGTAATCCAGACACTTTGGTTGGCTCAACACTTCCGGTCAAGCGAACCTATCGACCAACACATTGTTTACAACAAGCCCGCGTTTGCCCACCAGGCGAGGGCACTGCGCGCGCGTAGAAACCAGAGCCGGCGTAGGTGATCACCTGCGCATGCCCAGTGCCGACAGCAGCGCCACCGCAGCGGCGTGACGTCAGAGAGTTGAGTTGGTCTATACATGACTTGCACGTGACGTCATCACATCATTCTGCTGGTTAATCCCACTTGTCCTAAGCGAGAAAAAGAAATTTTATCAGGGGAAAGCACGCGCGTTCAATAACAAAGACGCCCCAATGGTGGCGTTGTTAGTGCAAGATGCCTCGCACATGCCTTGCACTGACGTCGCACCAGCGACCATTGCGGAGACCTGGCGAGACCGTATCCTTTGCAACTAACGTTTCACGCCATTGAATTCGTTTTAGAGCGCAGCTCTTAGGGGCCCGTTTCCGGCTTGAGCGGCGTCGGCGTCGCCGTCGGCGTCGGCGTCGGCGTCGGCGTCGGCGTAACCGCGCGGTGCATCATGGGAAATGTCCCATAATGCACCGCGCGAGCCCCCCACCGGGGTCACGTGACTTCGTGGGGGGGCACGTGACCTCCCCCGAGGTCACGTGACCCTCTGAAGTCACGTGACCCCCTCCTCGAGGTCACGTGACTCCCCTGAGGTCACGTGACCTCCCTCCTCGAGGTCACGTGACCCCCGAGGTCACGTGACCCCCGCCGATGTCGCGTGACCCCCCGATGACGTCATCGACACTGAGGACGTCACCGGCATCCACATCGCCATCGTCATCATCACTGATGACGTCATCATCAGTGGTGATGACGATGACGATGCGGGTGCCGGTGACGTCATCAGTGATGATGACGATGACGATGTGGATGCCGGTGACGTCATCAGTGATGATGACGATGACGATGTGGATGCCGGTGACGTCATCAGTGATGATGACGTCATCAGTGACGATGACGATGTGGATGCCGGTGACGTCATCAGTGATGATGACGATGACGATGTGGATGACGGTGACGTCATCAGTGATGATGACGTCATCAGTGATGATGACGATGACGATGCGGATGCCGGTGACGTCATCAGTGATAATGACGATGACGATGTGGATGCCGGTGACGTCATCAGTGATGATGACGATGACGATGTGGATGCCGGTGACGTCATCAGTGATGATGACGATGACGATGTGGATGCCGGTGACGTTACCGACATCCGCATCGTCATCATCACTGATGCCGTCATCAGTGACGTCACTGATGTCGTCACCGGCATCCGCATCGTCATCGTCACTGATGACGTCGTCAGCGACGTCACTGATGACGTCACCGACATTCGCATCGTCATCGTCATCATCACTGGTGAAGCCATCAGTGACGTCACTAATGACGTCATCGGTAGCCGCATCGTCATCGTCACTGATGACATCATCAGTGACGTCAGTGATGACATCATCGGCATTGGGGGTCACGTGACCCCCCAAGGTCACGTGACCCCCCCTGGTTAGTCTAACCCCCCCCAGCGCCCTTCCCTCCTCCTCCTCAAGAGCTGCGCTCTAATTCGGCGTTACAGGGAGTTGTAAGCGGCTTTCACTTTTTCTAGGCTAGAACAAGTAGAAATGACAACCAGCATGATGCGATGACGTCGTGAGCCTTGTTAGATCATCGCATTATGCTAGTGGTCACTCGTACTTGCCCTTGCCGACGCAAACTAATACGATGCCGTGAAACGTAGACACCAGGAGGCACGCAGGGCCATCACAATGACGGCTGAGGTAACGTCAGTTCAAGCATTGTATCGAATGCGGTACTCGGAGGTATTCAGTGACTCTGGGTGCCTCGTACTCTACACTGGAGCCACTCTATAAGCTACGCTTCAAAGTAATGCCACGTCAGCCATATTTTGGAAGTTTAAATCATTGTTTCCAGGGATATATAGAGGTTTATCTGAAAGTCGTAATCGTTGTTCTGTCCTTCAAAAATGTTGAAACAGTCTTCGACAGATGAATATATATATATATATATATATATATATATATAGGGCATGGTGGCGGGAGGCCGAAGGCGTGGGTATAAAACTGAGAAGAAAAAAACCCTTAGTGAAAAACAGCAACAGCGGACGATTTAATCTTCGACGTTTCGGCCGGAGTCCGGCCTTCGTCAGGAAGCCTGTCCGGCCTTCCTGACGAAGGCCGGACTCCGGCCGAAACGTCGAAGATTAAATCGTCCGTTGTTGCTGTTTTTCACTAAGGGTTTTTTTCTTCTCAGTTATACATATATATATATATATAGGCTGATACTCCTAACACTGTACGTATAAGCTCAGGGCTTGGCGGGATCATCAGACAATTCGGGTGATAGAGTGCCTATAGACCTTCGCAGAAAATCGCCCTCTGCGCGCTGCCATCTTATCTGCTGGCTGTGGAACACCTGAGTATACGCTGTTGCTCTGCTGTGCGGTATACCCGACACTGCGCATGCGTCCACAGATCAGCGACTCATAATTTTTCGCCCGGGTGATGAGCGATGGAAAGATTTATACTCTAAGCGGGACCTATTTAGTGACTCTACTTTAAGTAAGAGAACACCTTTCTCACCATGCAGCTCCGCGAGGAGTTTTATCAGGCAGCCAAACATCTGCTGTTTTCGTTTTCCCCCAAGGTACGAGAAAAATGGTCGTGCAAACCGATTGTTTTACGTATTGATTCGTGTAATAAAGGTCAAGTATATCTTGTCGAGAAGAGTGCAGATATGGCTGTACAAAAGCAGATCAAGGTCCCTTTAATGATAACGACATGTTTGGTGATATCGTCAAAGCGCCGAGGGTACTCGGGGGGATAGCCACTGTCTGACATTAACAGGACGTCGCAGCGAAGCGACTTGTTTGTGATGGACGGGGTTTGAACGAAGCGGTTCTTCGAGCCAACCAACCGCCACCAAAGGGGACAACGAGCTGTGTTGCAACCATTTGTTTTATGAACGACGAGATGCACGAGTCCTATTCACCATCTTTTGTTTGGAAGGTGAGTTTTCGTGTTTTTTTTCGTTCCTGTTTGGTGATTGGTGTTAATTGCAGTTATTCGTTTGCTTTTTTAGGACTGCGGTTTTTAAGTTTAGGGTAGTTTGGTGTCTCACACCTACAGGGCGTAGATGTGGGACTAGAGACTTAGTTTATATTGTCATGAGATGGGCAGCACATAAACTACTTTGAGCAAAGTGAATATTAAAAAGAAAAAAAAAACACAAAGAAACTTGATCGTTGTTACGTGGAAATATATCAAGCTTATGAAAACTTCAATATAATATGCACTAAAATAAATTGCAGTTTAGTTCCTGAAATTTTACCGCTGCCAACGCTTCATTCTGAGGACGTCAATTAAACACCGCCAAAAATGCATCTTCACGGTGCTAGTCATCCTTGTTTGAAACTCTTGATGAAAAAATGGAGCCCGTTTCCGTTAGCCAGCTTCATTCATCTCTATGTAGGTGTGGATTTCGTCGGCCCTTATTTTCCCATTTAAACCTTCCTTTCGAAATGCACTTCTAACTCTTGAATAATATATTTGCAAGCTCTGAAATTTTGGCACCTGTTCTAGACCGCTAGCGCTACATTTTCCCTTAGACTGGCTGTTAGGCAATGCACTGTTTATTTTTGTAACAAAACAAACACGATTTCCTTTCGGGTACACCCTCTACTGAATTTTCCTGAATGGGTCGGATTTTAGCAAAAATTCGCTCCAAACTAAAAAAAAAAAAAAAAAAATATTGCCTATGTTTAACGTTGCGATGATAAAGCTTTTTCTTTAATATTCACTTTGCTTAAAGTTGTTTGTGTCCTAGAGTACTGCGTTCAAAGTAGTTTGTTGGCGGAGTAAAAATATTTAATTCGGTTCCAAGCTGGGTGTTGGTTGTGCATAAAATAATAATAGCCTCTAGAACTGATCTTTTTTTTTTTCATAAGACGAGTCAAGTGAATTCAGACGTGTGTGTTTTCCCCTTGTCCCCTTCTTCGTCCCTTCGTCTCCGGTTGGAATCAAGCCAGGCCCTCGAACAAATCTACCCCGTCGCTTCCATTATCAGTTGTTATGTTCCCTTGCCTTGAAGCGAAACCATTGTTCACCAGGAAAAACTCCAACCGTGCGATGAAATGTCGTTCGGCGCTACAAATGACGAACATGTCTGTTCGCCATAAAGCAAATATTATCTAATCATGTTCACAAAGGCGGTTCAACCAAAGCAATCAGCCTTTCAGACCTGACTACATTAACACATTTGCATCTAGTGTTCTTGACGTATATGGGATTCCTAAAATAAATAAATTCGCCAAAAAAAAAGAAGGAACTCCTCGTTGAGTGGGCATAAAAAATAGATAGCTCCAACCAAATCTTTTAAGGAAACCTGACGTTTTGAAATCGGCAAGGTTTCTCTTTCAGGGCTGACTGAAAGCATCAGGAGTAACAGCAGCTCCTAACCTCGTCATCTTGAAAATTAAAAACATAAATAAAACATAAATACATGTGTTTTCTTTTTTATGGAGACGGTTATTTGTTAGATTTTTCGTCAGGTCGCAGAGGCCTTGTGGATACACAGAGGACAAGTTCCCTGGGGACATTTTTAGGTATCCTAGCGTGTGTTTGATTTCTCATGGCTTTAAGAAAAACCTTCTTTGGATATTTGGCTCTGCGCCAATCACGTTCGGGTTCGCGAAATCGATGCAATAGTATAGGGCAGTGGTTGTCAAATTGCAATAGTTTAGAGCAGTGGTTTGGTGTCCGTGAAGGCATTCTAGGGTTCTGGAAAACCCAGCCTCCTCAATCAAGCCCGGCAATAAAACTTGTTTTTCCTTACATTGAGAAGAAACGTTCCAAATTTTGGGTGCGTTTTCTCTTGTATATGTCAATAGGAGAAGTCTACTTCACACAAGCACTTTGTTATATCCATTTAGTATTTTTTTATCATAATTACCCTATAGTTTTCCTTTTCCTCACCACGAAAGGTGTCCTCCATCATCCCCGCCGATCCATAAGAAGTTCGCGAAACATCAATGGCTGAGAACCACTGCTCTAGGGGTATCGCAGTGCTCGGCGATGGCGCTGCGCTCATGTCGAACTTCCGTACGTCGTTCTTCTGTTGGCGGATTCGCTCGGGAAATAAACTGCAACAATGTGACGTGTTAAGCTAGTTCGTTTGAGGTGAACTTCTTGGGAAGAAACAGCGGCAAAAAAAACTTGGACGAGACTAAAGAAACATGCGCGTCCGAACGGCGCTCAGCGCCGTCCTGTCATGCATGTTTCTTGTTACTCTTGTCTGTGTTGTTTCGCCGCTGTTTCTTCCCAAGTCGCTCGGGAAAGTTCTTCGACTCGGCGATGTAGGTTGCGGGGCACTCCGAGCATGGAATCGTGTAAATTACGCCTGGAGTTCTTTCTTTTGGCAGACGATCTTTGGATCTTGGCATGAGCGTTCCCAGTGTGGACACGGGCTTGTAAGCCACCAGAATTCCTTTTTTTTTTTTTTTTTACAATACTCATGCTAGGGATTCCCTGGTCCCCTTTGTGTAGGGGACCGTTTGTGTATGCGCGCGACTCGATGGGGCTGCCTTTCTTCTTGTGGCTTTTGGGTTCGCCTGCCGAGTGCTTGGCGTCGAACGATGCGTTGGGCGACGCGGTTGGAGTCAAGCTCGAGGTAAAGTTCGATGTGTGCAGACTTGGGAAGTAATCTGTTGCAAGCATCGGATTACTTGTAATTAATTAGTTTTTAAGTAATTTTGTAATTGCCACGTTACGTTTTTACGACAGTGATTTGTAATGTAATTTCATTACAAAATATCGGTAACGGATTACTTTAATTACTCGTTAATTTTTAAAAATATTAACGTAATGCAGAAGCTGGAACAATCTGAGTGTGCGGACACCCGCTCGACCAAAGCTCGAAAAGGAGCGCCAGCACCCATGCATTTTTCATTACTGCAGGCAAGTATGCTCCGTTCATGTATAAGCTGGGCTCACGCTTGGAAAGCCAGTTTTCAAGCGGGAGCCTTTCGTAGATCAGTTTCTTACGTGCGAATCTCCGATCGAATCTCCGCTAGCTATGTCTATCGAATTCCTGGGATCATTTCCGGTGGCCGTAAGCTCAGCACGGCGGGTGTGGTTGCTGCTTTCGCTGCCCTTTTGTCAGCTTGGAGTCGAATTGAGTGCACGGACGTTCTTATTTTATTCTTTAATAGGACTACCACAATGCGGGGCACATATGAAAGGCAAAGGAGGTTTGCAGAACATTTTTAAAAACGCCAATATTGTTTCTATTGTTTTCTCTATAAGTGCACGGGAAAAGTAACGTGAAAGTAGTTTGTAACGTAGAAAGTAAGTAATACGTTACTTTTCAGCGAATGTTACTTGTAACGTTAATCCATTACATTTGAGGCTCGGTAATTTGCAATTGCAATCCATTGCATTTTTTTAAGAAACGGTCACAACTCTGGGATTGTGTTGGTTTTCTATGCTCGTTAACTTCGGATCTTCCCACCGCCTGTTCACCAGCACGTCGAGGAAGGGCAACGAACCGTCCGTCTCGCATTCCACGGTGAACTGAAGGGCCGGCTCGATGGAGTTGTGATGTGCCAGAGAATTATTGACGTCTGATTCCTTGAGAACGTAGAAAAAATCATCCACACAGCGCATAATACTTTGGGGTTGTTAAGGAAAGACTCCAACGCTCTTTGTTTGATTGCTTCCATAGCGAGTTTCACCGTCGTGACCGAGATAGCTGCACCAATTGCAGTGCCACTGACACCCCTGAAAAACTCAGACTTTAAAGTGAAGTACGTGCACGTGATCGACATGGGGTCATATATTCAAGAAAGCTTGTTTTGGAGTCATGGAAAATGCAGCATACGCCAGGAAACCAACAAAAACTTGAAAAGATAAAACAGCCAGGACGGGGACGGAAACATGACATCTTCCATTGAAGTCCTGTTTTCGTCCCCGCCCTCGGTGTTTTACCTTTTTAAGTTCTCGTATCTATTCACCGACAAGATCGTATTCAACTCTTACAGAAAACGTAAACAGGTCCATAAGCGCCTTGTCCGCTTTGTACGTCCATGACCTCCGTGACTTGACGAGAGAGCTGAAGAGATGACCGTCTCCATAGAAACGAAACTGATTCTTCACAAATTTTCTTGGATATTTTATTTTTAAGATGACGTTAGGAGCTGCTGCCGCTTCGCGTGCTTTTAATCAGCCTGAAATAATTTTCAAAAAAGCCTAACTGGTTTTGAAACGTAGGGTTTCCCATCAACATTTATCTGGAGCTATATATTTGTTTTTACTTTAATATGTAATTCTATATTGTAACATACATATGCTTCATATTGAAAAGCACACTATATACGACAGCGGTGAATATTCGATGAGAACCTGGAACATTTTCGGGAGAAAATAAATTAAAGCATCGAATGTATTTAAAACGAACTCCCTAATCCCAGAAATTGAATCGTCCGTCCATCTGTCCGTTCGTTGGTCCGTGCGATTCCCCGCTAAGTTTAGCGCAGGGAGATTGGTGTGACGTGAACTCAAGTCACGTTACACCACTGTTTGAGATTGCGATGTTGTGTCACGTGACAACTCTGCCTGGTATCAGATCACTGGGTATCGAATCACTTGACCACCATGAAGTCAATTTTCCCGCAAACTTCAGACGTCACCACGTCACCTGACCTCGGGTCCCGTGACGTCAATTTTCCAGCTGAATTTCGCGAGATATGGGAGCCAGGTTACGTCCTAGTATTGCGGGAACCACTTAAAACTGTGACGTCAATTTCTTCGCTAAATTTAGCGGCGAAATTTCCGCCACGAATCTTGACGTCATGCGACGCCAGGTCACGTCACACGGTGACGTCACGTCATGCGACTTCAAATGAACTGACGTAGGTTTTATGACACCATTACGTCTGGGCGTCCAGTCCTGGCCTCGTGTGACGTATAGGTCACGTAGCTTTATGTTCCGCGCTGAATTTGTCGCCGATATTTATAAACAATATGCGCTTCATTCCCAAACGAGTTTCAACGATCGCTGCTTGAATACTGCTTATCATGCAAAGTAGAAATTTAAAAGTATAGGTTGGTGGTACCTTCTTTTTCCGTGCATCCGGGCATCCTAATACTTAGCGCTTCCATGGTTATCTTTTTTTTAATAAAGGTCTTTCGAGAGGATTATTCCTCGTTGGCAACGGACATCGCTCTTGGCCTGGTGATAACGCTGGTCATCGGAGCGCTGTGCCTCAAAAAGGGGAAGGCGAGGATTCAGGACAGGCCGCTACCTCCGGGGCCGACTGGTGTCCCTGTCCTAGGTTACCTGCCTTTTCTCGGATCCAGTCCCCAAGTTACCTACAAGAAACTCGCGGCAAAATACGGACCCATCGTGAGGTCAGTCTCACCCCAGTGACCGCAGACCTGCTTTCTCTCTGTAGAGTCAGCGCTGTCGCAGGACTGACTGCCATTTCTTTGCGCGTGGAAAGCTTGAAGCGGCGAACATTTTACGGCGCGAACGTGCAGCCAGAAATCGGTCTGCAATGCCGCGAGCACAATTTTTGCACATCCGATATGATACGATGGGCCTTCTTGTGCAAACTGCGCATGCGCTATCCCAGAAGGCTCGCGCATGCGCAGTTCGTACCTGAGGGCCCTTCGTACCGTATCGGATGTGCAAAAACGGTTCCCTAAAACTTGATACTGTCTAAGGCGTGTTTCTTCCTTGTACGAAGGTCCTGTTACATTAGTCGCGCGAGACGTGTCTGTGGACTTGTACGAGACATATAAATATATGAAGTGAATATATTTCGAAAACGCTTACGGGCGTGTCCCCAGATAATAGGTCTTTTTAAAAGTTCATCGAGCAACATTGACGCTCGTCATTTGTTTGGGGGCACAAAGCGCGTGATTTGATCCGAGGCATTGCCGAAAGACTACACGGCACTCTTTTTTTTTTTTATACGAGAAAAGCCGATATCATGACGAACGCTGCAGTAACCCTCTTGACCAACATACATGCTCAGAGCACGCGCCCAACCAACAAAGGCGGACTCGAATGATTGTCGCAGCGGCTACTGCATGGCGCTCACGTTTGAAAGCGGTCTATTCTGTCGTCGTGACTGCATCGGACACCGTGCCTTTTGTATGACGTGCGAGCAGTGTGACCCCGACTTTATCTTGTGCGCTGGCATAAGATGTCTCTTCAAACATGCTATCAATAGTAAAAAAAAGAAAAAAAAGATTATTAAAAAGGCCTAACGACATCCAGCAAAGTCACTGGATCTTGGAAAAGTAGCGCCATTTCCTTCTCAGCCTGCTGGCCGATTACGGAGGGTTAATAAGGTACAAAGGACCGAAACCTCGCAAGGTGATTGGCTGATGGGCCTTTGTTGCCATGGCAATCATCATTTCGGTTTTTTGGGATCTTTGAAGCTTTGAAAAAGTTGTTCTAAATTAGTCCCACCAAGATCGCTATGAACCGCCATCGTATACTGAAAGTGTTCCTCGCCATTATACGCGTCGTTGGCATTGTGCATTTATTCAACTCATCAATTATTCTTATTTCCGCAGATCTCTTATAATGATGTCGTTCTTTTCGGGTATTTTAAAAGAGAGAAAGTATTTTGCAATGTCGCCAAGCACCGACGCCGCATCTGCTCGCGAAACAAAAAGGTGCGCATGTTTGGCCGATACCCAAGAGATGTCTTCATGAAGCAACCTTTCACCGGGTGTTTGGTTCGGCTCACCAACAATGAAGAGGTCCACGAGAAACATGCCCATTCACTTGAGCTAAAATAACGTTGTTTGTGGTAAAGCGGCCTTGCGCTGCTTTTCCAGGATCCTGTGAATTCAACGTAGAGTTGACTATACACTGCGCGCGAATCTTCCGAAGGCACCACAATGCTAGGCTGTGTTGCTGAAGAACTGTAACTTTGGCCTCGACTTTCCGCGTGCGCCAGACAGCATGAGCAACAAAACACGCAGACAAATTGTCTTGGTTTATATCGGTGTAATTAGGTCAAGTTGCCGTATGAACGCTTTTAAGGAAAAACAAAACCCCTCAAAAACGCTTCTATATAACATATTACAGAAGTGCGCATGATGCGCAAGTCTTGACTCATGGAATATGACGCCAATGTTCATAAAAGCTACACATGACTGACCGTTATAATGCAGTCTGGATTTCAGAGACCTGAAAGGGAAATAAAACCCGTAATTTTATTGATAATTATTCGTACTTAAAGTTGCTTAGTTTTATGTATAAGACTGCAATGCGAAGTTACAACTAGAACGGCTAATACTAGCAGCCGTTTTGCATTTCGATGAATATTGAAGCAGCTATGTATAGCTCTTAATTGACACCGCCTGGCGAATTGGGATTGGGTTCGTCGCCGCTCATTTCCCTTCCGATTCTTCCCGTTAGGTTTTGCTTCGGGCTGCCTGATAGGGTACCTAAAGTACGTTGCAAATCAAGAAGGAAGGGCGAGGGCAAGAGGGGCCGGGGAGCAGGAAGCAGACGGAATGCAAAAGAGCGAAGGAGGTTTCCCCTTCTCTTCTTCAGCGTTCCGTCCGCTTCCCCCTCCCCGGCCTGTTTTACCCTCGTCCTATTTTCTTGAGTTGCAACGGATTATAGGGAAAATAAGATGATTCGGGCACCGCACAAAATATCATCGTCTACAACAAAGGAACTCTTGCACGATACTGCAACCAGAAACTGTAGCAGAGAGGAACGACTTCAAGAAACTCCGACAATAAACTTCAGCTAGGTACAGCATCAATGAACTACAAACTCAAGTTAAAGCGATGGGCAAAAGCTTCAGTCATGTCACACTAGACTATTTTCAAAATGGTGCGCCATTTAAAAAGTCGCTACATGAAGAATGATCTTTCATTTTTAATTTAGTGTAAATATTGAATCGCTTACTGACTGCGGTAGAAAGTACTATTCACGCGTTGTAGTGGCACGAAGAGAGTGAGATTACGAAATAAAAGCTTAATGCAGAAATGAAAATAACCTCCATCTGTGCTGTTACAGAGTCAAACTGGGATCGGAAGATGTCGTTGTGCTGAATGACCTGGACTCGATCAAAGAAGGATTGAACAAAGACGCCGTCTTGGCCCGTCCTACACATTTCCTTTTGAGAAGCATCGGAGTTGATGGTTAGTTTGTTGAATGTAACCCATAGAGTCATGACATGTTACCATTCTTGTTTCGTCTTGGATGTATTACTTTGCTAAAATACGTTATTGGTTTTGTTAGAGCCATAAGACAATAAGTCCCGTTGGACGCCCGCGGCATTTCGGCGATTTCAAACTTGTTAAAAGAGCCATTGCCGTGTCTTGTTTACGTTCCTTTTTGGTGAAATATTGTTTCCATAGCTGCGGAAATAGTTTTTTTGTCTCAGGCAAAGCAGGTTGCATTCTACTAGCTTCCCGTTGGCTGTTGTCTTAGGTGTTTTGCATCACATCTCAAAGCGCTTAGAGGTCTTTGGAGTTTGAGGGAAAGGAGGAGGATATCCTGTAGTCCGGTTGTTCTGCCGTACGTACACGCCTTTTACTTAGGATCAAGCAGGTGGCTGGGAAGTTTGACGTACCTGTTGTGTGCTCAGCTCCTTTAACGTTGTCCCGTCTTTATGCCGCAGTTAACCGTGTCGGGTTATCTGTGATGCGGTTAGCCACCGCACCCGGTATGTTGCGTGTGTAACGGGCGTCGTGTATTGGATCCCTCTGTCGTGTGGTAGGGATGTACGTAGGTCATACGGGGAGGTGTGTAAATATTAGGGCCAGAGAGCATTCCCTTTCCCTTTGTTCTTCACCGTCGGGACACCCTGCAGTTCACTGTGATAGTTACAATTGGCGCTAGGACTAGGACAGACGAAGAAGTGGACGGGACAGGCGCCAGTCCTGTCCTCTTCTTCGTCTATTCTTGTCCTAGCGCTATTTGTAATTTAGTATGTCTAACCAGCTATCCCACCAGAATATTTTCTCACTGTGATAGGTTTATGTGCTCTCCGGTTTTCGTGGAAATTACGATTCTGGCTCGTCACCAAGACAAAGTGACGAGAGAAATTGGCAAGGCGTTTTTCTTTCTACCCACGGAACGGACACGGGTTTGAGCGCCCCGTTTGAGTTTTGGCAAATTCTGAAGTCGCTTTTATAAAGAAATTGGGCAAATTTGTTTAAATGTTTGCAGACGTGCCACAAGGGGGTTGATTATCTTTTTCCTATTTTTCTCATTTTATGTTTTTCTTTCTATTCCGTGCAGAAATAAGCTTCAGTCGCTAGTCAGTGTTGTGTTCGTTTACTTTTCTTTTTTGTCCTTCCTGTATCTTGCGATCTTTTCAAGTTTTCATAATGCACCAACTAGCCCAACTTCATGCCTAGTTGCAGAACGCATGATTTTCTAATCAGGAGTGAGTTAACGTAGTGACACAGCAGAGAGCTAGACATTCCGTATATCTATCTAATTTTCTTACTAATTGATTGAAAGCCTTTATTAAAAGGAATGAATAAAAATTTTACGCTACGTAGTCAGATTCATAGTATGAACAGGGCTTGCAGGGCTTGAAGTGCATTTCTTGTCAATGCGCGGAGTTTAGTAATGTAGCCAAAGATGGTGATACAAATCTGGCATTGATGAATTTGGTGTGGATTTTCCAAGGCTTAAGAGAGTTTGCTGATAATAATAGTGCGTAGAAACTCTTTGTTATGTTCTATCATTTTGTTTAGTTAACCTTGCATGTGAGAGCGAGTATTCAAAACGTTAACCTGTAGTTCTTTTCAAGTCTGAAAATAAATATTAAAATATCTTACAGGAATTGCAACAATGAATGGACAAAGATGGGTCGACAACCGCAGATTCTGCATGCACGTGTTAAGAGACCTTGGATTCGGAAAGAAGTCCATGGAAGAACATATAAAGGTGCAATATCTTTTGATGTATGAAATGAAATAAACTTTAATCACCGCTGTTTAAAAGAAATGACTACTCTCAAGGGCCATGTTCCAGAGTTTCATTATTTGGTTCTTCAAAGCTAACTGTCACACTGGATTGATTTTCCGGAATTATTATGTGGTACTCTAGAAAAAAAAAAAAAACTTTAAAGCTCAAAGTTTCTTTGGGAAAACGAAAATTGAAACGCCCGAAACACTTTCTAAGAAAAGCAATCGCGTACTTATAAACCTTAGAGAATCTTGAAGAGGCCATCACTCTTTCTCAGAAACTCCTGGCGAGTCTAAGATAGATTTTGGTAGGGTGATATAGCTTTGTAAACTTGGAAACTCCTCTGTGTATTATTATTTCTCCAAATCACTGTTTAATGTGAAACGTTCCTTGGCTAGTTGTTCCAGATTTCTTGAAGCCGCATTTTTTAAAGCCGTGGTCTGTAACGTCCCATAATGCAACGCGCGCAGTATAGCGTTACGGGACTTCACACACCTACACGCCCCAATTTAGGTTCTCTACTATATTTAGCGCGGATTTTGAATTTCTGTATAAGTCTTGGACGTCCCATAACGCAACGCGCGCAGTGTTGCGATATGGGACGACACAGACCTTCATATCAATTCAGTTTCTCCGCTAAATTTAGCAGTGAAGTTGCATTGGCATATAGTGCACGTAACGTTACGTCACATGACGTCATTTGCCCTGCTAAATGTAGTGGAAATATTAGGAAGTTTCCGGAACTTTACAGTCAAGGCCATCCGCGCGCAGGCGCAGTAGTGGCTTCTTCGTTGCGGAGGGCTTAGCGGGGGGGGGGGGGGGACGTGGTCTACGAAATCTCCCTATTGAAGTGCCTTGACTTACATACCAATTCAGTTTGGCCGCTAAATTTAACAGGGAAACTGAAGTGACGTTACCTGATGTTACGTGACCAATACGGCAATTTAATTTCTCCTCTAAATTTAGTGGAAATATTAATGTCACGTAACCTACCCACCAAATCAGTTTCCCCGTAAAATTTAGGGGGGAAATTGACGTCACGTCACGTGATGTCACGTGATGCTAGATCGTTTCACGAATGCAATATAATTGTCCAGTAATACCAGTAATACAAAAAAAAAAAAAGAAAACGAGGCAGAGGGATGGCTTAACACAAAAGCCGAGCAATCTGAATAACAAATGTTGAGGACAGATCAAGCGGGCTGCCATGGGAATGATGATGTTGTGGTATAACTTGGCGGAAGATGGAAAATCACCATCTCTAACGGTGGGGCTGATCCATCTTCACAACCAGCGCTTAGCACGACAAACAAAAACAGCTTGTTTGTTCCTTCCACAGCGTTTGACTTCTGTTTAATCATTGAAACCTCGATCAGTACGAGTTCCCCCAGAACATTGGCCTAGCACTCATAGTAAATCTGGGCCCGGTGCTTGATAGGGGTAGGTGGCATATTAATCGTTCACAAGTCTTGAGCTGTTTAAAGGCCGAAATCTGTGAAAAACACGCTATGGTCACCAATAGTCACCAAATTTTCCAAGAGAGAAATGATAACCAACAAGTATGGCATTCCTCGCTTCCTGATTGATTTGTGATTACCGTATATCGCGTGCTAGTTTGATATTAATGGCTGCTTTGGCTAAGTGTATAATTTGTTTAAAAAAAATTGCATTGACTGGTCTTTTGTTTTATTTTTTTCTTCTTTTTGGCGACAACAGGAGGAGATAGCTCAGCTCTACGATGTCCTGAAATCGTGGAATGGCACACCGGGGAAAATAGAAAATGTCATCACGTCGAGTGTCTCGAACAACATAACTGCACTCGTATTCGGAGAACGTTTCAGCTACGATGATCCGAGGCGGCTGTTCCTCGACAAAAGAGCAAGCGGGGTTTCGCGGAACGGTAGCTTCACATCGCCTTTGGACTTCTTTCCCGCCTTGCGCAAGCTGCTCTCCTACCTTCCATCGTCCAGATCCAGTATCGTCCGTGCACTCGCGGACAGTATGCTTGATTTTATAAGGCAAGTATATATTTTTTGTCGTTCGTCACACAGGAAAGAAATGACAAGTGAATGTCTTGTGTACGCGTGCGTGGCGTTTGGTACTTCGAAGAGAAGAGCCAGCGCGCACGCTAAAAGCGCGATCCACAGCTCCCTAGACAAAGATGGCAGCGCCCAGGGGTCGGCTATTGGAATGGCCGACAAGATCCTTACACAAAATGGACCAAATGATTTCTTTCTGATGGCTCCTTATTCTAACAAATTAAGACAGAGATAGCTTGAGTACATCTTGTCGTTTCTGCAGTTACTTTTACATTTCTAAAGTCTACTCTAGAATAGTATCACCGTGAATTGTTGGGCAAAAGAAGGCACCCTAACTTTTATTTCCAGAAAAGAGGCCGACCAACGTTCGAAAACGCTAAGTCCAGACGTGAATAGGGACTTTATCGATGCTTATCTGAAGAAGATAAACGAGAGTAACGGAACAAACCAAAGCTTCAATCGTGAGTACATTTTTACTTGTGTTATCGTCACTAACAGTTTAGAAAACGTAAGACGTGGCGGCTTTTAATTATCGCTCCTCGGCCAATAGGATTGAGGAGTCGGCCAATAAAAAGGCCGAAAATCGAATTGCGAAGCACGTATCGCAAGATAGGCCACTCGCTACATTTTTTTTTAAAATATGTCCGGGACTACTATAGATTTGCCTGCTTTAATTAGAAGGAGGAATGATGGTTTCTTGCCGGCTACCTTCGAACTTCTCGCAGTGCGGACTTTGATGGGCAATGCCCTGAATCTGTTCGGAGCCGGCACGAACACAGTCAGGGCCAGCATAGAGTGGAATTTGCTCTACTGCGCCCGTGACCCCGAAGGTGTTCAGAGGAAGCTTCAGCAAGAGGTTGACAACATTGTAGGCCGGGAACGAGCTCCCGAATGGGAGGACAGACACAGGATGCCCTACACCATGGCTTTCATCTGGGAGATGCTTCGTTGGAGGACACCAACTCCACTGGGACTCATTAGGATGTAAGTGTGGGATGTAAGACACATGCGACTTATATTGAAGAGTGTAGATAATCTTGGGAAAGAGCGTCTTTATTATCTGCGGCATACTCGTTTTCACTGGTAGGTGGCGGTGATATCAGTTTCGAGAAACGCTCGCGTGTTATATTTAGAGGGCCATGAAATGAATTTTGGGCTGGGATACATGAATTTAGATGGGAATTTCACTAATCGCGTATTGTTTAGTGACCCCGAAAGAAGAGGGCACAAAGCTCGAAGCCTTCTTTTCGGTACGCGAATTTGAAAACATTAAGGACTGCACTGTTTTCTGACACTAGAAGTGCTAGACGTCAGCAGCCCTTGACGAAGTTCGCGAAGATTACCGTCGCGAAGACCGCTGCTACGCCTAACGCTACTAGGCCTAAAAGGACCGCCCCGATGCCAGCTGCACTAATGATCAGAGACAGAAACACCCGCAACATCAGCAATTCATCCCTCGTCCACAAGCTATAAAGCGGTAGCTTTATAGGCCCAACCACGCGCAAGGCCAAGTGCTGGTCCTAGAGGTCATGTCCTTATGGTCATATTTTCAAGGTCGCGTAATCAAGGTCGCGCAATACCCGTGGCCGAAGTGCAAGGTCGCGTATTTAAGGTCACGTAAGCGCCGGTTGCGTAAGCTCCGTTAGCGTAAAGGACGATGTTGTGTTTTGGGCCACGGGGACACTGTTCAACGAGCGATCGGTCTGGTCTGGTCTGCCACGCGCAGAGCAAAAGCCGCCGAACAAAATTCGTCGATTTTTCGCTGCATATTCGTCCCATGGAGTTCAACCTTTAACCGACGAATTTTGCCCGGCGGCCTGTGCTCTGCGCGTTGAATAAAAAAAAGTGGCTGCTATGTCGTGCGAAAAGCGAGCGTGCCGTCGGGCGGCGTTCGCCAGTTATTCGTCACATAATTCGTTCCATAGAGTTCAGCCTTTAGAAAGGAATGTTTCTCACTTTACCCAAGCGTACAGGCACTAGTGAAACCCAAGTACACTCGCAAGGAACGCCACTCACCAAGAAGCCTTTTAGTCTTCGCGTAACATCAAGGACGAAAGCGGACGTTTTCATTTAGTCTTTCCTTCGCAAAACTTGATCACGATTATAACTGAAAACGAACGTGCTGCTGAATATGACGTTGTCGATGGTGTGAGGATCGGATTGTTGAAGTTGTCAACAACGCGATTGCCAGGTGTCCCTGATGGTGTCAATTGCACTGGAAATCTAGGTCCAGTCGTTGGAGGTACCGGGAACGGCAGCTGAATAAAACATTATCGGGATCGAACTTTGAATGTCAACTTTGTGCTGGTGATTGAGATGAGAGAAAGCATAAACGGATTTGGGGTTAGGGGGAGAAATTGATCGTGTAGAATTGAATTATAAAGTTTAATTTTATAGAATGAGCTAAGGCGAGCATCTTTTCGGCGGAAGAACGAGGGAATCAATGACGAGGCGGTTTTTATGCTGGCGGCGCTCGCGGTGCACTGTTAGTTCGTGAGGACAAAACAGGAATATCCGTTTCGGGTGGCTTCCAATGCAAAAACGAGATGAGCGTGTCGGAAATCCCCCAAAAATGATGCATATAGTAATTTAGGACAAATAGTGGTTTAACAAAGGTTTAACTTAAATGTTCTAGGGCCGGGAGTTGCAATAGGTATTAGCTGTGACCCAGCTGCTTAAAGGGTGTTCTGCGCCCCATTTGTGTTATTTTAGATTGATACCTACTGCGTTTTGGTTTCTTATGTGTTTCATTTTTTTAAACTAAAGTGGTAAGCGTTTTGTGCGTTTGTTTTTCTCACAGGGCTGAACGCGATACCACTATGGGTGGTTTCCATGTTCCCGCCGGGACTGTGGTTCTGTCTAATTTCTGGGCAGTCCACCACGACCCTGAAGTGTGGGAACACCCTTTCGATTTCGACCCTACCCGATTTTTGAATGCGGATCACACTGTACTACTGCCGAAGCCAGCGGCTTTCATACCTTTCAGTACAGGTATGTCCGCTCTAATTCTTAGCCTTGAGCATATGAACAAAACAAACAAGTAAATATTTCCCACACATTGGAACTTTTTTTTTTTAGCTGAGAATGCTGTAATTAAATATGTGTATTGCGGATTTGTGTTTGTCGGTTTCGATATGACTATAATGAAGATTTCAGTGGATAATATAAATGCATCAAACGAAGTTTATATGAATATAGCGAAGCTAAGTATGTAGCGCAGCAAAAATGAAGTACTCTTACAATTCTGATGGTGCCTATTGGATATTGATAGGGCATAGCTAATGATTCTATTAATATATTTTTCTAAAACCTCTATTTTCTTTTATGTAGAAAACGTGAATTTTAGTAGTTATTTCTTACCCTTGTAGAAAGGAACATGCGAATCTCAAAACCCAGCAGAGTAATGCTAAGAAAAGTTAAAAAGAAACTTGGGTATTTTATCAGACGCATTTAAGTTGAACCATTGATCTGGTAAATAATCATAATCATAATAATTATGTAGCACAGGTAATTGACTGCTCATTTTTTATTCACTCTGCATTCTTTTTTTTTTTTTTTAATTATATGTAAGTACTGGGAATGTTTTTTATTGTCAATCAAATAAGGAGAGTGTTGAATCAAGTTTCTAGCAGAATATATAAAGTGTCAAAATATGGAAATCAATTAACGTTGACACTCAACGGATGGGATTTAAATACTACACAGGAGAGGCACATTGGAGTTACGCGTATGTTGAATTCCAGACAAATGTTATCGTTTACAATACCCGTGTAACAAGAGAAGACTCACGATTTCCAGGAAGACGCATGTGCCCCGGGGAAACGCTCGCCATCATGGAGATCTTCATCTACCTGACGACCCTGTTGCAAAAGTTCACTGTGCTGCCCAAGGAAGGGGAGACAATTTCGATGGACATTCACGAAGGAATAACCAACATCCCTCTTCACAGCCAAGAGCTCCGATTTCTGCCAAGATGAGGGTGACATTTGCGATGGGGTCCGACAGTCGTTTGCGAACTAATTTGTGGAGCGTTGAGAAAATGCCAAAATTACACGGAATTAAATAAAATAGAAAATAACAACCCCCGTGATATCAATTACATTGACCACTTAACAGTTTTTAATGTATTAAAATGCATCTAAAAGCTTTATTACAGAATTAGCTGAGCTAACATATTCCACATAAAATAAGAAGCGCACAAAAAACCTGGACAAAAAAGAGGTGTCACAGAGAAGCGTTCGTCTGTCCTGTATGTGTCCTCTTTTTTGTCCTTGTTTTTTGTGCGATTCTTATTTTACGATGAAGCAGTACCAACTAGACCAGCTTTCAACCCTGCTGCTAACATATTCCTTGTGTTCTTGGGGATTCTGGCACAACCTATTATGGTGATTGGTGACATGTTTACTTATTTAATGATAGACTAAATATGACTACGTGCTTCTCATTTTTATGATCCAGTATAGAGGGTGATACGTTCACACCATGTACTAATAATATAAATAAGAAGTTCACCCGTTTTTTTTTCTTTTTAAAGTTTTGTTTGAAAGTTTGATTTAAAAAAAAGATCCCCAAATTTGGCATGCCAAAAACATTAAAAAAACTTGAGAAAAGTCTCGTCCGTTCTTCATTATAATACTTAGAACAAAGTGTAAAATTATTATCCTCTTAACGTTAATGTTGATGGAGAAAAACGAAACGTACCTAACAATATTCACTTGTATCTTATCTAAATATTTTTTAAACTATGTATTTAGAAGGAAAATGATTCGCTTCTGTATCTGAAAAAAAAAAACAAAAAAAAAAACACACTTAAGTCGTCTTCATTTAGCCTCGAGGATCATGAATATCGAGATTAGTTTCGGATTTTGTTCACGAAGGCTGCTTGAAATCCATTTTCAAGTACCACTGAAGTCCTTCCGGAGCCTGACATCATAACAAGAGGCATAGAGCTATTACAATAAAGGCTAGAGACTCAGCTGGCGATAGTGTTTATGGAACTTCCGGTTTGCTATTTGCTACTGTACAATAATTTTATATAAACAAAAGTAATGTTTTCTGTTGCACAGCAGCGGACTGTCCCAGTGAAAGCTCAGAGACTTTTTAGAGCAGGGGCATTGTGCTTTCTGCTTTTTGTAAGCTCACCGTTTTATCATTTTTTTATTTAATTTGCATGCACGACTACTTTGAGTCCTCGCCTGATGTTATAAAAAGATTTTGAACACCATCACACCAACGTGCTGGCAGTTTCTAATAAAACGAGAAAATACACACCGTTCTTGCCCTCTCGCACATTTGTCTAGGCTCAGCAGGCCCATATATAGAAAACATATCTCTTCACACTACAGATTTGGATTTTCTGACAATTTTTGTAAAAGTATCACGGGAAAACACTTCAATTTTAAAGGTATTTTTGAGAGCTAGAAACCCGAGCTCATAGCTTTATATTTGGCAGTAGCTCCTGCTGAGCAAGAATTGGTGCAGCCGAGGTACCTTCTTGAGTTAAGAGCTCGCACTTAAAGCGTAGTAGTGGTATTAAATAAAACAAAGTATTGCAAAATGCGCAAACACGTTATATAGGAGCAAAGCTCCTTTTTACAGGAAAGAAATCCACAGTATAAAACCATTATTTATTGCGCACGTGGCGTCCAAACCATGGGAACGGGGGCTCGCAGCAGCGCGTTGCTTGCGGGCCGCGGGCCGCGTGTTTATTTTAATAAATTTATGTCAGGAGGTTTTCAGAATCTCTGCTTTCACGCATCTTTAGCGCCAAGCAAAGATATACACGCGCAATCTCGCTGTTTTCTATATGGTCGGAAATTCACGGCACGACTGCTGTCAGTTGGGGGGAATATACCTCGCAAGCTTGCAACTGCACGTGCTGCCGCGCGAGAGACACGGGCTTGGCGGCCGAAAGATCCTTTTATGACGTAGTGACTGGTCGGAGGTTTTTCGTGGTTTGTCGCGTTTAGTTGCATCTTCGGGGTAAACGAACGTAACATTCAGACTCACGGGATAAAAGATTTTCTAGAATTCACCTTTAACCCCCTTTTTCTTAAAGAACTTCTTCAGCTTCATTTTAATAGCTTGCCCGAAATCCCCAAGAACCGAGGGAACATGCTAGCTAAGTAACGTTTGAGGTTAAATTTTATGTCTTTTGATCAACTAAAAACCGTCTTGAACCCATTCAACATGGCTGCCGTGGAACTGGAGCATTAATAGGGTTTTGTACGAGAGGCCCCTATACTCGCGGACAACTTGTGTGGCCATGCTGTCAAAGCTGTCAAAGCACACATGCACCTGTGCATCTTGAGCACCTATCAAATCTGTACGCGTGGACTCTTCACTTTGGAACCGAGTGGCAAAGGGATACTGCGCGCTTTCCTCTATGCTAGATCGGTGCAAATGTCAACAAGACGCGGATGGCGGTCATGAAAATCTACTGCGTCGGACTCAGTAGCTTTCGCACGTCATGGGCAAGTAAAAAAGGTCAGCTTCCGCCCCAACCAAGCGCGACCGCAGAATTTGTCGCACTCCATAAGATGCTGCGTCATTCAAAATAATATACTGCCCACTAAAAAAAAAAAATGCTGATTATATGTTTAGCTGTAAAGCCAATTGCAGGATTCACTTAACTGATACCTGTTCAATGGTCATTTTTTCTGTCTTGACTTGTAAACTAAATTTGCTTATAAACTTGTTTAATTAAGAATACAATTATAATACTTGAGAGGCATGGAAATTTGAGTAACAGACTAATATACATGTGAAAACTACAAGCTGAAGCGTCGCCAACGACTTTCAATCGGTATATCTGCAAGCAAAAGGTATATCAGAAATAAATAGCTGTATTTACTCTTGCACACTTGTCTAAAACACTCAAGGCGCGTTTTTTTTTTATTTGATACTGCATGCAACCCACGCCCTATGGCTAAAATTGAAATCGATAAAAAAATGTCTGCACGGTTTCATATGTGAGGTTTTCTTTCTGAATTTACTTTTTTTTAATTTTAATAATATATAGGTGTCCCAAGTCACCAGGCTCGATATAAAATGGACCTTAAAAATCGACGCCTACAGGTAGAAATCTAAACTTTACGTCAAGGGTGTATTTTACAGGTCGTTTTTTTTCTTGTAAAATTAGAAAGCGTAGCTCCCTTTCTATAAAAAATAGGGAAAAGAAACTTGCCAGGAGTTAAGGGCGGGCTGCGACGCAGACGACCAAGTCCATTTGTGGGCGCGTTGGGCGCGCGTATTGATAGATGACGTCGGGAGCGGCGCTGCAAGGTGCAGCCGACCTGCGAAAGAAAGCAGACGACACGCAGACGGAATCGTTTGTCCGCAAAAGCGCCGTCGTTACGCAGACGAGTTTTTTTTACTCTGAGTTTTGGTTTTATTGTCCGCCTTTATTTTTTAACCGAAGGTACATTACAAAACTATTACGTTCCTTTTAATAAACCACGGTGGTCGCGAGCCGTCTCAATAAGGACGTAGCGCCATCTATCAATACGAGCACCAAGCGCGCCCCGCCACTCGATTTGGTCGTCTGCGTCGCCGCCCGCCGTTGACCCTGGCAAGTTTCTTGGCCCTATTTACTAATATATATATACATATATATATATATAAAGGTCTGGCTCAGGCCAAAACGACGATCAACTTTACCAATAATATGTTTTAAAAACTCCAACAACCGTCTCAGGTGCGTTTTCTTCCGTATATATATATATATATATATATATATATATATATATATATATATATATATATATATATATACTTATTTATTTATTTAATATTTATTGTTTATTTAATTAGATATATTTCCGGTTATAAATATGCTGGTATCGTCGGCGTAAATAATCGTATTGACATCTGATCGAACAGAGACAATGTCATTTATATACATATTGAAAAGAAAAGGACCCAGAATACTCCCGTGTAGTACGCCGCAAGAAACAAGAAGTGGATTAGAGAAATGATCGTCTATACGGACTGTTTTATAGTGAAGACGTGATTAAGGATGTATGTGGAAAATGCTCACGTAATGCCCTCCGCAGGTTTCCGTCACTTAGGGACTGCAGCTTGACGGGTACGCCAACTGTGTTGTGCTCTCGTGCAGCTTTCCAAATTGGCGACAAAGTAACCTGGTTGTAGGTTTATAAAAAATATAGTTGGAATAAAAATCACAATTCAAATCTTTCTAAATGCTGCAAGTAAGCTCATATTTTAAAATGCACTCTTAACAGTGATCAACTTTTGACAAGTTCGTTTCGGTAAGTAACACCGAGCTGTCGAGATTGCACCAGAAATGCAATAGACTCTCACTAATTCAAACTACAGGAAGCCACGGATTTCGTTTGAATTTTCAGTAATTTATCTAAATGTGATGTAAGATAAAAATATGATTTGCCACATGAATGGCTACACAAAGAAAGCAGATATTTGCATGATGATTTCGTCTACATAATCCTACTGATCATGCAGATATTTGATGATTTCCTCTACATAATCCTACTGATCATAAGCAGGCATGCCAATCACGAAACAATTTTCATCCCTTAAAATGTTGTTTATCGTGGTCTGTTTCGAAAGCACATGACAACTCAAAACGACACTACGCTCCTTCATCGGGCCAAAAAGTTGTCTAGTATAGACCATTAAGCAGGGAACACATGAGCGATGAGAACGTGCACCGCACGGCAGTTTTAATTGCAACTTTCGCGGACGCTGTGATTTGGACCTAGGCCATGCCGCCACGTCACAGCGTGAGCGCAATTGTGTTGTGCTATGGAAATTTTCGCCTGGCGCCTGTTTTCATAGCTCATGTGTGCCCGCGTGAGCCCCGTTGAGCGCGCTTCTCAGCAAGCAGAATCGCACTGCGGGGAAGCAACACCCGCAACAGCGAGAGAGATGAGGAGCGGGCAGGGGGGGAGCCAGGGCTTGCACCAGACACAGATAGAGGGCTTGACATGGTCTCTTGGCCAACCAGAGGCCGAAAATATTCTCCTAGCGGACCACCAATAGAGGATTATTTTCGGCTTCTTATTGGCCAAGAGAGCATATCAGCCCCTCTATCTGCGTCTG